AGAATTCCTAGCCAGACAAATTATCGGCGACACGATTTCGGGCTGTAGTGGACATAATTCAAATATTTTAATATAAAAAGACATAACTGAACCAATGTTCATTATTCCTAGTTCAGAGTTCAGTTTCATTGACGTGTCAATAAACTACAGGCAGGTAAATCTTAGCCTGGCTATCATGACGTGGGGGGTTGGATGGCTGAATGGTTAGCGTGCGCGCGCTGCATCATAAAGTCTGTCATTGAGTCGACTGGCGTGGTTTCGAATCCCCGGTTGTACGTGGCAAGGAGTAGGGTCGCCTGTCCAACCTCGTGGGTTTTCTCCGGGTCCTCCGGTTTCCTCCCACTGCTAAAGACCCCTACGCGCAAGCGAATTATGTAAATAAAATTAAACCAAATGTTAGTCTCGAAATGACCTAGTTTGTGTCGAGTGGACGTTAAACCCCATTTCTCTCTCTCTCTCTATCATGACGTCACAATCAATAACGTCCCATAATTCAACAGTGACCTGACGACGGATTATGCCTAGTTACAACCAAGTCCACAGTTTAGGCGTTTAAATCTTAGTTATAAAATAATTTTATGAAATTAAAATGTGATGTAAATATAGTAAAATCCATCCAATTAATCAAGCATCATATTAAAATATAATATGAACTATGTCTACTACAGTCTGATATCTCATCGCAGATAATTTGTTTGGCTAGGAATTCTTCGCACAATTCCTATAGGCTACCATATTTCCATGTCAATACCTATACTAAGTCTTTCTGTTATTTATGTATTTATAATATTTATACCCAGTCATCATACTTGTGTTGAATGTTGTCTCACTATCAGACCAGTTTGAGGTAAATATGTATTCTGAGATGATTATCATATTGTTTGTCCTGTTAGTAAATGTGTAACCTAGATTAAAATTATCATTTATCTTGTTTGTAAATATATATATATAATTTGTCATATTTTTATAAATTTATGTACGTTTATTTTGTATGCTGTCATCAATGGATGTTTCGATACAATAAAATCTTATCTTATCTTATCTAGAGGATATATGTACGATTGTCGATTTTAGACTTAAAAGTCAAAGAATGTTCGCACGCTTTTAAGTGCTCTAAATATCTTGAAAAAATATTGGAAACTATAAAAGTTGTAGCGTTTTTAATGTCAACCAGGGAGAGTGGACTGGGGGTGGGGAATTTTACTGAAAGGGCGGGGCGGAATTGCTCGCGTTAGATCATGTAATTGCACTCATGGATTTATTTGACTATGTCCAAGTCAACAGAGGACGTGGGGCCTGACCGGGACACCGTGTATACATTGGCGTGCACGTAAAATTGGCAGTTGGAATTCGATATAAAAGTAGGCCATATTGCCGCTACATGGGCAAAATTTCCCTCATTGGACACTGTATGGCGTATACCCGTTTTCATTAGTCCAGTCAGAACAGAACCGTAGGACGTTAAACCCCATTTCATTTCATTTAATTTACAAGTCAACAGAAAAGAGAGAAGCGTTTTATTGAAAGAGCAGCTTGGCCTAATATTATAACAAATCAATAAGAAATATATATAAAATATTTGTTCTAAAAAAAACAAACAAACATTGAGGCCAATTTATATAAGTCATTGGTTTGTTTCGGTATCTCGTTACTAAAACATTGTTTTTATAAATTAAAAAAAAATGAATTGATGGCATTTAACAATTTAGTGTTAAATTTCTTTATTATCGTAGCAATGATACTTGACAATCGAGACTAATTAAGCTATACCGTGTAAAACAAATTAAACAATCACAACTTTACTCAGCAAAAAGTAATTTGACTGAATATTTCAATATACAGTATTCATTTTACATTATCTATTTTTGAACTACATGTATTATAACGAGAACAGTCAGGTGTTTAACTATATCTTACATTATCTATTTTTGAACTACATGTATTATAACGAGAACAGTCAGGTCTTTAACTAAATCTTATATAATACATCTCAGCCCCGTAGTCAGCCTGTTTGTAATAGACAGCAGTCAGGAATCATCATGGTGAACTGTATTAATAGCAAGAAACATCGTGTTAATTATAAAAGATAAATACATATAGTTAAAACAATAAATAAATGTTGTTTCAATCATTTATAGTTTGTGAAATAGTAACATTAGCTAGAAAACTCATCCAATAGTATAATGAACAAATACACAAAACCTAGCGAACTGGGATAAATTGCTGTTTGGCCATTTTTTATTTTTTAGATTTTTAAAGTTTTAATCGTTCCCTTTCGATGTCTATTCTAATTAAAATAAATATTACATTATCCATTGGCCTGTTGTGGATTTTAAAAATAGATTGGCAGGCAACGAAACATACGCCCACAGAGAGAGGTAGAAATGGGGTTTAACGTCCACTCGACTCAAACTGGGTCATCTCGGGACAATTGCGCGCATGTGTTTTTATCAGTGGGGGGGGGGCGGAGGACCCGGAGAAAACGCACGAGGTTGGACGGGTGAACCTACCCATTGTTACGTACAACCGGGGAATCGAAACCACGCAAGTTGACTCAACGATAGACGTTATGATGCAACGTACATGCACTAACCATTCGAACAACCAATCTCCCCCACATACGCCCACAGTAGCATTTGCCTTCCAGTTCTGCCTTACACTAGCATTTAGTATACAACATTTCTATCGGAAATCATTGAAAATCAATAGGATTATTCTTCTAGTGACCTTAATCGTTTAGCGTTCCAGAGCGTGGACAACAGACGGGTGGACTGACAGACGGGGGCGACGACAATATATGACATGTGGGCGTATACAAAATTGTCGAAAACCCGAAATCAGCAAATAGGCATAAAATAAATTTATCGGTACACCAATCTCAATTTCTTAAAATTGTATTTCAAAAACCTAACATTAGAATGATCTGATTTTTATGCATCGTAAATAAACAGACATAAACTGGCTATATTCAGGTTATGCACCCCTCTCCAATCTGCTGAGTAAACAACAATATATGACGTGCAGAATAATATATTGATACCTGTTATACCTGTTTCCCGTCTTTTTCTTGTCTACTGCATGCCCGAAAATATGCCCGAAGCTCTCATATGATATGATATGTATGCGGTACCCCCTTCGTCCGGGCGAGAACCCCTGCCCCCCCCCCCCCTAGAGAAGGTGGAACCCCACGGTAAATAGCTAGCATGGAGGTCCCGTGTTCGATCCCTGTATTGGCCTAGGAAGTTCATCTGGGTTGTTTGGCGTGGTTCCCCCTTGTCAGTGGTGCAGGATGGAGGACAAGGGGCAACGTATAGTCATTCAGATAGGACGAAAACTAGGTTTAAAACACAACCTGTAGCCCAATAGCTGGTTATTCTAACCCTATTCTGTAACACGGTTGGAATGAAAGCCCGAAGTCACGTGTAATACCCCAGCCCGCCCCGTCTCCACATGTGTTAGCCACTATTTTCACGAACCCACTTTTATGTCTATATTGGGCCACTGGGTGCAGACCGGTTAGCCCCCCAACACTTTGATCCGTTAATTCTACCTTTGACTTACCAACAGAGAAATACGTTATTGTAGATAAAAGTAAGGATATAATATGTTCTTTGATGTTTATTATTGTATTGTACTTTGTATTGTATGCTTTACCATACTCGTGTATATATCCTGCAGTTGTGTAAAGCGAACAAACTAAAATTGAACGACGATAAAACAGAGGCTCTTTTAGTAGGTTCATCACAACAACTCAAGTTACTACCTGATATTAAAATCACCATTGGTAATTCAGAAATAAATTTCTCCAAAAATGTTCGAAACCTTGGAGTGATATTTGATCCTTCTCTGACAATGGACACTCAGGTTGATATGGTATGCTGTACATGCTACTATCATCTACGCTGTATATACAACATCAGAAACTATCTCACTGCTGACGCTTGTAAACTACTTGTGAGATCACTTATTTTATCAAGGATTGATTATTGTAATAGTTTACTCTATGGAATCCCACAAGCACTTCTAGCCAAGATCCAAAAGGTTCTTAATACTGCAGCCCGAATAGTAACAAGGACACATAAGTTTGATCACATCCAAAATGTGCTGGCTTCTTTACATTGGTTACCTGCTGAGGCGCGAGTCGAATACAAAATACTAACATTAGTGTATAAATGTCGCAATAATGCAGCTCCTCAATACTTATCTGAACTCTTATATGACTACAACCCTATTAGATCACTTCGCTCTCAAAATAAACAGTCACTAGTTGTTCCAAGATATAATTTAAAGTCATATGGGTTTAGGTCTTTCAGTTCAGCTGGTCCTAGATTATGGAACGAACTTCAACAACAGATCAAGAATCAACAAACCTTTAATCAATTTAAATCCGCACTAAAGACTTTCCTGTTTCAACAGTTTTACCAGTAGAGCCATTACAAAAAGCGTTTTGAACATGTGTCAAAATTGAGAAGACGCTATATAAAACTTCATTATTATCATTTATTATTATTAATAAAGCATTATTATTATTAATATATTACGTAAACATACCCAACAGAGAGCAGAATACAATTAAACAACAGTTTATATGACATAATATTAAAAGATATACTCTGCTAAATATATCTTACACGAGGTGTGTTGATAATACAGGTCGAGATATACATAACACGTGACCTGTCGATAATATTCTAAATATAGATAACACGTGACCTGTAGATAATATTCTAAATATAAATAACACGTGACCTGACGATAAAATACATAACACGTGACCTGTCGATAATATTCTAAATATAAGTGTGAACCCTGACCATCAATATAAACATAACATAACTATGATATTAATTAAAACCAAATGTCAACAATTACAAAGAAGTCATGCCAGTATAGACATATTTTAAATATTTCTTGGATAGTGATTGTTTATCTATTTCCACAGTCCTATATTGACATGGATCACGTGATGTATGACGCCGAGGTCAAGGCAATATCAAGCGCTCGAGACGACGCGTGATGTGATTGACAGCTAAAGAGAATGTGTTGTTGTCATAGTTATCTAGTAGACTATTTACCTGTAAGACTGTACACTATAGTGTTTTAATTCTTTAGATTTTAATATCGTATGTTATATTAGACTAACTGATTGATTCTGTAGTTTTATACAGCTGATGTAACAAACGATTCTTCAACATTGCTAAAGAGACAATCATGGCTGAACAGGAAGTATGTACTATTTGTTTGAATGACTATCAACAAGCTGTAAAACTGGACTGTAATCATTCGTTCTGCTTCATCTGTTTAGAAGATTATGTGAACAAAACCTCCACTAATGACCACTTTCCGTGTCCTTTGTGTCGTGTCGAATCTTCATTACCAGAGGGTGGAGTGAAGGAACTGAAACCGAAAGTAAACACTAACATTCCACAATGTGACGTATGTATAAATAGTTTATCTAAATTTAGTTGTAAAGATTGTCAACAATATTTATGTGACTCTTGTAAAACGACCCATGATAAATTAAAAGTCTGTAAAGATCATATTGTCGTTAGATACGAGGCATTGCTGACTTTCAGCACCGAATCAGGGGCAAACAACTCCGTGACAGAAGACGTGAAATATGAATCCAGTCCACGTGATGTCTGTCCAAATCATCAACAGACGAGTGTAAAATTTTACTGTAAAGATTGTTCAATGGCCGTCTGTTCTGATTGCTATGTCATTGATCATAATGGACACCAATTCTTAAATTTACAAGATGACAGAGTAAGAGAAGAAATCAAAGGAGAATTAAAAACATTAAACGAAGAAATAAAAACCCACATTGATCAACTTGAAAACTTCAGTGAAAGTTTAAATCTGAAGTACAGTGAAGTGAAGGATTCGGTGAAGACAGAATGTGACAAGATAGATGAACAGGTTGATAGAATTTGTAGAGAGGTGAGAGAACTTGGAGACCAGATGAAACAACAAATGAAAACATCCTGTGACGAAGATGTATATGATGATGTTGATGGAAAACTCAAAAAATTAATGGAGGATATTAAAAGACAAACTGAAGATTTAAAAGCTAGTGTTAAATATTCAGTGAATGTTTTAGAAGAATCGTCGATTGTTCAAGTTTTACAAAGATTACCTAAAGTTAGACAGGAGAAAGATGAAAGTTGTTGCAGAAAATTGGATATACCTGATGTAAGATATTCAACGTTTCAAGTAGCAGAGATAGATAAAACTTTGTTAATTAATCAACTTGGTAAAGTTGTAAGTTGTCATGAGAATATGTTTGAAGATGTTTTTAATGTGGATACTGTGCCAGGAAGGTTTAGAAGGTATAATGGTAAACAACATGTAGTTTCAGGTTTTACATGGAGTATCAGTGTAGCTAACAACCGGTCATCATTATATGTTGTATTATACCTGAATGACGTAGAAGATAAAAGTATTACGTCATGTAATGTTGACGTCACATATAAAGTTATAAATAAAACAGATGATAGACAATCTGTAGTTAAACAATGTAATGGGACTGATGAACCTGGTGATTGGGTCTGTTATACTGATCTTATTGACTGGAAGAGACTCAGTAATCCTGTCAGTGGATTTATTGATGATCATAGAAACTTTACAATTCAAGTAACAATTAATAAAATAAACGTAAATAATAAAAAACGTAAATAATTAGACTAATGTTATTCTGATTATTCTGTAGAAACTTTACAATTCAAACAACAATTAATAAAATAACAGGCATTGAAAGATGTAAATAATTAGACTAATGTTATTCTGATTAAAACTAATAATTGAACCTATATATGAATTAACTTTAAATAATCTAATTATTATGCTGCACGAGAGATAACCTATTGTCCCGGTCATCCAGTACACTTCAGTTATTCAAATCAAACTGAAACCGGGTTTAACATCCTAGTCTACTTCATCAGCCGAACTCATAAAAAATATATAAACCATGCAGTGTGCCATGGAAGATATTTGCCTGGACAGGGGGAGTTTCCACCTGCCAATGATTCTCCAAGCCCACATAGGACTGCAGTTTTTTTGTCCCATCCAAAACACTAGACACCATTCACTGTCAGGCCCTCCATCTTGCATAATTCTGAAAAATCATAAGGATCTTTCCCAGCCAACCCCGAGATCGACCATTCGACCTACTGTTTAGTTGGTTAGCGAGCGCATTACTCCCTGAGCCACTCTGACTTCCAAAATCCACTTGAAAGAAACGGAATGAAATGAAATGGGGTTTAACGTCCTACTGTTCTGCTCCTACTGGGCTAATGAAATGAAATGGGGTTTAATGTCCTACTGTTCTGCTCCTACTGGGCTAATGAAATGAAATGGGGTTTAACGTCCTACTGTTCTGCTCCTACTGGGCTAATGAAATGAAATAGGGTTTAACGTCCTACTGTTCTGCTCCTACTGGGCTACTCTTATATCGAATTCCAACTGTCAAGGGATCTTTTAGGTGCACGCCAATGTGTAAACGGGATCTCGATTTTTGTCCCATCCGAATGACTAGATGGCTGTCCTTGTCAGCCTCTCCGTCCTGCACCACTGACAAGGGAAAAACGACGCCGGAAAATCCAGATGAATTTTGTCGACAAATGCAGGGATAGAACACTGGACCTTCAGGTTAGCTAGCCACCGTGCCCCTCCCCCCTCCACTTTAACCCTAACCCTAACCCTAGCTAGCCACCGTGCCCCTCCCCCCCTCAACTTTAACCCTAACCCTAGCTAGCCACCGTGCCCCTCCCCCCCTCCCCTCCTCCACTTTAACGCTAACCCTAACTAGCCATTGTGCCCCTCCCCCCTCCCTCCACTTTAACCCTAACCCTAACCCTAGCTAGCCATTGTGCCCCTCCCCCCTCCCTCCACTTTAACCCTAACCCTAGATAGACACCGTGCCCCTCCCCCCCCTCCACTTTAACCCTAACCCTAGCTAGCCACCGTGCCCCTCCCCCCCTCCACTTTAACCCTAACCCTAACCCTAGCTAGCCATTGTGCCCCTCCCCCCTCCCTCCACTTTAACCCTAACCCTAACCCTAGCTAGCCACCGTGCCCCTCCCCCCTCCACTTTAACCCTAACCCTAGCTAGCCACCGTGCCCCTCCCCCCCCTCCACTTTAAAGAAACAACAAAGAACAATTAAATGTATAAATAACAATGAAATTTAATTTGAAAATATAATTACATTGTAAAACTATTTATATATGAGTGAGAGATTTTAATATTTATGTACAATTTTAATCCTTTATAACATCTTGTTATCTTTGACTACATGTGAGTAGAATACGACACACTGTGGACCTTATAATTAGTGGAATTGAACCGATCATGTCTGAATAGTCCAAAACTATTAATTAAATTGCATAATCAAATTATATTGACTCGAAAAACTATTTGTTTCACCATTGGAAATAATGAATTTAGTTGTACTTAAACCAAATGACAGGCACAAAAGCAATTGCATCTGAAAATGTCTGAAAATCTGTGATAGTTGCCTTTAACTCCAGTCTTGGACTGATATCTACATGTGGTTCAATATTTTTATATCAACTGTATATTAATCTCTACCATAGCAACAAAATATTACTGTATATTAATTTCTACCATAACAAACAAATATTACTTTATGTCTATTCTACCATAGCAACAAAAGATTACTTTATGTCTATTCTACCATAGCAACAGGAAAAGATTACATTATGTCTATTCTACCATAGCACCAGGAAAAGATTACATTATGTCTATTCTACCATAGCAACAGGAAAAGATTACATTATGTCTATTTTAACAGAGTAACAAAATATTATGTCTTCTACCATAGCAACAAAATACTACATTATATCTATTCTACCATAGCAACAGGAAAAGATTACTTTCCATCTTTGATTGTGCTCGTATTTTTATATCATACAACAGTATAAAACATGGCGACAGATTAAAGATCCATTATGTAGGAGATAAAGCTATCTATTGCAGGTCTATATTCACAAGACAAACCCATAATCAAATTTCAGATGGCTGAGATATTGCATGGATTAGACCATTAAAATACACATCACTCTGTTTATTACTATGGCAACAGTACTAGACAATCGTCTATTTCTTGTTGAAACATCAAACACTCATAACGTTAGCTAAGAATAAAGTGATTTGACTGAAATTTTCAATATATTCATTTTTCATTATCTATTTTTAAACTATTATTACAAGAACCGTCAGCTCTTTATCTAAATCTTACATAATACATGTTTAATAACTGAACACATATTAAATTACATTAAAACATAACAGCAGGGTATAAAACTTGTTTAATAACTCAACACATTAAAACATAACAGCAGGGTATAAAACTTGTTTAATAACTGAACACATTAAAACATAACAGCAGGGTATAAAACTAAATTTTATTCTATTTTGATTAAAGAGAAAATCTTTCTTTAATGATTTTAAGTAAGTTTTTGGGCACATATCTAATGAATTATCATTATGATTATGATATGTTTTATGGCATATTATCATTATACCATAGTTTATTATCATTATACCATAGTTTATTATCATTATACCATAGTTTATTATCATTATACCATAGTTTATTATCACAAGGAATGGAATGTAATCTTTTATATAACATACATAATGTTATGTACAAAATGCTAGACCAGCTTCTCACTAATGCCTAAGAAACGCTTGTCTCTGACAACACTCTCACTTGAAGCAGACATTAAAGCTCACTGGAAGTGCTTCATTTCACTTGAATGTTGGGCTTAAAGCTCTCTGTAAAAGCTTCATAAATTTTAAAAATTAGTCACTATTTCTTTTCCATAAGTATAAAACGAATGTCACGGTTCCCTACCACACGTTAATTTCAACGTTAGCGATTTCCGCCATTCTCCTTCTGCTCATAGAAATATAGACTAGAATATGAGCAGAAGGACTTAAATGACGTCCCAGCTTTTCCTGTGAGCTTTAAGGTATGTTCAAATCGGATTATAACCAAAATGAAATGGAATACATTTTAAAATCCAGTCAACACAATCAATACCTTGGTTATTTTGAGACTAACATGTGGTCAAGTATGCAATGCTAGAGGAGGATTTTGCCCAGACAGCAACATTTCGACCTACTCTTCTTTAACCAGACGGAGCTTGATTATTCATAATCTTTACGGGGCATTTAGCGATTGGGAAACACATTTACATAACACCATTTTTATTGGTTATCAATCACTGGTTTTATTCTAAAAGCATGACCTTTCAACGAATATGGTCTCTTATCCTCTGAGAGAGAGAGAGAGAGAGAGAGAGAGGTAGGTTTAAGGACCACTCGACACAAACTAGGTCATTTCGGGACTAACATATGATCCAATTTTATTTCAATAATTCACTTGCTCGTAGGGGTCTTTAATAGTAGGAGGAAACTGGAGGACCCGAAGAAAACCCACGAGGTTGGACAGGCGATCCTACTCCTTGTCACATACAACCAGGAAATTAAAACCACGCCAGTTGACTCAATGACAGACCTTAAGATGCAGAGCGCACATGCCAACCAATCGGCCATCCAACCCCCTCGTCTTATCATTATCAAGCACAAATATTTGTGCTTTTAGACTAAACCCAGTGATGAGCTTCCATAAAAATTGTCTTATATATAACTTGATTATTTATCCAATCAGAACGAAGCACACTTTCTTCGTCAGACTCTTCTCAAACTCCCCGGTCCAATAGCCCGAGAACCCAAACTTGGCAAACTACGATGCCACCCAGGATGAGTGAAAACCAGACCTGAAAAATCCTGAATGTTTTTGTTGAATCCAGGAGATTCTAGTTGTGAAGCCAGTTCCCTATCACTTCACCAACTTGGTAAAATATGTTTGAAATGAATACCCTGGGTAATATAATAATATTTAAGGCATATTAAATAGATATTGTGAATATAAACAACTAAGGCTTTTTTTTTACAATAAATAACATTAAAAATGACTATTATAAACTAGCTTAAAGGCCTGAACACATCAAGGATTATCTGTTGATGATTCCTATAGGCCTAGTATCAACAAATAATCGTTGGTCTATCGCAGGGTCATATAAAAAGAGTCTGGCCAGTCGCTATTTTGTTAGTCAATCTGTAGGTGTGATATATCAACATCAGAACAGAATGATAGTTCTGTGGAAGATACGAGACCAGGGTAAATATCTATAGGGTGCAGGCTGTTTCGTACTTAGTTCATTCCTACCTCAGATTGATTCGTACCTTTTCCTACACGTTGTTGAACTAAGTACGAAACAGCTGACATCCTATCTATATTTACATTAGATAACCAAGCCATGTTGTTACCAAATCACAATTTCACCAGACTTTCTCAATATGGGGATACTCGACTGAATGTTCCGGTAAAGAATTCTCTAAATCCCCTAAAATAGTGACAGTGGAGTAAAAGAAGGGGTTTCCAACATGCATCGACTGCATAGGAAAATATATCAACCCACCATGACATCTCAGGCATATCGTTGTGTTTAATAAAGTCACGATTCTACTCACACTAGGACTGAATTCTGCGTAAATTCGAGACGTTCTGGACTGAATCAGCCATCTCCTTTATTATGACTCTGGTGTGTGGTAGCCCTTTTTACAGGAATAATTGATCATTAATAATATAAGGCATTCTATATCGTAATAATAAACATTTGATTGAAAAAATTAAAAATATATATGAAAGCAATATTATTATAAAGTGAAAAATACTTTGATTATAAAATATATTGTAAAATAAATTTAAAAATATATATTTGGATAAGTATATGATGATATGAGAAATACTGTACAGTGTATAATATTATTATATTCATATATCTAATGACTTCTGCTGATGTTTATATAACTGTAAATACTGTACAGTGTATAATATTATTATATTCATATATCTATTGACTTCTGCTGATCGTTATATAACTGTAAATACTGTACAGTGTATAATATTATTATATTCATATATCTAATGACTACTGCTGATGGTTATATAACTTTAAATACTGTACAGTGTATAATTTTATTATATTCATATATCTAATGCCTGCTGCTGATCGTTATATAACTGTAAATACTGTAAATTGAGTAAATTTAACACTGAAAGACAAGTCACTTGTCAATAACGAGCAGCAGGTAAAGACGAGTTCAATAGCAGCAATGAGTCTTTGCTGTAATTAACCTATTTTAAATTACACTAATATATCTTAATTTAATCTCTGTTACATGTAACTCTCTCTAACACAATCCTTCGTTTATTACTTAATATCATAGCTTACTGTAAACACAGCATATTAAACTACATATTGGTCAAAACAGATCAACAAAGGTCAATAGGTCAATAAGAAGTAATCAAATATACTGAACCTTAAACTGGTTTTAACGTCATGAAAAATGATATAGAACGATTGATATTAAGTACTGTTTGTGTATGAAGAAATTGTTACTGGCCTAAATCTTACAGAAATTGTTTATAGAACCCGACAAGTAAATAAATCATCATGGTTACCTCCCTTATCTCTCTGTTTTAGATAACCTCAAATAACCTATAAACAGTTTCTTGGATTCTAAATTCTAATTCTAAGTTGTTGACAATCAGAAAAAACTTTCTGTAAACAATTTCTTTACTTTATTTTTCTAAGCTGATGACAATAATAAAAACCTATTTTACAGAGAAACTTGATTCTAAGTTGATGACAATAATAAAAACCTATTTTACAGAGAAACTTGATTCTAAGTTGATGACAATAATAAATAACTTTATGCTGTTGGCTCCACATCACCTATTTTCGCAGTATCGGCATTAACCGAGTTATCATACGCCTGTGATCGCAATCTTCTGTTACGAACGAATCTAACGATACCCAAAGCACACTGTATTACCCATGCTAAGAAACCAATCCAGGATGCTGTCTGAAATAAACATAGATAAAACTTCAGCAACAACAGAGGGATAGCTTTCAAAATACAGGGGAGGTAACTTAGGGAAAACATGTTCCAATACAGGGGAGGGAACTCAGGGAAAACATGTCCCAATACGGGGGAGGTAACTCAGGAAAACAGAGGGATGGCTTTTAAAATACGGGGGAGGTAACTTAGGGAAAACACGTTCCAATACATTTAAATACGGGGGAAGTAACTCAGGGAAAACACGTTCCAATACGGGGGAGGTAACTCAGGAAAAACATGTTGCAATACAGGGAAGGTAAATCAGGGAAAACACGTTCAAATACATTCAAATATGGGGGGGGGGGGGGGGGGTTACCTCAGGGAAAACACATTCCTATACAGGGGAGGTAACTCAGGGAAAAGACGTTCCAATATGGGGGAGGTACATCAGGGAAAACACGTTCCAATACGGGGAAGGTAACTCAGGGAAAACACATTCCAATACATTCCAATACGGGGAAGTTCCAATATATTTAAATACGGGGGAAGTAACTCAGGGAAAACACGATCCAATATGTTTTAGTCCCAAACTGACCTAGTTAATTTGGGTGGAAGTTAACCTCCATTTTTCTCTGGAAGGGATATTTAAATAGAGAGAAATGGGGTTTAATGTCCACTCGACACAAACTAGGTGATTTCGGACTAACATATGGTTCAATTTTATTTCAATAACTCGTTTGTGCGTACGGGTCTTTAGCAGGTGAGGGAACCGCAAAACCCACAAGGTTGTACAGGCGACCCTACTCCTTGTCACGTACAAGTGGGGAATCGAAACCATGTCAGTTGACCCAATGACAGACCTTAAGATACAACACCCCTTGAGAGAGAGAGAGAGACCCGTGGAAAACCCACGAGGTTGGACAGGTGACCCTACTCCTTGTCACGTACAAGTGTGGAATCATATCTAAAGAACAAACCTGAGCCACTGTAAAATATGCGTAGTAATGTGAACCATTATAATCTGTATTCCTCTGGGCGTTCCAATTCATACGCTGGCCTTGAGAGCAACTGAAAGAATTTATAAATACCTAAAATTCAGTCCTTTTAATTTCGAAATTATTCTCTGTTGGTGTGTGTGTGGGTGTATTTATAAGCATGATGCAATTACTATCCCCATCTTTGATTACCTCCCTTTCCCCTAAACTCTTTAAATCTTAAATCTATGCCTCACAACAGTTCTTGATACCGATAACATGAAATGAAATGAAATGGGGTTTAACGTCCTACTGTTCTGCTCCGACTGGGCTAATGAAGTCGGGCATACCCCATGCAGTGTGCTATGAGAGAAATTTTGCCGGGGCAGCGGCACTATGACCTACTCTTATATTGAATTCCAACTGCCAAGGGATCTTTTACGTACATGCCAATGTATACACAGGACCTCGGTTTTTCGTATCATCCAAAGGACTAGACAAGGGGAAATCCTGATAAACTTTCTCGGCCAGTTATTGATACTGATGAACAGACAGTAACACAGGGAGGAATTATCTTATTCACAGCCACAATTAAACTATCTCTAACCCTCCAACAAATCCTTCCCCGGTCATTAAATCATTGATTTGGAAACAAATTATGGATTCAAATGAACAGAGGACCTTATTTGAAACCCGACTTCACCAATTTTGTAAATGTCTGAAAGATAAATAAATTATTTAATCAATTTCCCAATTATCTCCCCCAGTCTGATTATCTCCCCCTGTTTGATTATCTCCCCTTGATAAGGTGTTTAATCTGAACATCAATACTTATAGTTGTTGTGTTTTTACCTGGTTAATCTTCCAGGTGAACTCGTTATCCCATCACAAAGTGTTTTAAATCCAACACTGATAATACAGGATACGATGAACGAGACGATAGCCATGGCAGCACTGATCAAAACAAACGGCATTACCCACATCTGTGATCTGAAATTTTAAAACAATTTAAAGCAAGAATTTCAAATTTTCTAAGAAAGTCAAAACATAATTATTTATGTCTTTTGCTCAATAGGTTATCAAATCACTATTATACGATCATGGGCATTATTTCCCACCCTTAAAAAATCTATGACACAGGAAATAACAACACAATTACCTCCCCTGTTTTGCTATTGACAACATGGGGCAGCCATTTTCCAACGTTGGAATTTGAAGTTAAAAATGATATTTTTGCCAATTTCTCAGCTGGCAATAGCGAATTATAGGATTATTCTTTAACAAGGTAGGACTGTTTATGGATACCATCTATTTTAAGGCTTTATTTTAATACATTTTAAAAATATAACTTGAAAATTTGCAATTGCAACTTTAATAGAAGGCTTGATCTCGCCTTAACTTCGTACATCTTATCAAGGCATTCGCATAATACCTGCATATTTCAGTACTAATTTCATCCATCTTGTGAGCCTATCAGATTCCTCGATTATCCCAAATACCAAGTCTGGCGCTTCCCAGCTAAAATGTCTACCTGTGATAATCAAGTTGCAAAGTTCATGGTTCGATCAATGTCAAGATTTCCGTGCAGGTCGCTATGGTTGATTTAAGTGTGTTTGAGTCACAACCCCTAATTGGACGCTACTGTTCACGTAAAGGGTGATATCGTAGCTATAAGTTCAGGGCCCTGTTTCTCGAAATCTTAACTAAAGATGAAATCCAAATTTTAGTAGATACTTCAATTTTGATTGGCTAAGCACTGAAATCAATCTAATATTATCCAATCAAATTACTAAAATTTGGTTTTTATCTTAGTTAAAATTTCGTGAAACATGCCCCTGGAATTGTAAAGCAATCTAGCAATATCCAGATGTTGTAAAACTTGCAGTCGCTGCTTCAGGAACATGGGAGCTTAAAGGCTAACTACATAGCAATTACCGGTATAATAAAATTAACAGCATTGACAACGATACGATATCCATGTACAACCATAAAAACATGAAATCTCATTAGTTCAGAGCAGTTTCAACTAAAAATTTGTATAATTTGTGATCCTTTCTGTAATATTTAGATCTCACTGATTTTTAAGTGCCTTAATATATTTGTGACCATCATTGCCAGCTACATGATTACCAGCCACACCAGGGATTACAAGCTACACTAGGGATTACCAGCGACACTAGGGATTACCAGCTACACTATAGGGATTACCAGCTACACTAGGGTTGCCCACGGATTGAAATTTGGGGTTAAGGGCAGCAGCTGAGAAGCCGAGAATCGAACAGGACTGCAGACAATAAAATACCTTTTTCAGAGTTATACTACTTCTGGCGCAAATCTCTCTATACTCATGCAACACCAGGTAAATAGCGACTTATTTTTATAAAAAGAGAGAGAGAGAGAAATGGGGTTTAACGTCCACTCGACACAAACTAGGTCATTTCGGGACTAACATATGGTTTAATTTTATTTCAATAATTCGCTTGCGCCTAGGAGTCTTTAGCAGTGGGAGGAAATCAGAGGACCCGGAGAAAACCCACGAGGTTGGAATTTTTATAAAAAGGTTGAAGTTTATTAATATACAAACCCAATATTAGGATCCTTTTGGCAGATGGCATAGGTAAAGTAACAGAACATTCCTAAACTGAAGAATATACAGGCAAACACATTAAAATATACAGGAAAGTTACAGTTGACTTTATCAGAAAAATCAAATGTGCTAAAAGTTGCATTCTTCCAATTAACATCACTGTACAATATGCAGTTCCCATCAAAATTCATCTGAAAAACAAAGAAAAGAAAAATCACACAGTGAAAATGAGACTAGACTAGTTTTCATTTTCTTGATAAAAACGAGAGAGTATCATCGTGGAAACTTTGCATGTTAAAGATACATTATGTAATATTTAGATAAAGAGCTGACAGTTCTTACTATAATATTGAAACTTTTATTCAGATTAATCTATTGTGAGCGAAGATATTAGCCTTTGAAGGTTTGACAAGACGTGTGCAATAATTACAACCACCGTACTTTAGACAACAGAAGATATGGAATATATAATTTTAGACGATTATATACCCATTACCCAATGCTTTTTGATTACAACCCGTATTTATTCAGAAATCCACTTTGTTCAGCATCCGTAATAATAAAAGATATTGAAAAGTTGTTTTTTTTCTTCATGGAATTTTGGGTACCTTATTTTGCCAGCTATTGAAGGCAAAACAGGTGTTTATTAATTTTGTTATCACTTTATCTGTCTTCCCCAAAAATCTGATTGCCTGACTATTAACAGGTGGCAGGTTAGAAATGTTGATACATAGGTTGGGTTAGGGCAGTAGTTCTCAACCTTTTTTTACCTACGGCACACCTTAGAACACATGTAAAAATAGTGGCACACCTGGCTAAATATATATGAAGAAAATTTAAATTTTGCAAAATAAAAACATGGTAAGCCAGGCGGCATACAACCACAGATTAATATATTTTGTAGAATATATTTTCCCCACATCTTACAAGATGATAGGATAAACTATTATTGTTCCAGCGAAATAAAAAGAAAATGTTTCATAAATATTTCATTGTCCACTTTTCCAAACGCCCCCAAACCTTGCCATGTCTAAGACAGAGACTAGTCATAGACACATAGATTGACTCCAACTATTAAATAAGGAAATACACAGCTATGAACTTATCAGTAGACACCTATGAATACTCAATTTGGATCACATGATTTTTCACATTTTCTTAGTGCGCAGTTCAAAATTTCGCCGCACACCGGTTGAGAAATCACTGGATTAGGGTTATATATAATTTACTTCTCTGATGCTAGAATTAAGGCTGTTCATGGTTGGAAATATTGATACATGTATTTGCAACAAAATATGTAATGGATAAGTAAACAAAATGTAGGCTAATTAGGCAAACTTTTGATTAATCTTCCATTACTGATTACATTTAATGATTACATTTCTTAGTTGTTTACATGGTGGCTTGCAGGATGTCCCAGTTGACCCTGGTATTTGGTGATAAATATCCTCCAGATTTTGCAGCGTGGTTTCGCCATGTCAGTGACGCAGGACCTTGCACGGAATAGCATGTTATTCGGATGGGACCAAAAAAAACAAGGTCCTATATATGGCGTATATGTAAAAGACAGTTGGAATTCCATGTGTAGGCAGTATAGTTCCACTGTCCCAGCCCAATTACCCTCATCTGCATGGCCTTGTCTTCCTACACAGGTTATAGCCTAGCCCTGGTTATAAAATTGTATGCCTACACCAGAGGCAGAGCACAAATGTAGGAATTAAACCAAGCTCTGTAGTGTTTTTTCATTTCTCAATAAAATTAGTCTACTAACAAGCTCTAAAGCTTTATTGTGGATCTATTTATGAACTTTAAACCTGCGGCCCTGAAATCAAAACATTTCAAGGTCGCCAAATTTTGGCAATGTTCCTGAAAGTAGGCCTACTTTACGGTGCGATTGTCCAAAAAATATATAGCCTAACCGGCGAGTTAGTAGAAAGCTAAATAAACAGCCCCTAATATGATCAGCAAGCCTACAAACAATAATTTGATTCTTATAAACAATTGAGAATTTCGATCAAGTTGTGTAAAACTTCCTAAAACAGTCAAGTCAACAGCCATAAACAGTTGATATGGATATGTAGGTCAGTAAGATCTCGGGTTACAAACACTTTCGTTGTCGGCTTCTTTTACTTTCAACTTCTAAAAAAGTTTCCTCACCGTTGTCAGGCCCACCGAAATAGCAGTAGTGAAGCCTGTAAAGACGATGGTCAAATACAACAAGGCCTGGATAAACAACTGTACGTCCGGAATCTTCATTTTGGCAAAAACTATCACACACTTCCTCAAACCCCTCAGGCGAATAAAAAGTTAAAATTATTGTTGTTGAGGCACAATACTGGATCTTCAATGAGTTACTTTCTATTTTTCACTCGGCAACCGGCTGCAGATTTCACTCGGCCAACTTCGGTTACTCCTCCACACCAAACCATGTTTCCAAACAGAATTATCTTTCCGTGACCCGCAAATTATATTTTTAACTGGTTTGCCTTTGGCGCAATATTCTGATGTTTAGGCTAACACTGTTTTTAACGGCGTCAGCTTCTTATATTTATTGGGCTACAAACACTAAACAGTTGTCTTTTATTTTCTGAGGAGATTTTCTGACCTGGGTAATGTAAATGAAGTTTGTTACTTTATAGTAGGCTAGTATTTGACTAAAACTGCATAAATCAAATCTTAATCATAGATGTACCGATTGTAAATAATTTTTTTTGCTGACGAAGTCTTTTCTAACTTTTGGGGTAAGACTACTAACTAAGTAGCCTACATTGAAATTAGTGCTAGTACAGTAGAAGTGGTCTTGGCGTCGGGTAATCGATATGAAAACAAGTCTACATTATAATTAGGCCTAGATATCTACCTAGTCCGACTTCATTTCAAGCATTTTATTTATACCCCTTAAGTTGTAGTAGTGACAGTTTAACTACAAGTAAGTACAACAGCAACCAACAGGGGGTCACAGTATCGTGACTCATGGACTTGTCAGGAGTATAACTTGAGCCTGAGAATGATCAATGAGATACACACAAATGGATAAGTCTGATAATCAGTTAATAAATCAGATGTAACTTGTAAATAAAGGCACTGTATGACAGTGTATGTAGGCCTACATATGATATATATTCTAAATACTAATAAATAGGCCTAGTAGTATTGTTTTATTAATATTACCTATTTATTAATTAATAGGGTTTCAGGTCAAACTCAAAGTTTCAAATGATCAAAACGCTCTATATACCAGTCAATGCGTGGGATGGCACCAAAATAAGTGCTTTTCTGTCATATTTGAGTGACGTCATGAGTCATAAGCGGTATTTTCCCTTCAGAATCGCTATACTGGCTAGGCTCTATATAGTACCAATTTTAAAACTGAATGAAATCCGCACGTTATTGTCAGCTAAGATTTATTAAAATCATAATTATATATTATAGATCTAATTTCAAATATTATACTTAACTAATAGAATCAATTAAGCTTTTACTATCTAATATGGTCGAAGCTCAGGTCCTAAAAACGCCTTTAATTTATGGTTTCTGTTATTCTTAAATAGATATTGTTAGGGACCTCATGCTGGAGGTTCGGTCGCATGATCATTTAATGTTCGAATTCTATACAAAATTGTAAAGTCTGAAGTTAGTATCAATGTAATTTGCTAATCTGGTCAACAAAGGTCCATTTACATTGATTTTGATGGAAAATTAGATCTGAATTACATATTACATATTTAAAGTTTATATTTCTTGATTATAAAGGTAGAATTTGAAATTATTTTCTCAGTGTTTTAAATGGGTTGGTTTTTTTTTTTGATGGCTTTGACCATTAAATTGAAAAAAATCAATGAAATGGACCTTTGTTGTGGTGTGGATAGGCTTGGGTGTAGGGGTGCCGGGAGCCCAAGTAGTGTCGTTAAAAAAGTATTAACATTAGTGTTACTTTACTCTTATTTTATGAAAGTTTTTTTCGCAAGTTGATTTCCTTTATTTTTTTAATGTAGAATGGTAATGAACTGCTTTTTTCCTTTTCTTTGCTTTATTTGTTCCGTTTGAATTTGATTTATCTGTTTAGTTTTTGATTGTTTAATTATTGTTTTTGTTAATTAAGTTGATTCTTTTAAACTTTGTTTTTATTTTTATACGTCCGTCGTCCACAATTTCTTGTGAACGCTCTAGAGACTAAAGTTAATATCTGATATTTACTGCCAGAGTTATAGCCCTTGATCACTTTGATAAATCTTGTGAACGCTCTAGAGGCTAAAGTTAATATCCAATGGACTCCAAATTGTTACACAGTGTGTAAGGTCATGAGACGAAGAAGCCTAATGATTTTCAGCGATATCCGATAATTACTACCAGAGTTATGGCCCTTGATCACTTTGAAAAATCTTGTGAACACTCTAGAGGCTAAAGTTAAAATCCAATTGACTTTAAATTTATACACAGTGTTTAAGGTCATGAGACAAGACGCCTATTGATTTTCAGCGAGATCTGATGATTACTGCAAGAGTTATGGCATTGATATGTGAGAGACATCAGTTTAAAGTCGATTCTGGTTATTATAATCTAATGTATGAACTTTGTGTTGATTTTACCAGCCTGTAATTGTGGTATCATAATTAATTGTGATTTTAACATTTTTTTTAGTTAACTATATTAAATGAATTCCAAATGTACGTGTTGGCGAGGGGGTACATTAATAATTATATGTTTTTGTAGTACATGTTCCTTGTTTTATAATAAAACTACGCCCTTTCATTTTTCAGAAGAAAAGTATAGAAAATATTTCCAATTATCTATCTTGAGGTAAATCAGTTTATTATTTTCATTAACAGTTCTTATTTTTGTAAATTTTTATGTAAATCAACTACTTGTCATTGGAGTGCATCTCAAAATTCACTTTCCTTATCTACATAAAGTTTATGTAATAAGTTATAGTGTGTAAATTTGAAGTAAGTTCATATGTTTTTTTATTAATTATTTACAGATCACAGAGATTGAATGCTGCAGGTCTTGTGTTTAGTGTATAGACTAATTGGTGGATGTTATTAACATTAACCTTTTAGCAAAGGTTAGCTTGATGATGTTACTGCAGTGTAGTGGAAGATGTTAACCTAACTTTGGTAGACAACAAGCCTAACCCTGAAGTCAACGATGTACAATATGTCAGTGTCACGGTTCCACTACCAAACGTAACGCGAATATAAACAATACTTACGGGTACATGTATTTACTTTGATTGAAATGAGGTCAACTTAAAAATTTGTGTAGATGTGTTATTTGTTGTAACAGTTATATCCATAAAATGTAAATTGTATTTTCTCTATATTAGTATAACAGATTAAACGAAATAAGATTATTTCACTCATGACTCGTAGTCACCCACCATCGTAGAAGTGTCAACATATCGAGAACACGCATTCATGAACCATGATTAGTTGGGACAAATTAATAATGAGGAATACTGTTTTCAAAGGCCTTAAGACAGGAAAGTGGTTATTGGTCACAACATTCATGTGTCACTGCAGGGGAGGGGGTGGAGTCAAATGATAATGCATTCGTGTTGGATAATAAGGTCTGTCATTTAGTGAAGAGGCTTAGCTTCGTTTCCAAGAGTAGGGTCGACTGCATTCCCACTGTTAAGATTTCGAGAAACAGGGCCCAGATTCTCACATCAGATACTTGAACCACAGAAAAGGTTACCTTTCAGAAAATTGGCTCTGTAGCCTAAAACTGAATCACCTATATCTCGGTTCAGAGCAAAGCAATCTGACTGAAATTTCAGCATTTTCTGTTTCTATTATTTATTGTTGAACTATTATAGCGAGAACTGTCAGCTCTTATCTAATCTTACCCAATGGCGCCAATGCCCCTTATAAATCTAGTTTAAAATCCAAATATTTGTCTAAACTTTAGACAGACCTTATGATCTACTAGTATTCTCCAGTTGGTCAATTTCACTGCAAGTCAGTCAAAACGGCCAAACATGACTGGCGAAAATAAGACAAATAAGGTTGGAAGTACCTTCAAAACAAACCATGGCACTTGAATCAATGACAGACCTTATGATCTAAAGCATACATCAGACCACTCAACCACACAACTGGTAAAGACTTTAGACAAATATTTGGATTTTAAATTAGAAACAAAACCATACTGTTGAAGATGTAATTGAGACAAGACATTAGACTAGCACTTATATTTATTAGCAAAAAAAAGCCAACAATTTGATTGGTTTTAGTGCTTAGCCAATCAAAATTGAAATTTCTACTAAAATTTGGATTTGATCTTAGTTAAAATTTCCCTACTTTTAAGTTCTGGTAAAATGTCCTTATGTGTCGGAAGTTCTGATTTGTCGACTAAACGAAAGCGACCAGACTGTCCACCGTTGGCTTTGAGAAATGCGACAATTTTGATCGGTGACATACTTTGCGTTACAATGGTGTACATCTGATTTCTAGTGGAATGATTTATAAAGCGAACTGGAACGGGGAGGTTATACAGTAAGCCGTTAATCTGGCGTGTGATATGATGAGGGAAAGCAGGTCCAAACAGTAGATCTTTTAGCATTTTAACTTTTATGAATTCGTCTAGTCGTGCCTGGGCAGCTTTTAAAATAAATCTATCAGCATGACGGTAATGTGGTTTTCTAGGATATTTCTTCTTAGCTTGTGAATCTGTTACTTCTTCCCTCATTTCAACATCTGTGTCACTGGTCTCAGTTTCTGAATCAGTTCCCTCAGCTGTAGTAGCTGTAACGTTTTCTCCTGCATCCTCGGCAGCTTTCTTCAACACCTCCGCTTCTTTAAGCAACGTATCAAAACTGACAGATTCTATCGCTTGATCAGGTTTAGTGTAAGCAGAAACCTGGAATGAAAAACGATTTACTAAGACATGATATCTAGGTTAACTTTAAATAATGGCATTCATCAATTAAAGGTCAAATCTGTGCCTAGCCAGGAAGGCATTTTTATGTGCAATACAAGAGCAGAACGAAAACCAAAGTGGCTCAGTACATGAGGTGCCAGCTCTGTGGATAAGCCATCGGCTCAGGGGTTAAGCCACCAGCTCAGTTGGTAAGACAATGTCTCAGTGGGTAAAGACCCACCTCTGTGGGTAAACCGCTGGCTCGGTGGGTTCTGACTCGGTGTGTAGGACACTGGCTCATTGATAAGAATCTGTTTTTAATCTGGCCAATGAAGTTCCTCAGGTTTTTCCAGCCTTTTTTCGTCTTGTTGCAAGGGCAAGATGGACTGGACAAGAAAAAAGGTCCCTTGTATAGCCATTGGCAGCATGTTGACGGAACGGGAAAAAAATGCACGATACCGGACATGAGATTCTACTCCTTGTCACATACAAGCTTGGCTCAAATTGATTCAAGGACATATCTTATGATCTAAAGGGCATGCATTAGACCACTAGACCAGCCCACCCATATATCAATCTTCTGGTGTTGTCACAGGATAACCCTGCTCAAGGGACAGGAACGTTGCTTCAGTGAAAGGGTGTAGAAATGCAATGCTTGGCTAAATTGGTTTTTATACGCCCACACGAAAATTATAATGTCATCTGTATGAAGTTGTCTATTAAATGCCCCCTAATTACCTACAAAAGAACAAATATACGACAACTCTTGTCGACCGCTCGGACGATTTAGCTGCTGTGGGCGTATGTTTAGTTGCCTGGCAACCTATCTTTATATAATGTAGGCCCTATTTAGCTCAGGAATCCATAGCCCTAAAGCTAATTCAAGTATTCAATAGAATAACTTACCTCTATGACTGGTTGTGTTTCGTAGAGCTTAAACAAGATATCAGCTGCTGCAAAATTTCTAGAGCCTATCTTACTAAGAGACACTGCAGGTTCGGTTCCAACATCTTCCTTCTGTATCTTCATCTGACATCTTAAAGTAAAAAAAGAGAGAAATGGGGATTAACACTCACACAAAACAAACCAACATTTTTGGACTGACACCCAGGAGGTTTGACTCAATGAAAGATCTTATGAGCTTGGACCACTCAACCACCCCTAAAAACAAAAGAAGAGTAACAAGCAAACTGAACATTTCAAAATTTTGATCAATGGGACAAGACTAGATCTTAAAGCTACAATTTCATATTTGTTAAGTTATATTTTTAAAATTTATTAAAATAAAGCCTTAAAATAGATGGTATCCATACACAGTCCTACCTTGTTAAAGAATAATCCTATTAATCCTATAATTCACTATTGCCAGCTGCGAAATTGGCAAAATTATCATTTTCGAATTCCAACATTTGAAGATAGCTAATGCATGGAGGCAATAGGAAAACAAGGGAGGTAATTGTGTTATTATTTCCTGTGTCAATGATTTTTAAGGGTGGGAAATAATGCCCATAGTCGTATAATAGTGAGTTGATAACCTATTGAGCAAAAGACATAGAAATAATTATGTTTTGACTTTCATAGAAAATATGAAATTCTGGCTTGAAGGCTAAGGCCAGGAAACACAGCCTAGGTCTTACAGTTAAGGCCGGAAGACGCAAGACTACAGTAGGTCTTAAGAGATTCAAGACTAGGTCTTAAGAGACACAAGACTAGGCCTTACAGTTGAGGCCAGAAGATACAAGACTAAGCCTTACAGTTGAGACCGGAAGACACAAGACTAGGCCTTAAGATTATGGCCGGGAGACCAGACTAGGCCTTAAGGCAACTTACCTGAATACACGATCATCATTGTCAAAAAACTCCCATTCCAACAACATATTGTTGACAAAACATGAATGTTGTAAAATATAGAAACCTTGAACTTTACGATCTACTATCCAACTGACGTCCTCAAAGACAACGATATCCTTGGCTGGTAGTGTTGATATAGGTTTTCGGGTCCATTGTAAGCGATGAAGATTCGAACAGTTATCTTCCAAAATGCAGTTGCCCTTGACACGAAAGTCGATAACATCTGTTGCTGCTTGGTCGTGTGGTTGAAGTTTACTGTGTTGGGGGAGGATGAACTCGGGGTCACAGTTCGTGAAACTTATCGGGCTTTAGAGTAAGCGTCTGCTTGGGCATCTGTTCGGTTCTCTGCTTCACCAATCATGATGAGATGACCAGCTAGATAGAGGTTACAGAAAATTTTCTCCTTTTCTATTTCTGTGTTCATGCTACGACGGTACAGACAAATGGGCGTCAATTTTACATCGTTGAAAATTCCATCCAAGACAGTAATGATGGATGCAGGATGCGTGGCACTGCTAAGTTCGTTCATTTTGACAAACTGTTCACGGAGATCAAATGCCCTAGGATTTGGTGCTGCCTTTACCAAAGTGCTCTGAACCTGTGCTTCTGCTTCTGTTATGACAGACTGTTCGACACCATCTAAGATGTTGCCATGTTCAACATTCATGGTGGTCAGTCGTTCAACCACCATATTATAACACAATGACTTAGCAGTTTTTTTGGAAACTGAAACACCTGCACCTTGTAGTATGTTGTCAATAAAGTACATTCCCTTATGATAAACTTTCCCTGATTCAGCTTTACAACTCTCTACATCATATCGACAACGGACTCGACATTTAGCCACAGAGGCCGCCAACTCCATTTTGCTGACTGAATTGGTTGAAGCATATTTAGGATTGGTTAGAATATCTTGGATCTGTTTCAAAATAGATGGTGGGGGTAACTCTGCAATTGTTTCTTTCTCCATCTTAGCAACGGTCGAGTTAAAATTCTCCAGTTTCTCCTTGATAACTTTTGGGGTCATATCATCCTGGTTCAAAATTTCAGTGACAGGAAGGGTACGATAAAGTTCCACCGCCTTCTTGAAACATGACAGTTTGATTTCTTTCTTGTTGATGCCGATAGCTCTGGCTAGGAACACACCACATCAAAAAATCTGGTCTAATTCCAACTTTACAACTCATCAGAGAATTCTCAAACAACTAAAATGAAATAAAATAGGATTTAATGGGAAAGAGAGGAAAATGGGCTTTATTGTTCACTCGACACTAGGTCATTTCGGGACTAACATATAGTTCATTTTATTTCATTAGGGGTCTTTAGCAGTGGAAGGAAACACTGAGGACATGGAGAAAACGCACAAGGTTGAACAGACGACCCTACTCCTTGTCACGTACAAGCGGGTAATGACGCATTAACGCTTCGACCACCCAAACTCGCCCAACTGGTCTTATGTAGATGGGCAAATAAAAGAATTTTATACGTAATACATGCTTGAATAAAAATAAAAATAAAAATAAAGCAGAATCTGTGTTTTTAATGAGATTATTGTGAAAAATATTAAACATGCATTATGCAAGAGCTAAACCTGTCAATTTCAGGTCTTTCTTTAGGCCTGAAATCTTATCTAAATTATTAATTAGACATTAATTAACTTATCCAGACCATAATAAACTCCCGATGTCAAGGCTAGCCTTCGATGTCGACTGGATTACAATTCTATATGCTGCTATCGCTCATTGATAATTAAATCACAACAATAGACAATCGAGACTATTAGTTTCGAGGCTAGGCGAAACTTTCATCCGCTTAGTTTTCGGTTCATAGTGGACCAATTTGACTGACATATAGTGAGAGCTGCTAACTCGTTATCTTATCTCCATCTCCCATAATGTATCTTTAATAAATAAAACCTCACCATAATTTCATTGATTACTTTTTTTTCACTTCGTAAAAACATTGAAAGTCGTCGAATTTTTTCTGCTAGCGGCAATTTTGTGGCATCGATTGGTTCTGGGTTGGGTGTTTTGTGTACAGCGGCAGCAGGCAGACCTTTGTTATCAATGGGGCGTGTCTGGCAGTCTGGTAATGTTTCCCATTTCTTCTCTGTAAATAAACCATTAAAAAATGTAGTTTGTTAAAGCTGCATTTAGTAACTGTATTGAATAAACCATGACTAATATACCGGTGTATTAAATACAAGTTTTTTCACAGTTCATTTCTGACGACGTCTTGAAAAGTGTTCTCTTGTATTTATCAAGCCACAAACAAAATAAACTTCTAAATAACTTGTATTCTGAATATTGTTTAGTGCCCAGGTTCACTTTGCTCATTTCTGTTGTTCAGCGGCTGGGGAGGGGGGGGGGAATAGGTTTTACATTTAGATTCAGAACGAACATGATTCTTCTACAGCCATCCTTTTTACAGTGGTTACAACTTAAACATACAGGTTTCAAGTTTAACTGACTACCATGACTAGAGAATAGAATAACGTGATTTATCAACGAATTAACAGAATTTTAAAACAAAATTAAAAGCTTTTGAGCAGTAGTACGGTAAAAATTATGTGTGTCAAAAAGATAAGCACCACCGTTTAAAATGAGGTCTGTTTGATATTTAACCATCAACAATAAACTCAGATGGTTTTTATTTGGAACCATGTAATATCCATCACAAAATACTTCCAGCATAAGTCTTGCCACTCCAAGAAGAATAGTGTCAGGTTCCTTTGGTACCATGGTACTAATCAAACAAGAGGTGTTGAGGACGTGATCCAAGTGAGAGAGGGGGGGGTTGGATGGCTGAATGGTTAGCGTGCGCGCGCTGTATCATAAAGTCTGTCATTGAGTCAACTGGCGTGGTTTCGAATCCCCGGTTGTACGTGACAAGGAGTAGGGTCGCCTGTCCAACCTCGTGGGTTTCCTCCGGGTCCTCCGGTTTCCTCCCACAGCTAAAGATCCCTACGCGCAAGCGAATTATGGAAATAAAATTGAACCATATGTTAGTCGAGTGGACGTTAAACCCCATTTCTCTCTCTCTCCAAGTGAGAGAGGGATACACATGACGATGGTTATCACTACTCTTGTCTGTAATCCTCATCCTTTTCCTGACCAGATCATCTAATGGACTCCTATATTTTTCGAAATCCTCAATTAAAAAATATCTATTACTTAAATGACCAAATATTCCTGTCTTGTTTTACTTTAAGGTGGTCCTTAACCTTTTGTCAGTTGTATTTATTTTTATAACTTACTTGCACCACCGGCACTGTTTGCGGGAGTTCCAACACCTCCTATAGAATTCAACTCATTGTTAAAAATATAATTTGCGGGTCACGGAAAGATAACTCTGTTTGGAAACATGGTTTGGTGTAGAGGAGTAACCGAAGTTGGCCGAGTGAAATCTGCAGCCGGTTGCCGAGTGAAAAATAGAAAGTAACTCATTGAAGATCCAGTATTGTGCGTTGTGGAGGGCGGATACATGGCTGGTTGTCCGAGATTAACTTAATCAAGAGGGGTAACTCGTTTTACAAAACTGGAATCAAACGGACACAGATCACTAAAGATTTCCCCATTGACTCCAATGTTAATTCTCGTATCTTAGACCGGCTCTAACTTTTTCCCAAATTTTCGTTGGGTAGAACGCTTTCTACCACAGATGGAGCAACATGTGGCAACCACTTGTCCAAAAGCACGTATGAGGTTCTTCATGAAAAACTTGAGATACACAAGCTGGAAGTAGAGACAAGTAAACATGCAATTTCAGGCCCTACATTTCAACGTAACCAACCTCTCAACTCTTGTATCCTTCCGCATCAAAATTATGAATATTCACCAAAACCTGGCAGAAAATGTATTTTCAAACCCTTTTCCTCAATTCTACACCAAAAAGTCAACAAAAATCGCCATGCAAAAGGGGGAAAAAGGAAAAGGGAGAGGAAGACTAAAAATAGCTTTGGCCCTTGTTTCGGATATTTGGTGATCTGTGTCCAAACTAACACAATACCTTTTCAATCATTGATGTCCATATAAATTTAAGCAAGCCCTCAAGGTTGTTAGAGAGAGAGAAATGGGGTTTAAGGTCCACTCGACACAAACCAGGTCATTTCGGGACTAATATATGGTTCAATTTTATTTCAACAATTCGTTTGCACATAGGGACCGTTAACAGTGGGGTGGGGGGTACCAGAGGACCCACAGAAAACCCGCAAAGTTGGTCAGAAGACTAATTGTTGTTAAAACAGTTGGTAGATTTTGATGTTTAGGCTACAATAGGCCTCAATGAGGTTTATTGACCAAAACTGTTACTGATAGTGACAGAGTTAGCAGAATTCAAGACACCTCAACCAATAGCCTACTTCTATCAGATTTATTTGCTCAGTGTTGTGTAATGAAGTCACTTTATACAATTTAAAAAAAAAACGACAAACAAAACACTATTTGAGGATGCTACACGGATTACCATGCAAGGTTTAGGTCCTTTAAACTTTAGGGACCCCTTAGACAGAATAGGAGAGAGAGAGAGAGAGAGAGAGAGAGATGGGGTTTAATGTCCACTGACACAAACTAGGTCATTTTGGGACTAACATATGGTGAATTTTATTTCATTAATTCGCTTGTGCGTAGGGGTATTTAGCAGTGGGAGGAAACCGGAGGACCCGGAGAACACCCACGAGGTTGGACAGGCAACATACAACCATGGATTCGAAACCACGTCAGTTGACTCAATGACAGGCTGTATGATACAGCACACACGTGCTAACGATTCGGCCATCCAACACCCCAGACAGAATAGGCCCACAGTCTCTATAGGCAAGGGGGATTGTTCCTTTCAGTAATTTGCAACAAATTAATCAACTCCGGGGTCCACAGTGAAACAGGAAAGTCCTACTAATTTGACATTCTTGAAACCTGTCTAGTCATTTGGATGGGATGACAAATCAAGGTTCAGTGTAAAAGAAACTATTGGTGTGCACGTATATCCTGATACACTGCCCATCTTCATCAGCCCTGCGTGAGTAAGACTTAAAACCCCATTTCCTTAATTCATTGCTTAAAATCACTGAATATTGTTAATAGGGAGCTATAAAAAAAATACAACAAACAAAAATTGTTGAGATGAAATTTTTTTGTTTTTAATTTAATATGACATAAAAAAAAATGTTGGGATGAAATTTTGTATTTTTAATTTAATATGACATACAAAAATATGATAACAATGAATGAATGATGATGGATGATTTTGATTGGTCCACGATTCTTGTCTTTATATCCCTGTTTTAATGTCGACTTCCTCGTCTGAAAGAGTTCAGAATAAATAAATTAATTACATTGTATCAAGATATGGTTCAACAAAGGTAAACCACACCAATACAATAGTTCCCAATCCTAAAGGTAAACCAGGCCAATACAATAGTTCCCAATCCTAAAGGTAAACCAGGCCAATACAGTAGTTGCCAATCCTAAAGGTAAACCACACCAATACAATAGTTCACAATCCTGAAGTGATGGGCATACTAGCCAAATCAATCGACCCCGAAATTCGCTTAACGTGCCCAGTGTCATTGAGTCGAATTTCTATTTTGGCGATTTATTCGGCTAGTGATGGCTTAACCCTTTTCCACTAGCAGACCCTTTGGGACATTTTACAAATCTCTGAAGATCCCCCACATCTTTATTTACTCTTTCTCAATATTTCCCTGAGTATTAGGACGTATTTAACCATGTTTTAGGTAAATGTTTGGGTTAGGGTTAGGAGTATTAGGACATATTTAACCATGTTTTAGGTAAATGTTTGGGTTAGGGTTAGGAGTATTAGGACGTATTTAACCATGTTTTAGGTAAATGTTTGGGTTAGGGTTAGGAGTATTAGGACGTATTTAACCATGTTTTAGGTAAATGTTTGGGTTAGGGTTAGGAGCATTAGGACGTATTTAACCATGTTTTAGGTAAATGTTTGGGTTAGGGTTAGGAGCATTAGGATGTATGTAACCATGTTTTAGAGAAATGTTTGATCAATCCTCTCGTAAGCCATCTACTGCACAGAGATGAATCTACTTCATACTTCGAGAATAGATCTCTGTCCTACATGGCCGATATATCAAAATAGATCTCTGTCCTACATGGCCGATATATCAAAATAGATCTCTGTCCTACATGGCCGATATATCAAAATATTAGTATACTCTTTTGTGATTCAGTTCTACTCCGTTTCACATCTGTCATACACACAGAGACTAAATAAACTTCTTCAATTTTATTAATTGGAAGCAGAATAAATACTTGACAATATCCAAAAATATACTTAGTGTTTTCGACTAAAATTCTTGATTAAGGACTTAAAATGTCTTTCAACTAGCTTAGTGTCTGTTCTCAAGCGCAGCTAACTGTAGACAGGCAGCACAAGTTTAGTATGCTATAGCTATGTAGACAGACAGCACAAGTTTAGTATGCTACAGCTATGTAGACAGACAGCACAAGTTTAGTATGCTACAGCTATGTAGACAGACAGCCTTAGTTTAGTATGCTACAGCTATGTAGACAGACAGCACAAGTTTAGTATGCTACAGCTATTGAAATTCAAACTGAATTTAACATGGCTATTTCTTTTCTCAGTCGGGGGATCACGTGGCTAAGTGGGTAAGACGCTGGCTCGCTAGTCTGGAGGTCGGGTGTTCGATCCCTGCATTGGCCGAGAAAGTTCATCCAGATTTTCCGGCGTGGTTTCCCCTTGTCAGTGATGCAGGACGGAGGGCCTGACAAGGACAGCTGTCTAGTCGTTCGGATGGGACGAAAAACCGAGGTCCCGTAAAAGATTCGTTGGCAGTTGGAATTCGATATAAGAGTAGGCCGTAGTGCCGCTGCCCGGGCAAAATTTCCCTCATAGCACACTGTATGGCGTATGCCCGTCTTCATTAGCCCAGTTTAGGAGGGAACAGTAGGACGTTAACCCCATTTGATTTCATTTCATTTCTTTTCTCAGTCCTATTGACTATTTTGATTTGTAATTATAGAATATCTCATAAAACACATACAAAAACTGACTGACGGGTGGAATTGATTGAGGGGGTCTTGAGAAATTTAAGTCAGTGCTTAACACAAGAGAGAGGTAAATGGGGTTTAACGTCCACTCGACACAAACTAGACTAACATATGGTACAATTTTATTTCAATAATTCACTTATGAGTAGGGGTCTTTTGCTTTGGGGGGAAATCAGAGGCCCCGGAGAAAACCCACGAGGTTGGACAGGCGACCCTACTCCTTGTCACGTACAACCAAGGAATCGAAACCATGCCAGCTGACTCAATGACAGACCTTATGAGATAGCGCGCACACGCTAACCATTCGGCCATCCAACCACCCAATGTTTAATACAAGCAGTCCCAGACGACATATATGTCCAAGTACGAACTCCTGGCCCTAATAATTTTACATTGTATTATAGAAAAAACTCACTTTGATTTGGGTGTTACGGCCGTATCCATGGTAACCTTACAACTCTTACACTCCCATCGTCCAGTAGGTATAGCTTTAACACCAACACAGAATGTATGATACCCTCGATCACATCTATCACAGAACATCATCTTATCCTGTAATAAAAACACAGAATGTATGATAGCCTCTATCACCTGCAAAAACCCCACAAGGTTGTCACGTACAACCAGGCCACTTGACTCACTGACGGACCTTATGATACAACGCCAATCAGAAAAGGTCATCGGTTGATAATGAAATTAAATGGGGTTTAACATCCTACTGGGCTAATGAAGACGGGCATATGCCATACAGTGTGCTATGAGGGTAATTTTGCCCGTGCAGTGGCACTATGGTCTACTCTTATATCGAATTCCAACTGCCAAGGGATCTTTTACATGCATGCCAATGGATACACAGGACCTCGGTTTTTCCGTCCCATCCGAATGACTAGATTGCTGTCCTTGTCAGGCCCTCTGTCCTGCAGCAATGACAAGGGGAAACCATGTCAGAAAATCTGGATGAACTTTCTCGGGCAGTGCCGGGATTGAACATCTGACCTCCAGGCCAGCGAGCCAGCGTCTTACCCAGCTCCCGGTTGATAATGACCTCCAGGCCAGCGAACCAGCGTCTTACCCAGCTCCCGGTTAATAATGACCTCCAGGCTAGCGAGCCAGCGTCTTACCCAGCTCCCGGTTGATAATGTAAATGGTATGAGTTTTACAGTGATAAATTACCTCATCATACGGATCCATACATTCAACACATGTTTTACATTCCATACATTGCCAAGGATACGTCTGTATTACACCCACCATTTCAGCTGTTAATTCTAAACATGTTGGATGACCTGTACAGATAAAAATAAAACTGTGTTTATTTAATATTACACTTTAAAATGACACCAAATAATGCTACTGTTACAGCACAATCTGTATACAAACACCATTAAGCACAGGGACCGTCTAAACACCCTTAAGTACAGGAACCGTCCAAACCCCCTTAAGCACAGGGAGAGTCCAAATCTGTCCAACACTACTGATAAACCACCTTAGAAATAAAAATACACAACCAGACTGTGAGAGATGCGAGATCCTCCCCCCCAAGTTAGATTGGATATACACAACCAGATTGTGAGACATTCCAGAGCCTAGATTGGAAAAACCACGTAAAATTAAAAATAGAATTTATACAAGAACTGAATTTTGAGACATCCCAGATCCTGTTCCCTAAGTTAAAAAAATAAAATACCAATAAGCTCCTATCCGCAAGTTAAACTAGAAATAGAATGCCCGACAAATGGATTACAAAATTCTGTCCCAAGTAAAATTAGAGAGAGAGAGATAAATGAAGTTTAATGTCCACTCGACACAAACTAGGTCATTTCAGGACTAACACATGGTTCAATTTTATTTCAATAATTTGCATGCGCGTAAGGTTTTTTTAGCAATTGGAGGAAATCGGAGGACCCGGAGAAAACCCACAAGGTTGGATAGGCGACCCTACTCCTTGTACAACCTGGGGAATCGAAACCACGCCAGTTGACACAATGACAGACCTTAGGATACAGCATGCACATGCTAACCATTCGGCCCCCCCCCCCCCAAAAGTAAAATTAGAAACAGAATGCATAACAGCCTGATTCTAGGATCCTGCTGTCATGTTGGATTAGAAATATAATATTCGCGTACATACCCCCTGCACCACATTCAGAACAGTTTATATACAATATACAAGTACATACCCCCTGCACCACATTCAGAACAGTATATATACAATATACAAGTAAATACCCCCTGCACCACATTCAGAACAGTTTATATATAAGTACATACCTCCAGCACCACATTCAGAACAGTTTATTATTTCTTCTTTTACTTTTCTGATACGTTTTTTATTTTTATTTTTCTTCTCACAACGTCGACAAGTTGTCTCTTTAACAGGATCAGCTTTCTGAAAATTAGAAATTAAAAACTTCGTTTATTTATCTACTGAGTTGTTGTTGTTGGTGTTTAACGTCCGCTTCCACCGAAGTTGATATCGCAGACCGGTTGTCTTTTGTTTTATTTTCATTATCTTAGTGCACGCGCAGGGGTCTTTCCTGTGGAAGGAAACCGGAGTAAACCCACGAGGATGAGAAGGCGCCACATCCTCCAAGCCATATACGCTTACACCAGGGATCGAAACCACAACCGTAAGCCAGAGGTGACCGGCCAGCTAGAGGTCGATGTGCGGCACTCTAGACCACTAGGCCATCCAAATCCCCCATCTACTGAGTCGTCTGTCTGCATTCTTATACTGTAATGTGCGAGTCAGAGAGTGCCCCTAAATTACGTAAAGTCATAATAAAATCATGTGATGACGTGAATACGATTAAATTCGAAACAGAAGATCTTTACTGGTAATGGTTTTGTTCCGTTTTCTTAATTAAATCTTAAATAATATCAATTTGAGTAAATATTCCCATAAAAAAAAGGATATTGTCAAAAAACCGCACGATTATGTCACGATGTAAATCTGATTGAATCCAACCTGGGAGATTAACTACGGGTGATTTTTATTTTTTTCTTTCATCCCTAAATATTAAATTTGAATAAATTTTTGCTTGGATTAAAGATGGGTTCCCAGAAAAGTATTTATCGGGTGGTTATTTCCAATAAAAGTATGGCAATTTTGGTATATATGGAAAGTAGAGATATCCAATCTTACTAGAAAAATACTGAATTCCCTGAAAAACACAAATGGAGCATATACTGTACAGGATAAAAATGTAAGGGTTCCCCTAATCAACAGCCCGACGATTAGGAATTTCTGCACGTGTGATGTCAAAGGTCACACACGAACATTGAGCGCTTGATGTACAAGTTGATAAACTTTATGAAGAGTTAGACGTACAACACTTTCTGAGATAAAAATGACGGAAAAAGACGCGGGTGGTGAATAATCCGAGAATTAGGATTCGATATTTGTAATAAATAGTAAGCGATTAAAGACAACATCGTCTTATGTATGCAATGAATTCTCCTCTGACTTCCAAGAGAGGTAAGTTATGTGACGTAAACATGACCTGGTTTGATCAAATTTTTATAGCAGGGCATTACTTCGCAATTATAATGTTTGGGAAGGATTTGAAGCAAAATTATGACAAATTAATTAGTTTGAATGTGTTTTTAGTCCATATATACCATTAAATCACCCAGTTTATATGCAGGAATGTATCTTTAAGGAATGACAAAATGCACAATTATGCCACGATTTAAATCTGATTGAATCTCATCAATTTAAGTAGGTCATATTAACATGAATTAATCCATGAAATATTAGAGATTGATTAATAAATGTATAATCAGGATCCACGACTAACATTGCAGATTAAGCTGTAGATGTTACCTGATAAATAATGAGGATTAATGAGGTTTACCTGTGGTATTTGTTTATTTTCTGTCTCCCCGTCACTATTACTACCTGAATCACTACTACCATCACTATCACCATCACTAGACACGGTCTTCTCCTGTAAATAATACAATTAATACAATACACATGCTGTCCAGTAAATAATACAATTAATACACATGGCTACAAGCTGTAAATAAGATACATTTTCTGTGAACAATCAACCCTTTGTAATTTAGCTGAAAGTAGATTGATTTATGATACCATAGTGGCAGACTTTATTGAAACACTGGAATTGGGACTAAGAAAACACCCCCAGAAGTTATTTGTGGTCCAGACTTGGATGTGAAACTGCAGCTTATCTTGTACAAGGGGGAGAGCTTTGCGAGGTTTCTGTTCATTCTTGTTTGATTCTTGTCTGTGTTTTATTTTACGCTCACTAAGGGAAACTGAGAAAGAGATAAATGGAGTTCAACATCCACTCAACCAGGTCATTTTGGTAATCAACCTATGGTACAATTTTATTTCAATAATTTGCTTGAGCAGCAGTAGTAGGAACCTGTATGGCTCGGAGAAAACCCATCAAGTTAGACAGGCGAGCCTACTCCTTGTCACGTACAAGTGTGGACTCGAAACCATGCCACTCAATGACAGACCTTAATGATCTAAAGTGCACAAGTTAGACAACCTTGAAATTTGATAGATTTTAGGGCTTTTTATGTATAATATATTTTGAGATGACTCTCTCATGTCCGAACGTGATGTATAATCCACCACTCTATATAGCCTTGTTTTTATTACATTAATTCTTCTCTATGACAAATTGTTGTGATATGATTTGAAATAATAAAATATAAACCCACCTCGGCTACTTTCTTTTAGCAGCATTAAAATAAAAAGATCAAAGCTTAAGCAACATTATTTGATAAAAATATAAAATACAGTCTAGTAGACTGAGTCTACTCATAAAACATTAATTATACTGGCTAGTAGACTGAGTCTACTCATAAAACATTAATTATACTGGTTTGAATTAATGTGATGTTATTTAGTTTAAAACAAATGAGAAGAAGGTTAAGTCAGAAAAGATGTTAAATGTGGGGAAGGATAGGATAAGGGAAGGGGGTTAAATGTGGGAAAGGGCGTGGTAAGGGGAGTGGTTAAATGATAGGAAAGGTAAGGAATTAAATGAGAGGGAAGGTAGGGGAGAGAGAGAGGGAGAGAGAGAGAGAGAGAGAGAGAGAGGGGGGGTTTAAGTTTAACATCCACTCGACACAAACTAAGTCATTTCGGGACTAACACATGGTTCAAATTTTTTATTTCAATAATTTGGTTGCGCGTAGGGGTCTTTAGCATTGGGAGGAAATCGGAGGACCCAGAGAAAACCCACAAGGTTGGAAAGACGACCCTACTCCTTGTCACGTACGGAAGGTAGGATAAGGAAAGGGATTTAATGAGATGAAGGTAAGGAAAGGGGTTAAATGAGATGAAGGGTATGATACTGGAAGATCCGTAGAAAATTCACAAAGTTGGACAAACTTGACTCAATGACAGCCCTTGATCCTTCAAATGGTAAAGTTGTAGTTTAAGTAAACCTAATCATAGTAAAGAAAACAGACGCTGTTTCACCGAACTATTTCACTCAAGGATATCGAATCTAAAATGTTAAGGAAAAATGAAGTTAACCCTTTCTTCTCCATGAACAAATCTTAAACACGATAAAACTAATCAAAGAATGCCTATTATTTACAAATATTTTTCAGGATGACCGCAGTAGACATAATTACCGGTAATAAGAAATACACACGGGGGACAAGTAGAAAACTAAAAACACTGGAATGATAGAATGAGATGATGTAAAGAGAGACCAAACCTGCTGACCTCCATGAATTACCTCTTGACTATCTTCTACCTCCGAAGATTCTGTGCTCGCAACTTTCTGGACAGGTTCAACAAGTTTCGGGGGATCGTACATGGCCGTGTTGATAGGTAGATATTTTAATTCATCGGATGTATAACTTAAATACAACATCACCAACATTATATTTTATAAACAATCAAACAAGGTTAAATACAACATCAGCAGCATTATAAACAATCAATCAAGGTGAAATTACAAATACTTTAAGCTTCTTTTAATGGGCCTTAGTCTGGCCTTAGAATGGTATAATATATACCCCTGGCCTTAGAATGGAATAATATATACACTGGCCTTAGAATGGAATAATATATACCCCTGGCCTTAGAATGGAATAATATATACACTGGCCTTAGAATGGAATAATATATACACTGGCCTTAGAATGGAATAATATATACCCCTGGCCTTAGAATGGAATAATATATACCCCTGGCCTTAGAATGGAATAACATATACCCCCTGGCCTTAGAATGGAATAATATATACCCCTGGCCTTAAAATGGAATAATATATACCCCTGGCCTTAGAATGGAATGGGGTTTCATGTAATAGGTGTGCAGTGCGAGGTAGAAGATCATCCTACCGTTCTTCATCTTGAGTTCTTTTACAAGATGACCTCAATTGACTAGGTACACTTTCCATGTCAGTTCCATGGGCTCCACATCTGATAAGTGATTACCAGATTAACTGATGGTTCTTTTTGGCATAGTTTTAATTTAGTTTGAATATGTTTATACTATAAACTTTATAGTCCAAATTTATCATCAAATCACACGGTTTGTACACAGGTAAGTATCTTTAAGGTAATACAAGATTGAATATTACCTGGTATAATATACCTGAACCTGTCCAGGTAATAAAGAGAATGAGAGAAATGGGGTTTAACGTCCACTCGACACAAACTAGGTCATTTCGGGACTAACATATGGTTTAAGTAATTTTATTTCAATAATTCGCTTGCGCATAGGGGTCTTTAGCAGTGGGAGGAAACCAGAGGACCCGGAGAAAATCCACGAGTTTGGACAGGCAACCCTACTCCTTGTCACGTACAACCGGGTATTCGAAACCCCGCCAGTCAACTCAATGACAGACTTTATGATACAGCACGCGCACGCTAACCATTCAGCCATCAAACCCCCCGTCCAGGTAATAAAAGTATCTATAAGGTAATTAAGACTGAATAGTACCTGGTGTAATGTTCCTGAAATTGTCCGGGTAATAAAGCTATAGGGTAGGCACTAGGTTTGGTTAGATTAGCTGGTAGTCTTTTATAACGACCTTCTGGATAATGTACATGCTGTAACAAAATAAACAAACAATATAGAACTTGTTTAACATCCTACTAGTACCGAAATGAGAATAACACGTACTTGACACAAATATATGGCAAACAAGGTTCTTAAAGGATTTATTTCAGCGACGTTTCGACGAAGGTTCTCCCGTCTTTATCAAGCAAAGAATGACAACCATAGTACAATGAAAATATATATACAACATATGGAACAAAGAAAAATGAAATGGGGTTTAACGTCCTACTGTTCTGCTCCTATGCTGGGCTAATGAAGACGGGCATATGCAATACAGTGTGCTATGAGGGAAATTTTGCCCGGGCAGCGGCATTCCAATGTATACACGGGACCTCGTTTTTTTGTATCATCCAAAGGACTAGACAGCTGTCCTTGTCAGGCCCTTCGTCCTGCATCACTGACAAGGGGGAGGAACAAAGACAAACATTTATATACAATCAGATAAAATCATATAGAAACCATCCCTTTGGGCACTAAACTATCATAAAAGATATTTAATTAGGAATAATATTCTGTTCAATGTTCAGAGTCATTTAAGTTGTGGGCCATGTGTAACCACACACTTCGTACACCTATAAGGTAGGCAGTGATTCTAAGTTGCAGATATGTCAAATGTGTTGTAGCCAGCTAGGTCCTTATATATTATAACCAAGGGTTTTACTATATAGTGAGAGACAGAGATGAATGGGGTTTAACGTCCACTCAACACAGATTAGGTCATTTCGGGACCAACATATGTTTTTTTAATTTTATTTTAATAATTTGCTTGCGTGTAGGTATCTTTTAGCAGTGGGGGGAAATTGGAGGACCCGGAGAAAACCCACAAGTTTGGACAGGCGACCCTACTCCCTGTCATGTACAACCGGGGATTCAAAACCACGAAAGTTGACTCAATGACAGCGTGCACTTGCTAACCAATCGGCCATCCAACCCCCTTGTGCAGGATATAGTGACCGGTGTTACTTATATATTATAACAAACAGTTTTACTATAACACTGATGTTGGTAGACACGTTGGCCCCTATCTTATAACCAAGAGTTTTACTATAAATAACACTGATGTTGGGAGACATGTTGGTTCCTATCTTATAATGGTGAAATCAATAAAACAACTTACAAACGTCTGCATGTCAAAGAAAGCTTTTCTTTCTTCCTTTCTATCTCTTTGTATCTGTTGATTAAACTCTGCTGCTGATTTCATAGCTTTCTTCATGTATTCAGCCATTTTACTCTTCTCTACATTTAACTACATTTAAACAACACAGTTACAATTACAATTAAAGGGGGTGTTGCTCTATTGCTTGGAACCTTAATATAACATTTAAACAACACAGTTCAAATTACAATTAAAGGGGCTGTTGCTCTATTGCTTTGAACCTTAAAATTAGAATTAAAGGGGGTATTGCTTTATTGTTTGGAACCTAAAAAGGTATTACTCTATAGCTTGGAACCTTAAAGTTAGAATTAAAGGGGGTATTGCTCTAGTGTTTGGAATCTTAAAATTAGAATTTAAGGGTGCATTGCTCTATTGTAAATTATTAGAGATGTAAACGATCAAAATAAACTCACGGCATCATATTCTTTATGTTGTTCAAATATAGTCTGTCGTTGTTTGCCGTGCATAAACTCAGTAAATTCCTAAAATAATAAATAAAATGGGCTTTAAAGTCCTACTGTTCTGCTCTGGGTTAAATTCTAGGGAAATTCTGCATGGACTGCTGCACTACGGCCTATCAAATTCCAACTGTCAATGGACCTTTTTGTGCACACCAATGTGTATGTGAGACCTCAGGTTTCATCCCATCCGAACGATCATCTTGCACCACTGGCAAGGGCGAACCACACCAGAAATCCTGATAAACTTTCTCGGCCAACCCCTGGATTGAACACGTAACCTCCAGATTAGCAAGCTAATGTCTTACTGAGTCACCTTAGCTCCCCCCTATAGAATGAGAGAGAGAGAAATGGGGTTTAACATCCACTCAACACAAACTAGGTCATTTCGGGACTAACATATGGTTTAATTTTATTTCAATAATTTGCTTGCGCGTAGGGATCTTCAGCAGAGGGAGGAAACCGGAGGACCCGGAGAAAACCCATGAGGTTGGACAGGCGACCCTACTCCTTGTCACGTACAACCGTGGGGATTTGAAACCACACCAGTTGACTCAATGACAGGCCTTATGATACAGGCCTTATGCTAACCATTTGACCATCCAACCTCCCTCCTATAGAATGAAACCACAAGGCATGTTAAATCTAATACATGGAAAAACTGATATCAATCAAATACACATTCGTCCAATTTGTACGGGGGATCTTGCTTTTATTTTGTGTCTGATCCAATCGACAGTACTTCACTTAAATTTCACGTTGAAGTTAAAAGTCTGAACATCAAAACGCAAAGTTTTTGAAGTGAATTAAAACCTGGTTGTGATAAAAAAAAACATAATAGAATAATTGTTTATTATTTAGTGCTACTAATTACCAAGGTAACCAGACATAATAAATAATCAACATGCTTTTCAGTCGAAAACAAAATTTGAAACTAGATATTTTAATTTTGAGTCAACAACAGCCTGATAAAGTAAATGTAATGACTGTAAATACTGTCACATGAAATATATTCATAATAAAAAATAAATTTAACAAAGATATTGGTTGAATAAGCCATTAATAAAAAGACTGGATATAAGAGCATACTAACCTGATATTTTTCTGGATAATCTTTATACATGAGATCAAAGATTTCGTCACTACGTACAGCTGTTAAACCTACAGAAATATATACAAATTATTCATACAGTTTATCTCTCTATAGTTAAACATATATTATGTAAGATTTAGATAAAGAGCTGACCGTTATTACTATAATAGCTCCAAAATAGATAATGTAAAATAAATATATAAAAATTTCATTCAAATTACTTTATTTTGAGCCAAGTTAACACTGTTTGTAATTTTGACAAGATTTGTGCATTGACCATCGTAACAACAGTACCGGTACATGTATATTCAAGGCTTTTAAAGTAAATCATTGAAAGGAAGAACCGTTCTAATCTACTTAAAATCTTGAGAATCTGATGACATCGAGAGTTGATTATGGTCTGGATAAGTTATTTAATGTCTAATTAATAATTTAGATAACATTTCAGGCCTAAATAAAGACTTGCAATAGGCAGATTTAGCTCTTGCATAATGTATGATGAATAGTTTATAAAACATTTCAGGCCTAAAGAAAGACCTGCAATGGTCAGATTTAGCTCTTGCTTAAACATGCATTATGCAAGAGCAAAATCTGCTTATTACAAGTCTTTCTTTAGGCCTGAAATGTTATCTAAATAATCAATTAGACATTAATTAACTTATCCAGACCATAATAAACTCTCGATGTCAAAGCTAGCCTTCGATGTAGACTGGATTAGATTCCTATATGCCGCTATCGGCCAAAGATAATTAAATCAGAAAAAGTGGATAATCGAGACTATGCTGTTTATATTAATGATTTTAGTAATGATAACCGAGACTATGCAAAAATTTTACCGGCTTCTTTCTCGGCTCATAGTGGAACAATTTGACTGAAATTTTCAGCAAATTACCGTTACACTATCTAGTTTTTAACTATTATAGCGAGAACTGCCATCTCTTTATCTTATCTCCCATAATGTATCTTTAATGTATGTTAAATAAAATTCTATATCCAGGCTTTTATCTTTAGTCCCTATTGAATGGTAGTAAATCTGGTGAAAACATGAAATGAAATGGGGTTTAACATCCTACTGTTCAACTCCAACTGGATTAATGAAGACAGACATATGCCATAGGGAAATTTTGACTAACCAGCGGCACTACGACTTACTCTTATATCGAATTCCAACTGCCAAGGGTTCTTTTACGTGCACGCCAATGTGTGCTTTGGACCTCAGTGTTTTGGTACCACCAAAATGACTAGATGTTGTCCCTTCCTATGCCGTACATTCTGCACCACTGACAAGGGTGAACCACGTCGGAAAATTCTGATGAACTTTCTCAGCCAACAAAAGGTCGTGGACATGGAAATTCAGGGGTAGCGAGCCAACGTCTATTCACTAAGCTACCACTAATGATTGAAAATTCCAGGGAGTTTGAAAAAAAATAATAAAATGGACAGAGCTGCCAAAATTATACTCCAACAGAAAATATGGGTGTTTAATTAAACAGTATGAAGCTTTAAACCGAATAGATATTTCTAATTTATAAATTCAATCATATTCGATTTTCATGTTTAGTCCAAGCGACTATCAGGTATTCATGATTCAATCATATTCGATTTTAATGTTTAGTCCAAGCGACTATCAGGTATTCATGATTCAATCATACATTCGATTTTAATGTTTAGTCCAGGTGACTATCATGTATTCATAACTTTGGTTTATATCTTAATATATATTTCATCCACTTTTTATATATTTGTTTGATTAGATATTTCTAATTTATAAATTCTTTCATACAAGCAACTATCAGGTATTCATAACTTTAGTTTATATTTTGTATATACTTTCTTAACGTATATTTCAACCAATTTTTATATATTTGTCATTCCTAATATTTGCTTGATAAAGACGAAAGTATCCTCGTTGAAACGTCGCTTAGTATTAAACTCAGTAATTGTGTATCCATAAAATTGTACCTTGTGTTAATATGTTCTGTTACTAAATGCCAATCAGTGAAGATAATGTAATAATGTATAATCTACATGCTGCTCCAAAAGTATGTTTTATGTAATAAAATATCAATCTATTTATAAACTTAAACAACAATTCTAAAATATCTAATATTTTTTTCAAATCAAATTCAAAACTCATATCAAATAAATGATTCTATCTGATTTTAATTAATAAGGTATTTATTGAAAAGGCATGGTGAGATTCTGATTATCTACCTTTGGAGCTTTAGCCTTAGGCAATCAAATGAGACAGGGAGCCTGTATGACACTCAACAGGGGAGGTAATTACTGAAATAAAGAGGTGTTTATTTCTATTGCTCAAAGCAGCAACCTCAGTCAGCTTCCAAAGCAATAAGACACATTAGTTTAATTCAGTAGCATACAAATATCGAATTACAAATGACATAGTGTTAATAATAATTACACTCTTTGATAATCTGAAGATTGATTAAACTCCCTCCGTGAAGATAGGGATGTAGAAATTAAATTTACCTGTCCACAAGAAAAGTAATTATTAATACAGGTAAATCTCAGGTGTAATTTACACCTTTATCACCTGGTTTCTTAGATTAAACTACAGGTGATTATTAATTATTATATAAAAACTAGGAAATATTCGGTTATCTGTTTATTTTAATGTTTACGAGTTCTACAGGTAAGTCATATATTGTCTTATATCTCCTTAATTTATTCTTGTATTACCTTACAGGGGCATTATGGAAGATTAGATAAAGAGTTGGTAGTTCTCACTATAATAGTTAAAAAATAGATAACGTAAATAGAAAATACAGAAAATTTCAGTCAAATTGCTCCACTCTAAACCAAGATATTAGCCTCGATCATCATTATTAAAGTTGGTACGATAAAAAACAAAGTCTTGATTATCCATTTTTAGGTTTAATTATTTTTCCAAAGAATGTATTCCAATCGGGTAAATATCACAGGCTATCGATGCCATCTAAAGTTGATTATGGTCTGGATAGGTTAATTAATGTCTAATTAATAATTTAGATAACATTTCAGGTCTAGAGAATGTTTAATTTTTAAATATTATTACTTTTGGGGATAAAGATGATTTATTAGGTACCTTTTAACACCAACTCCATTTAGTTCTTCGGGGATCTCGAAAAATAACCAGCCCCTCGAGAATGATATTTAAAATTTCAAAATTTTAAAATTTGGAACTAAAAGCCTGTAAGTAAAGCCACCGAGTATTTTATCGTTTTAAACACGAAATAGAGAGAGAGACTGTGGTGTGTGTTTAACGTCCACTCGACACAAACTAGGTCATTTCGGGACTAACATATGGTTAATTTTATTTCATTAATTCGCTTGCGTGTAGGGCTCTTTAGCAGTGGGAGGAAACCGGAAGACCTGGAGAAAACCCACGAGGTTGGACAGATGACCCTACTCCTTATCACGTACAACCGGGGATTCGATACCACGCCAGTTGACTCAATGACAGACCGTATGATACAGCACGCACATGCTAACCATTCGGCCATCCAACCCCCCCTAAACACGAAATAGAAAGTCAAATTATTAATACATGTCCCAGAAGAACAAACTTCCAATTGTTGTGGTCATGTTATTTAATTTGGTTCTGTGATAGATAGTGCTGGCACGATATATCGTTCAATCATCGTATTGCAATTCGTCTTCTCTTGATTCTTTTTTTAAATGGTTTTTTTTTTTGTCGCTTCAATAACTAACCTGTCACTCTTTATTATCCACGTCAGACATTATCCATAGGTACACAAATATTCTTAAATTGTTTGGGTCCTTAATTTGATCCACATCAATCGCAATAGGTATCCTATCGTGCTTGCAGTAACAATACCCAGTACTAGTGACAGAACCAAAATACATATTAACATTAAGGTGATTGGTCGTAGGTAACATTTAGCACATTAATTTCTTGCAGTTGTTTCAAAATTTCACCAGTAACAATTGGGACACAACAGACGAGAGAGTAAGCAACCACTCACCTAAATCACACAATGTTTCTGTTACAACTCCTCTGTCCATTAAAAATTCTTTTTCTTCTTTATCAACAAACCGACGATACATGTCTGAAATTATACAAATCAATGATACATCACATAACAAGGACAGCTGTCTAGTCGTTCGGATAGGACAAAAACCTGAGATCCTCTGTACACATTGACGTGCACGTAAAAGATCCCTTGGCAGTTGGAAATCGATATAAGAGTAGGCCGTAGTGCCACTGTCCGGGCAAAATTTTCCTAATAGCACACTGTATGGTGCAGAAAAGTAGGACAAAAAACTGAGGTCCCGTGTATACATTGGCGTGCACTTAAAAGATCCCTTGACAGTTGGAATTCGATATAAGAGTAGGCTGTAGTGCCGCTGTCTGGGCAAAATTTCCCTAATAGCACACTGTATGGTGCAGAAAAGTAGGACGATAAACCCCATTTCATTTCATACAAATAGACAATAATGCATACTTTTAATATATGAATATTTTCAACATTTTTCGTGTTTTGTGCACAAACTGTTGAAAGTTTAACAGCAAGGAAGTTACAAATGGAAATGGGTTTTATCATTGACTGAATCTGTTGAGGGCTATATTTCAGCGGGAGGAAACCCAGGCTATAAAAATATATACGGTTTGGCAGGTGTCATGTAAAAATATGGGACCATACTCACAAGAGCAATGGTGTCAATCTTCGGAAACCCAGGCCAGGATAATGTCCGAGTTTAGGGCAGGTAACCTCGCACCTTGTTGCGTAAAACCATCAGAACCATACTGAATGGTGTCAAGCTCAGGATTTACATCACAATAAACGATGCATCGATCAGTTAAGGTGTGATTTAATGGTGAAGAGTGAGACATCATATTACTCGACATCTTGCTCGGGACTATTAAACAACTTAAAATACCGACACTATCTCAGAGGAGTCCAATATTTAATCTAGTATAAATAATGTACGATTGGCCCATTACCCGTAAATTATTTGAAATAATGGTACAGCAACATAAGATGACGTCATAACATCTGTATTTTAATATCGGTTAACAAAAAAAATAAATAAAACAATTCCATGACTGCGACGAATGAACTTCTTACTAAACCTGGTGACTGGAAGAATCCCTGGAACGCTGCAGGTCAGAGTGGATCTCCGTCATACAGTAAGACAAGAAGGATGCAATCCTTAGAAAATAATCCCAAAATAAAATCCCTTAGCAACACACTGATGAGACCGTGTAAATGGTCTCAAATTATTTATTCCTGGACGCTTTGGGATTTTAAATCATAGAAATGATCCAAGCATCTGGATCAATAATCCTCAGATCTAGAGCACATGCACAATATCTAATCGCTTTTAAATTCCAAATTTAGGATTATTTTTCACCAGTTGATGAAAAGCTGCCAACCAAAACATGTCCCGGGCCCAGTGTCACAAGACATTCTAGGAATTTCCAAGTTAAGAATTTACTCAAAATTGTTCGTCTTATTCTAACTAAAATACAGCCGTTTATAAAACTTTTGTTGTTTTAATGTATCAAGTACATCAATAAAAAACTATGTACAAAGTTTTGTGTTTCTGGATCAAAGATATTTCTCATAAACAGTGATTGAAAGTTCAGTAAATTCTTAAAGATATTGCTATAACAGTTCAAAAATAGATGATGAAAGAAGAATATATTGAAAATTTCAGTCAAATGACTTAATTCTGAACAAAGTTATCACCATTGTAATTTTTGACTAGAAATAGGAGTCAACTCTCTCTTCACCATCTCCGAGAATGGCCGATCGTTTGATTGACAGGCGTTAACTCCACCTACATAATCTCAATTATCAAGTAACGTTTTCAATGGCTGTGGTACTGTTAGCTTATTCGGTTTGAGACGGGGTTGCAATTCAATTCGTATCACATTTATTTTTTACTACAAATTAAAAATTAGACTTTTAATATATAGATAAGAAGCGAAAGTTTGAAAGGAATGGACCAAAATCAATGAGGCAGCAATGTACATAATTATAGCCGACTTCTTGTTAGCCTGTGTGTACTTTTGTACTGTAACTGTAGTGGTAGGCCTACGTGACTCCCTAAGCAGACAAATAGGAAACAGTGATCCAATGGGGCTGCAATTCAACTGGGGTGATGTTAGCTACGATGTTTATCAATTTTTACAATTTTTCTGTAAACGCAAGTGACAAAAGAGCGTATAATACCGACATCCAAACTCTCATTTTAACCACAACTAAACATACATGTAATATCAAGGCCGTATATCGAACTTTAAATCAAATTGACTGACACGCTGCCTCGCTTCGTACACTCTATCATTTAGCCTCGATCTAAAATTTCCGGGAGTATGACATTAACGTAACGGTTAATCTACGCTTACGACGCCATTTAAAAATTTAATTAATCATTGAAATCCTGTTTAAATCCAAGCCGTATCCAAGCCATCCGTGGGTCTACAGAGTTGATTTTGGGCTTGTTGTGTAAATAAAGATATAATTTCTATGACATCTGAGGCCCAAAGGAAGACCGACAATAGGCAGATTTAGCTCTTGCATAATGTATGTTTAACTTAAGCCTGAGAATGTTTTGTGAAACTGGGGCCGGGAATAAATACTATTAGACCAGTCTGTTGCTAAGGGATTTTATTTTGGGAAAAATAAAACAAGATATGATTTGGTACCTGGATATTTCCGTTTAAATGATTTTATACTGAGATATTCACTGACTTGTTCCTGCAACATATGCCATTCACCGCCATCTTGTGGCCATTGATACTCATATAATTTATCGACAGTTATAATATTCCTGAACAAAAAGAAATATAAATGATTATTTATAATATTGCTGAAAACAAAGACAAATAATTGAAAATATCTGATTTCGATTACTGAGGTGGAAAGCTCTGCAATTCATTTTTTATTTCCGTAAATGAAGAGGAAATTGATTCGTTTATTAATTGTAATCGTAAGGAAACAAAAATTATCTTATTAAATGGCATCAAGCACAGTCACAGACCCTTACTACAGCGTGTAAACTAAGTTTCAGAAAAATTTCTTGTAATTGCATCGCAGCATTGGAGAAATGGGGTTCAACGTCCACTCATTTCTGGACTAACATATGGTTCAATTTTTATTTCAATATGTTGCTTGTGCGTAGGGGTCTTTAGCAGTGGGAGGAAACCTGAGGACCCAGAGAAAACCCACGAGGTTGGACAGGCGACCCTACTCCTTGTCATGTACAACCGGGAAATCGAAACCACGCTAGCTGACTCAATGACAGACCTTGTGATACAGCACGCACGTACTAACCATTGAACAATCCGATCCCACCCCCTGCAGCATTGGAGTATTGGTTAATACAGAATTTAAAACTTACTTTGAGAATTCTTCTAGAGCACTGGCTAGGTTTCCTAATCTGGGACGTTTAGTGGGAGTTGGACCTTCTGTTGTTTGGTTTGAAAAGGTTGACATATTGGTGTCCTCGGCATTATCCATTGTATCGGAATGTAACATTGATAATGGCGTACCAAGAGGGGTGTCTTCGAACGCCGGAACATCCATTGATGTATCCCCTTCTCCATCCATAGCCGTCTCTTTAAACCTCGTGACTACATCTCGAACCTTGGTATTCAGATCAACGGAGCAAGGGCTGTTGGGGGCCTCGACAGAGAACTGAGAGTCTTCCGACGTATCAACTGATCCAGGGGAGGTAACACATGCATGTTCTACAGTTTTACCATTCTCGTTATTAATTGTTTTGATATCATCAGACCTTATTTCTCCTTCCGTTACAGTTTTAGTTTGTGTGCCTTCTATGTCCAAATTTGTTTCAACCGCGTCTATATTTGATTCTGTTTCCTCCAGACCTTTACTCTCACTGATACTTTTAAAAGCGGACACCTCGACTTCATCAACCTCCATTTTTTCCTCTGACGGCACATCAAGGGCAGGTAACTTTTTTCCTGACGGCACATCAAGGGCGGGAGACTTTTCTTCTGACGGCACTTCAAGGGCGGGAGACTTTTCTTCTGACGGCACTTCAAGGGCGGGAGACTTTTCTTCTGACGGCACTTCAAGGGCAGGAGACTTTTCTTCTGATGGCACTTCAAGGGCGGGAGACTTTTCTTCTGACGGAACATCAAGGGCGGGAGACTTTTCTTCTGATGGAACATCAAGGGCGGGAGACTTTTCTGCTGACTGAACATTAGGGGCAGGTAACTTTTCGCCTAACGGCACATCAAGGGCAGAAAACTTTTCTTCTGACTGAATATTAGACTCGGGTGACTTTTCTTTTGACTGAATATTAGACTTGGGTGACTTTTCTGTTCTTTCTGTTCCCGAAGGGTCTGCTTCTTTGTTTGTTGGCTTTTCATTTAAAATCTCATCAATATTTTCTAAAACATCCTCTACTTTGTCTTTCTCGTTTTTAATTTCTCGATCTTCCATTTCTACGGATGCCTGAGCTTCATTTTCTTCAACGCCAGAATCTAATTTTGATGGTTTCTCTGCAATAGTTTCTTTGGTAGATGAAACATCAGATTTGGTTATCATATTGTCTGTGTCTGTTGGTGGTTGTGGATCATGGTCCATAGCTTCTTCGTCTCTACTTTTACTTTCAATGTCTTTTAGAACCGGTTCAGATCTTGTACCATGAATCGGTTCAGAGCTTGTACCATGAACCGGTTCAGAGCTTGTACCATGAACCGGTTCAGGATCCGTAATAACATCTATCACAGGTTTCTTTGACTCAATTTGAGAATCTGTTACTGGGGAAGAGTCAGTTTTAGCCACAGTGTCTCTCACCGGTTTTGGATTCTCTATAGAATCTCCAGATGATCTAGGATGAGGCTTAGAATCTAAACTTGCTTTGGGGTCAGTATTGGGTGCAGGGTCAGTAACTGAATTTTTCACAACAATGGGGTCATTTTTAGAATCTGGTGCAGGGCTAGTTTTAGGTACAGAGTCATTAGTAGTATCTTTCATTTCTATGGGGTCAGTCTTGGAATCGAGAATTGGTGAAGGGTCAGTTTTAGGGACAGTATTAGAATCCTTCACTGGAACGGGGTCGCCTTTAGAATCTAAAGAGGATTTTGAGTCAACTGGTGGGGCGTCACCTTTATTAGAATCTTCTACGATTAGGGGTTCACTTTTAGAATCTAAAGTGGACCTCGGGTCAACTGGTGGGGCGTCACCATCATTAGAAACTTTTACGATTAGAGGTTGACTTTTAGAATCTAAAGTGGATCTCGGGTCAACTGTTGGGGCGTCACTTACAGGTATAGAGTCACTTTTAGAATCTTTTATGATTAGGGGGTCACTTTTAGGATCTAAAACTGGGTCAGCAGCCTTTAATGTCTCAGAAGCCGCGTGAACATTGGAATCCGGGCCAACTTTGGAATCCGGGCCAACTTTGGAATCCATTTCTGAGTCCATTTTAGAAATTTTTGGAGTTCTGGTGATGTTCGACTTTTCGTTTTCTACTGACTTATGTGTGCTTGTAGAAGTATTAGCTACACATGTGTCTATAACGTCTCGAGATTCAGGTTCGACATTTGTAACATTTGAATCAACAATGTCATGAGCTTTTAATTCACTACTTGTAACTAAATTAGACGAATCAGTTTTGGGGGCATTACTCAGTGGTTGTTCACATTGGTCAGAAATTAATTTTTCACTTGTGTCCACTTCCATTTTTTGAACTTGAGATGGATTAGATTCAGTTTCCTTTCCATCTTTTGCTGAAACTTTTGAAACATTGTCTCTTTCCGGTATAATTTGTTGCGATATTTCCGTCGTTGTTTCTGTCGTTTTTTGTGAATTGTCAGCTTTGCTGGTATTTAATGTGTTTGTATTTTCAGCTTCATTAGCACTTACGGTTTCTGTATCAGACTTTAAAGGCTTTTCTTTTACATCGAGTTTAACTTGGTCGGCGCTTTGTTGTTTTTCTCCTTTTGTGTCTTTTTCTGTGGGTATTTCTGTTGTGACTGTTTTTTTGTTTGACTCTGTTTGGTCAATTTTCACACTAGATTCTGCTTGTGTTTCTACGATGTTTGATTCCGTGGGTGTATCTGAAAGTTTTTGTGTTTCACATGAAGTCTGTGTTTCCGCTTTAGTAGATTTTTTTTTAACAGCTGTGGAGTCGGGTTGGTTTGAAGTGTTAACACTTTCCGAAGCAGAACTCTCAACTTTCAGAACTGTTCCTTCTTCCTTAGATTCTTTCTCCATTTTACCAGCCTCTTTATTCATTTCATCTTGAACCTACAAACAAAATACAACAAAATATAAATCAGTTAATTCCAAATATCAAAACACATTTCTAATTGAAGATAAACATTTATATTCCAACATTTTCTTCAAATATTCTATTGTTCTCTTACTGTCTGATTCATCGTAAATTTTAAACGGATTTCTTCGATTATAAACAAACTACTTAACGTTGGTTATTATAAACTTACCTGTGTGTTTGTAATGAACTCCCGTTCGATAAAATCCATTGCACAACTAATTATCACAACGATGAAAACAAGTTCTCTCTTGAAAAATTGAAATATCACAAACTTTTCCCAGAGAAAAATACCAATATGGAAGATGGTTACGTCACTCTGCGGAAGATATCATTTCGTATTAGGGGTGACAGCATAGGAAATTCAAGTACAATTACGACAAGAATCCATGACCACTCGGACCAAAGACCACTCGGTTCAAGACCAGTCGGACCAACTGATAGACCACTCAGCCCAAACAAATAGACTACTCGGACCATACAAAAAGACCATTCGGACCCAACAGAAAGACCACTCGGACCAATAATAAAATGTTGTTTTAATAAATTGATAATTGCGTTTGTTTTAATATAATTACTCGAACCAATAATAAAGTGTTATTTTAATAAATTGATAATTGTGTTTATTTTAATATGACTACTCGAACCAATAATAAAGTGTTATTTGAATAAACACGTGTAATGAAGCGCTATATAAATCGAACAATAATAATAATAATAATAATAATTGATAATTGTGTGTGTTTTAATATGACTACTCGAACTAATAATAACGTGTTGTTTGAATAAATTGATAATTGTATTCCAAATCGCAAAATATCGAGAACCACACTTGTAGTCACGTTTAAAAAGGGGCATATAAACGTCCGGTCTTCGTATTATTATGTGCTGTTTATATTAACGCATCAAGGGCGGATAACTTGAAAACGTGTCTCCACCCCCCAACCCCCATATATAGTAACCCAGGGGTTAGTGGGGTAGAACGGAATGAAACCACTGGGGATACCGCGAATGTGGAAAAAGTAAAATTAGGCTATCAGACAAGAACAGTATACCCGTATATGTAGAAACTGTCAAAAGTCTGGACATACCGAGTCTCATTGCAAGAGTAAAGAAAAATTAGATTGATATTTTTTTTTGGCACCATTATTAATTAATTTTAAAACTAATCGTTGATTTATTTTCCGTACACAAAATTGAACCAAACAACTCTAAATATAAGAATTCCGTATAAGAATTATTTGCTTCTTTGTATTGTGATTTAATAATAAATAAATAGCATATTGTCTAGCCTTATAATATAATTTAATTGGTCCGACTGGTCTTGTTTTGGTCCGACTGGTCTTAGTCCGAGTGGTCTTTGGTCCGAGTGGTCTGGATACCTACGACAATTGGCATTGAGTTTGAGCGTTCGCACACATAACTACCCGCATTCCTGTATTTAGTTACCGTCTTTTACATTCTAGTAAAATCTCTGCAAATTTTATAGCTTTACTTTTTGAAATATTTTGTTCTAATTATTTGATTAGCGACTCGGATGGGATTATTTACTTTTGAACACGCATGCCGCACAAACACAACTATACATTCGTTTTACGGGCTTAATCACACTTCGGTCAAAACTGTCGAATCGAGAATTAATGTTCCGCTTCTTAGGGGGTCATACGGGCTTAGTAGCATTATATACCCACCCGGGCACCCAATACGGCAATAGACACGCTGAGGGCTGCCGCAACACGCTTAAAGATGTTACTGAAGCGGTTATTATTCGATCGAAAGAATGCGTATAAAATTAAAAATACACTCAGAGAATTCGGAGGTAAGCTTCATGATCCTTGTTAAATTATTTATAACATAAAGAAGATAGGATATTTATAGTTTATTCATGACTTTATTTTTACGAGTATCCGTGCAATCAGTGATATTTTAATTGTGAAGAAAATTTGATAGACTGGCGATCAATGGTTTCCATATAAATCTCCTATGTAATTGCCTTCAATTGATATTTTTCGTCGCCCAAACCCATATACGATCAAAATGATCGCGCTGTCAAACTATCTTTCAATGTTAACCAACCCCCGCAACAGGTATATTGGATTCGACCATTACGTCACGAAGACATTGTTGACATCGACTCAGTCGAAATTACAAGTAAATTTTCAAATTTTTCAAGAGAGAAATTGTTCTCATCGTTGTGATAATTAGTTGTGCAATGGATTTTATCGAACGGGAGTTCATTACAAACACACAGGTAAGTTTATAATAACCAAAGTTAAGTAGTTTGTTCATAATCGAAGAAATCCGTTTAAAATTTACGATGAATCAGACAGTAGCTTGAAAACCAAGTTTTTAATTATGGAAATTCTTCTGAATGAGCTGCAATAAGCAGAGTTGTTCAGATGTATTCCATCCAAGTGGCTAGGTTTTAATCATGGCAAATATAAGCCCTTCATTTGACACACAAAATTTAATCATAACCGGTGGTGGTAGACATGTTGGTCGAATAAGGGGGAAAATCTTACAATATTTCAAATATAATTCTTTGTAACATTAATTTTATTATCTACATGTAGCAGTAGGACAGAGGACTTGTTAATGGACAATGTATAGTCATGCAGATCATATGAAAAACTGATCCCCTGTTTACACATTGGCGTGCACGTAAAAGAACCTTGACAGTTAGAATTCGAAATAAAAGTAGGCTGTAATGCATGCATGTTGTATGAGCGCCTTTATCAGCATGATTGGTGCAGAACAGTAGGACGTTAAACACCATTTTATTTTAATAGGCTACGATGCAATTTATAATAGGCCCCTAATAACAAAGAAAAAATGTTGTTGGAAATGGGTTATTAAACGGCAATAATAAACCCGCAGTTTCAAATTTAGCCTTTTTTCTAAATAAAAATAGAGATTTTGATACCCGGGAACGATTATAACATAGTAATTTGAAAATGTGGGCGTAAAATACATAAATTTATCGAAAAAATTATAAATTACCGGCAAACTGCCATCTGTGGCTTCCATTTTGAATAGCCTCGATTAACAGGACACTTCTTTTTGTTGTTTTTTTCAAAAACACTGGATATTCGTAACTGATATTTATACCAACCACCAATTGTAACTCTATCCATAGAGAACTTAGATCTTAGACTTTCACATCCAGCTAATATTTGGTTATACTATTGTTTTCACCCAAAAATGAACTGATATAATTATCTAGAAATTATCAGCTTTAAAAAATCAACAGCCGTTTATGCTAATTATAATAATCTTGAAAAGAACAATGCCCCCCCCCCCAAAAAAAAAATTCAAGTGCCTTAATTGTTTATCCATAAGCAATTAAACCAACAAAATAAAAAACTGTGTCCTAAAATCGGTCATTTAGAAAGTCAACAAATCGTTTTTAGTAAATAAAACCAACTATCACAGTAAAATAAAATAAAAACAAATATCACAAACTTTATGTATATATAATAAAATATTAAAGGGACAATAACACTCTTGCTGCCTTGACAGCTCCAGAAAATACTAGATGTGTTAGTGTCCTACCTGTTGTGTAAATTATCCATTAAATCCTATTTTACTTGTCCAAAGGGTTCAGAAATATTTTTAAATCCAAGTCACATTTGAAAAGCTTTACGTCAGGCTTTTCAAATCATTTAGTTGAAATTTTCCAATTTCTTTAATTAGGTGTGTTAAGATGAAATTTGTATCATCAATTAATTGGAATATTGTAAAACAGTACAATTTGTTGACCAGAATAAAGATTGGGACATATTATTCAGTTACAACAAGAGTGGTATTGGGTCTTTAAAAACAAAATCAGACATATACAATTAATTTTTTTTTTTAAATTTGTCTCTTTTAAAAAATGTCTAACGTTTTAGAATATAGAACCGGTTGGCGAAATATATTCTGAGATAGACTGGCAAAAATAGTATTTTGACGTTACGTCAGGGAAATATTTGCACTCAATCAAAATGTGCTCCACCCGTTCTAAAATTCCTGCTGGATACCCATTCACTAATCGTTAATTGTATTTAGTCTGATGAAATTTTCATAAATTTATTAACATGGATATTATTTAAAAACCCCTACGGTCACTTTTAATTACATATAATCTGATATGCTTTCTTGGTGCGCAAATCTGGGGTCATAGAGGTCCCGTGTACACATTCGCTCATGTGTAAAAGATCTCTTAGCAGATGAAATTCGATATTGTATATTCGACGATTGAAGTGTATTCGATAAAATGTATATTCGATTAGTATGTATATTAACATGGTATATTCAATTAAAACGGTTAATCGATGAAAGACTATGTTCGGTATACATGGTATTGATTTATTTGTATTCGTTTAACAATGTATATTTGACAACAGCTTACTGGTTTTAAATATATAGGATTATATTGTATATTGGGTGTATTGTATCCGATGATTAAAATGTATATTTGGTTGTAATGTATAGCCGATTAAAGCATATTCTTTAATAGATTTTATAGACTTGAAACTGACAGACTGATAGCTCAATATATATATTTTAATCAAAATACATTTTAAACGAATTTGACTATTAGTCGATAAAGCAAATCATAGAAATCCACCACTGAATTTGGTATCATCTCGTTGATCCATCTTCATTAGCCCAGTCGGAACAAAATACTAGGCTCTTAAACCCCATTTCATTTCGATTAGCTTTCTGGATCCCACTTCGTTATTTATCTGTTCTATGTGCTGAAAATCGTCCGGAATTTGAATTTATAGCTGTTAATTATTCATGTAACTTTCACACAACATCCATAAATTTGCTAGCTATTATTTTCGACAAACGCCTGTTTTCACGTACCTACCCGCCAATACTTACATTTTTTTGAACTTATATTTTGTAGGAATGAGAATGACGGATTTTGATGAAAATTTCCCGTGTTGTAATATGGATTCCACCACAACACATAATAATTACACCTATCAAGGTAAGATATTTAATTACCCACCACCTCGAAATATACACAAACCCCTTTAAAGTTTTCCATATATAACGGTACATAGTTCGAGATATCCTAAGGCAGGCTCTGAGGCTCTGAGGCTCCGAGAGATGGTTTGAACTCGGATGTCATATTTCATATATAAAACGGAGAGAATGAGAAAAAAATGAGGTTTAGCCTCCACTCTACACAAACTATGGTTTAATTTTATTTCAACAATTCTCTTGCGCGCAGGGGTCTTTAGCAGTGGGTTGGGGGGGGGGGTATCGGAGGACCCGGAGAAAATCCACGAGGTTGGGCAGCGCGACCCTACTCCTTGTCACGTACAACCGGGGAATCGTGTGACAGTATTGGTTCTTTAATAAGGTTAGGATGACAAGACTAGTTTCAGCCTCTATTAATACTTTTATTCTGCTTCTAACATATTATGTACAAACATCGTAATTTTAAAGACACCCAGAACTAAACTACATTAGTTGGCCGTTGTCCGGTCTTAACTCCATGACCTGCGTGGCCTGGAGTCAACTATATACCAGACGTCGCCTAGCCTCCGACTGCTCTCAAGTCATGCCTGAACCCCTCTCCTATTTGTTTCTTAATCTGGGTTTATAAACCCTTTCAAACAAAGGAACTTATTAGGCATCTGGCTAATGTATCATATCAAGTTTACATTCGATACATGTTAATCAGACAAAGAAAGTTTAAATAAAACATGGCAGCAAGTTAACGTTTACATAATCATTACATAATCACATAGACCAAGAACTTCAGGCATGTCGATAACGAACAGGTGTCAAGTTGGCAGGAAGCGTCTTTAACATCAGATAATCTAATTATGTAACAATGGAAACCACGCCAGTTGACTCAATGGCAGACCTTCTGATACAACGTACACGCGTTAAATAACCATCCCCCCCCCCATTTTCTAATCAGTAGTTTACCTGGTTTAGTCCAGGTGTTGGCCGTGAAAGCTCTCCGAGATCGGGATTTTCCAGTGTGGTTTCCTCTTGTCAGTGGTGCTGGACGGAGGGGTTGACAAGGACAGCGTCTAGTCGTTCGGACGGGACAAAAATCCAAGCAAAACTTCCCAGTCGGTGCAGAAAATTAGGACGTAAAACCTCATTTCATTTCATTTTATGTTTCAATTTGTAATTCCAGGCTTTCCTGAGATGACGGGAGGAACCAATATCAGTATATCTGCCATAATATCGGCCTCGTGTGTTTTGGTGGATGACTCGGACCATTATAACCTAAGCCGACATCCCCAACTATCACAGACGTCATATCCGCCACAATCATGGCCGACCACGTGCAATCCAGAATACAGCAGCAACAGGCACCAAAATAGTGGGGAAGTAGAACAAGATGTTTGCGACTACCAGTTCGAGAACAACCAGCGAAACTACCAATTCTGTGACTTCAACGATAACAATTTTAACTGTGAAAGATCGCAAATTTGGCGGGAAGACATGGATGTTCTAACAAACAATCCTGGCAACCAGCACCCAGAAGGTCAAACGTGGGCTGACGAAAATATCCATAATAATTTAAATCGTTTCACACCGAAATCGGTGCCTATATCTGGGCGGGAAGTTGTCGACTTATACGACGATTATAGCAACGTTGGTCGGAATATCCCGTCAATTTGGCGGGAATTGAGTAATGGCGTTAATATGAATGATTCAAACGCCAATCACGCTTACACAAACTTAAACTGCAGCGATCAAACGACTGAGAACTTTACAAATCCGGACAGTTCCTGCGATCAGACGACCGCGGCGACACAACCACCCGAAAAACAACAGCCCGACAGTGACGCGTTGGTGGCACCGGATAACTTTGAAATCGACGTCGACCACATGTTGAGTAATGGCGTCACAGTTGCCGGTTATAAACCCAGACCAATCATTAGAAAAAAGAAGAAAAGACCGGTGGTGACCGATCAAAAAGACATGAGTTATTGGAGTCGCCGAATGAAAAACAATGATTCGGCCAGAAAATCTCGAGAAGCGAAAAAAGAAAAAGAGCGGGTGTTCTATAAGCAAGCGCTTCAGCTCGAATACGAGAACTACTTTCTAAAAGAAAGAATTTTACAGTTAGAATCACAGCTTGGTTTTCAACCATCCTCACCAACACCACCAACAACAAATAACTTAACTTGTAATCAACAGCTAGATTTCTAAACTTAATGGCCGGTGGGGACCCGAATGGTTTAACGCATGCGCGTTATATCACAAGGTCTGTCATTTAGTAAAGTGGCGTCGTTTGGACTCCCTGTTTGTATATGACAAGGAGTGGGATCGCCTGCCAACCTGGTGGGTTTTTTTTCAGAGTCCTCCGGTTTTCCCCCACAGCTAAAGAGCTCTACGCGCAAGCGAATTATTGAAATAAATGTAATGAAATGGGGTTTAACGTCCTACTGTTCTGCTCCTAAACTGGGATAATGAAGACGGGCCAAGGGATCTCTTACGTGCACGCCAATGTGTATACGGGACCTCGGTTTTCGTCCCATCACTGGCAAGGGGAAACCACGCTGGAAAATCTGGATGAACTTTCTCGGCCAATGCAGGGATCGAACACTCGACCTCCAGGCTAGCGAGCCACCGCCTTACCCACTTAGACACGTAATTCCCGAATTATTAAAAAAAAATTGGACCATATGTTAGTCCTGAAATGACTTGTTTGTTGCATAAGGCTAAATCTATTTGTTAAGGCCAGCTCAATTTTTGTCAAGGTCGCTGAGATGTAAAGTAAATAAGGTTAGCGTACGTGATTGTTGGCGAGATTGTAGGTTAGGGTTAGGGTAAGCATTATGGCTAGGTCCAGGGTTGGGGTTAGGGTTAGGGTTGGCATTAGCGCTGTCCCTGTTTACATCTCGTGACCTATGACGAAAAAACTGAGCTGGCCTTATCATTTAGCACTAACTGGAGCCAATATATACAGTGCCTAGCTCACAGGCCTATATGTTTATTACGATTTAATAAAGCCGCCTAGAGTTTTCTTTTATTTTTTTTTATTTTTTTTGGCTAATGCTGTTTTGGTTCAAATGAACGTAGCATTTCTGTTGATATTTTCGTGATATATGAAGGTTATGTTTGAGATATGTTTGAAAGTACAGAATAAAAACACCACAGAGCTTGTATCGACCGTGTTAATTAGTCTACCAGTAAAACCTATGACCAATTAAACAAATCTCTCATAATTGTTATCAAGCGTGGCATGGGATAATGATGATGGAGGTTTATAAAAAAAAAACCCTATTTATTCGTGCCGAGATGACATAAGTTATAGATTCTAAAAGAGAGAAGCGCCCCCGCCCCCTCCCCTCCCCTCCCTAACACCCCCCAAACGGTGATCTACATAGTTTTCCCCATGTCGCCAGAGGCCTAAACAAGTGCTCGTATTTACACCTCTACTTCCAAAGGAGTTCATGGTATGCACGAGACGTCGGTTTTTCGTCCTAACCGATATATAGAGACCCTTGTCATTGCCCCCACACCTACATCAACCCAACACCCCCTTCTTGCACCACTGAAAAGGGCCGGGGTGGGGGGGGGGTAAATCCCGTGAACCACCCACCGCCAAATTCCTCCGAATCGCTGCACATAGCTACATTGTGTTCTTGTTAACGAAAGACCACTTGTTGATTTGCTAGTAGACTTCCAGGTTTGTCTGGAAAGATTATAATCTTGTTTGATCTAAGGCGTTTTTGTGAACCGATTAGATTAGACCGATTAGCTATTATACGCATTTGTGAACCAAGTTGATTATGCTAATCGTTACATTCGTGAGACGATTTAACTCAACTGATTAGGCAAATCGACCTAATCGTCCCAGGAGGTGTTTAGGCGATTAGATTTGACGTTTTCAAAATGGCGGAATGTTCGACATCGTAAGTAATTTTTAATGCTTATTGTTGTTTTTCTCCATAAAAAATGTTTTTTTAAAACGCATTTGATGTGTTTAAAGTAGCTAAGTCTCTAACTCAATATCATCCAAAATCTTCAACATTGAAAACACGATTTATTTGTCAAATTATATCAATATTCATGTTGTGATCTTAACGGGAAAAGATGGGCTTTTGATATCCAATATTTAAGACAAAATAAACATTTTACCATTGGTACACCAATCGTGTACCATAATGCGCTTCAGCCCCAGTTGTATCAAGAGACTCGAGGGACGAGGCTAGACACATTGCACCAAATCAAACGGCGTATGTAAACTGGAATAACCAGACGTGACGCTAGAAATTTGCACTCGCTTGAGACTGCTGGCTTATTTCGCCGAACATAACGGATTTGAAATTGGAGTAAAAACGGAAACCATTGAATGTAAATCAGTTTATATACATTCATATTACAGTATTATATGCATTGCGACCCACTTTTGTCAATTTCTAGGTCCCAAATGTTAGCGATTTAGCTCCTTTAATGTTAACTTTATAGTCCACAAGAATGTTAGATCACCTCTGGCTCTAAGCAATTTTAGGCCCTCTGGGTGCCAGCAGTGTCACTGTAATCTGTAGGTAACTTGGACTACACGTGAAACACACGCCCCCCTCGTCATGTTAGCAGAGACAATTTTTTTTTCTGATCGGTGTCCGTGATGGCAGCCATCTTACCAAATCGTAATTATCAAATTTCACATTTGTGGACCATAGCTAATCAAATCGAAATCATACCAAATCGTACTAGCAAATCAAAACCTAATCTAATCGACTCACAAAAACGCCTCTAGCGAATTCTATCGATCGATCGATTGATAGTTCATTTTATAGATGACAGTAGGAATATGACTTTAGGGCGTATTTCGTTGACTCGTCCGTGTTTTTTTTTTTAATTGTTTTATTGTTTTTTTTGAAAGAACATTTCATGCATAGGAAATGAAATGGAATGAAGTTTAACGTCCTACTGTTTTGTTCCGACTGGGCTTATGAGGACGGATCGACGGGATGATACAAAGGAAAATACCAAATTCAGTGGTTGATTTCTATTTATTGCTTTATCGACTAATAGTCAAATTCGATTAAAATGTATATATTGAGCTATCAGACTGTCAGTTTCAAGTCTATAAAATCTATTAAAGAATACGCTTTAATCGGCTATACATTACAACCAAATATACATTTTAATCATCGGATACAATATACCCAATATACAATATAATCCTATATATTTAAAACCATTAAGCTGTTGTCAAATATACATTGTTAAACGAATACAAATAAATCAATACCATGTATACCGAACATAGTCTTTAATCGATTAACCGTTTTAATTGAATATACCATGTTAATATACATATTAATCGATTATACATTTTATCGAATACACTTCAATCGTCGAATATACAATATTAACCAAATGTACACCAATCGGATATACAATATTTAGCCAAATAGACAGTAACATGATACACATTTCAAACAAATAAAAATCCAATATGATATACACTTTAGCCAAATATAAATTTTGTCTGCGATATCACTTCGATAGAGAGAGAGAAAGAGAGGGAAAGAAATGGAGAGAGCGAGGGAGAGAGAGAGAGATGGGGTTTAACGTCCACTCGACACAAACTAGGTCATTTCGGGACTAACATATGGTTGAATTTTATTTCAGTAATTCGCTTGCGCGTAGGGGTCTTTAGCAGTGGGAGCAAATCGGAGGATCCGGAGAAAACCCACGAGGTTGGACAGGCGACCTTACTCCTTGTCACGTATAATCGGGGAATCGAAACCACACCAGTTGACTCATGATACTTATGATACAGCGCACACGTGCTAACCATTCGACCATCCACCCCCAGCGTTAAATAAAGCTATTTAACACACACCCACACACACACACACACCCACACACGCACGCACACTTTAATCGGATGTGCATAAGCATCAAACACAGACACCACGCGTGGGGGGGGGGGCGACACTGGTTCGGCGTGTAAGGGGCACGCTCACTAACCAGGAAGGTTCGGGATCGAACCCGGCTGAGAAAGTCCCTAGGGTTTTTCCAAATTGGGGGGGGGGCGTCAAGTCAATGGAATGGGAGGAAAAGTATCCACTGTCCTGGCAAAACCCCCCTCATAGGACAGTGTATGTCGTCTTTCTTATCCAATGTGTGAGACCCTGGCTGGCTAGTCTGGAGTTCACGGTTCGCTCCCGGTGTTGGCCGAGAAAGTTCATCGAGATTATCCGGAGTGGTTTCCCCTTGTCAGTGATGCAGGACGGAGGGCCTGACAGGGTCAGCTGCCTTATCGTTCGGATGAGACGAAAAACGAGGTCCCGTGTATACACTGGCGTGTACATAAAAGATCCCTTAACGGTTGGAATTCGATATAAGAGTAGTGCCGCTGCTTGCGCAAAATATCCCTCATTGCACAGAGTATGGTGCATGATCGTCTTCATTAGCCCAATCCGAGCAGAACAGTAGGACGTTAAACCCCATTTCATTTCATTTTCTTCTTTATCCCGGCCGAATTCGTCCGTTTTATTTGTTTTGTTTTGTTTATTGTCTGTTTATCGGGAACAATCAAGCGTGACTTATTTACAGTGTTGACGGGAAACTCCTATTTTTATTCAATAGAACCACAGATGGTAGGTAGGCCTATCAATAGGTGATTTATTAATATTCAAACATGAGTGGATTGTTTTTTAATCTTGTCCTCGATAACAGACAATTCACGTGATCTGATAAAATAAATACCACGCTTTGGCGTCGATATTAGATATAGAAAAAAGTTGACTGCATGTGTAATCCCATTACAATATAAACCTAACAAAATATTGATATGCGAAATAATAATAAAGGCGGGGTAGACGTTCATTTATCAGTCTTCTTTGATCTACGAATTAATCATTACGTTCGTTATTGTCATTGATTTTCTTGACTTTCAAATATTTATTTTAAATAAATAATGACTTATAATTTTAAAAGAGTTTAAAATAACGTGCAATATGTCTTGTATAAATATTTAAAGAATTATATTGTTCAAGGGGAATTGAGGTAAAAGGCTGTAAGAAAGGCTCGGCAGTAAATGAAGCATAAATTTGTATTGTGAAACATTGAATGGCAAAAGCTAGACTCAATCCTGAACAGAAGTGACAGCCAAATAACAGCCCAGTCAATGTAACGGCCCCACAAGAGTGTATATATGGTCGCCATAGAGACCAAGCATATCCGCTGTGGTATATGGCTGATAAAGCAACGGTATATATTCGAGAGGAAAGATAAATGGGGAATGAAATCGTGCACGGGCGTGTAAACACATAAATAACAGGACATCCAATATAAAGGATTTCTAATTTATTTAATTAAGGATTAAAGTAATTGTCAATGATGAGCACGGATTAGGTACAGCGACTGAAAGGCGGGAAAAAGGAACGCGATCACGTCGTCATTGCCGTGTGTTATAGTATATACCACAGGTAGTTATTGGAGTATATGTGGTGAATATAACCGTGTAATATCCGATACATAAAACAAGTTAACAGTAAAGATATACCATGTTTACAAGGACAATGACTTTAGGTTTTAATTTATGAAAATTCTGAATTTGTTGTTGAATTTAATTCAGTCGATGACGTATAGGATATCGCCTGGATGAACCTTCTTCTACAGAGTAAGTATAAAAATAGATATAATAACATATAGTGTGCATTATACTAAAGAAATATATACTATATATCTTGTATGTTATATATATATATTCCACGCTTGGTAATGACAAGGTGTAGAGTCGCCTGTCCGACTTCGTGGGTTTTCTCCGGGTCCTCCTAAAAAGAGAGAGAGAAATGGGGTTTAACGTCCACTCAACACAAACTAGGTCATTTTGGGACTAACATATGGTTCAATTTTATTTCAATAATTCGCTTGTGCGTAAGGTCTTTAAATTAGCAGTGGGAGGAAACCGGAGGATCTGGAGAAAACCCATGAGGTTAGACAGGTGACCCAACTTCTTGTCACGTACAATCGGGGAATCGAAACCACACCAGTGGACTCAATGACAGACCTTATGATACAACGAGCATGCGCTAACCATCCCCGACTCTGTAACGAAGTAAAGAGTAAGTTATAGCCATTAATACCGACAATAACCAACTGTGATTAATTAACTATAAGGTTGATAATGAAACAATGATGTCATTATTAAACATGGCACCTCATAGAATAATCAAAGACGATAATTTAGATGATGTACTGATAGCATAATATTATCAATCATGGCACCTAACACAGTGTGATACATTATGCAAGACCTAAAACTGTCTATTTCAGGTCTTTCTTTAGGCCTGAAATGTTATATAAACTATTAATTAACAAAACAAGACCATAATCGACTCAAGATTCTAACTAGATTAAAACGGTTCGCCATTTAAAAATTTAATTTAAAAATGGGAAAGCGAGGCTAAGCCTCAAATATACCAGTGCCCTGGTCACCACAATGCACACATCTTGTCAAAACTACAAACAGTGATAACTTTTCTCAGAATCAAAGAGAGAGAGAGAAATGGGGTTTAACGTCTACTCGACACAGACTAGGTCATTTCGGGACTAACATATGGTTTGATTTTATTTCAATAATTCGCTTGCGCATAGGGGTCTTTAGCAGTGGGAGGAAAACCCACGAGGTTGGACAGGCACCCCTACTCTTTCTCAGAATCAAGTAATTTGAAAAATTTTCAATATTTTCATTCTACATTATCTATTTTTGAGCTATTATAGCAAGAGTGGTCAGCTCTTTATCTAAATCTTACATAATGTAACTTTAATCAAAATCGATTAATTAGATCTGGACTAGTGACTTATCAAGAGCTTGAAAAAATAACAAGGCAGACTGAAGAGTCGGAAATAGGAAACAGCACAGTAAACCTAAGTTGTATGACTTACTTCAAGTTGTAGGGGTCAGGTTTATTAACCCTTAAATTAGATAATAGGCTATTGGATTACGCCATGACCTCCCTTTTTTGGTCCCATATGAAGGACTAGATACTGTCCCTTGCCAGACCCTCCATCCTGCGCTACTGAAAAGGGGAAAGCCAGCACCTTACTCACTGAGCCACCATGGGTCTTAGCAACATAGGCGTACGAGCTGGGGGGGCTGGGGGGGGGGGGGGCGGCCACCAAATGCTGGGAAAATTTGGGCACACAATTGTACTTTGTAAAAGTCGTATAAAAAATTTTTGTGTTCTTGAATGTGTCCAATTTAACAGCGAATTTATTATTATTATGTAACATACAAAGAACCTAACTACATTTTTTGGGCACCAGCCACCACCGCCCCCCCCCCCCCCCAGTCAAAAATTTCCCTGTACGCCTATGCTTAGCAATGCAGGGGTTGATCCAGGATTTCCAGCATGGAGGGTCAAGACATTTCCGATCTCCATATTGAAGTGTTGTAGTGACAATTCGCGGGCGCTAAAGGTATAAAGTCCATGACAGGGGGTCTGGGTGGCCTCCAAAATAAAATTTGAAAAAAAGAGTAATTACCAACAATTTTGGGCCCCGGACCTACAAATTGAGTCTGAGCAGGACAGTGGGGGAGTGGGTCGAGGGGTGGGGGTGGGGGCAAAAACGATCTCACTAATTCACTAATCCCTGACAAAAATGTGTTGTTTTTTTTGTTATTTCACTTATTCATAATTTTGTTGTTTTGTTTAGGATATGTTGTGTAGAATATTTATATCTTATAGTTCACATTTTGCTTTGGATGATTTTGACACTGATTAATAAAATATCCGTGTGACCATTGCTTTCATGAGACATTGTTGTCATAAGGCATTGATGTCATGAGGCATTAATTTTTCCATTAAACATGAACTATACTCCCTTGTCACTAGCTCAGTTAAGCGCCCCTCCCCGACCCCCCCCCACCCAATAAAAGACATGAATATGTAAATATATAATAACACAGAAATATATTTATTGAGCTCATAGCCCGGTTTCATTAGCCCAGTTCGGAGCAAAACAGTACGTAGGACATTAAACCCCATTTCATTTCATTAATTACTTTGAGACGTAAAGTTACAGGTAAAAAATAAATGCATCATAATCTTAAAATGACCAAACATTGATGAGATATTAGACTTTATTTTAAGCATTCTTTTTCAAGTAGAAATAAACCTGTAACATGCGCTTTAGATCACAAGGCCTGTCTGACATTTGAGTCAAGTGGTTTCGATTCCTGTCATGTGCTAAAGATCCCTATATGCATGCAAATTATTGAGATAAAAATTAAACCATATGTAAGTCCCGAAATAACCTAGTTTGTCGAATGGACATTAAATCCCATTTCTATCACTCTCTGTCTTGTAACATGACTTTCAGAACTTATAAATTAGAGTAAACTACACTTTAGACCATTTGAACTTAAATCCTGTGTTAGTTGTGTAATCACCTATAGTTTCTGGCGAGTTGTGTAAAATAGTATCAAAGAATCTATTATTAAAGGAGCTAAATCGCTAATATTTGGGACCTAGAAATTGACAAAAATGGGTCGCAACGCATATAATAATGTAATATGAATGTATATAAACTGATTTACATTTAATCGTTTCTGTTTTTTACTGTAATTTCTAATCAGTTATGTTCGGCAAAATACGCCAGAAGTCTCATGTGAATGGCAATCTTTAGCGTCTGTTTTTTCCAGTCTACACCGATGGTATTTATTGCGCATGCTCTCCAGATAAGAATATAGTGTCACCATTTGACATGACTTGTGGAATATGTCTAGCCCTGTTCTTTGAGTCCCTTGTTCCAAATTGCGCTGAAACACATTATGGTACACGATTCGTGTACCAATGGTAAAATGTTTATTTTGTCTTGAATATTGGATATCAGAAGCCCATCTTTTCCCTTTAAGATCACAAGATTAATGTTGATTTGAATTGACAAATAATTCATGCTTTCAATGTCGAAGATGTCATTTCGGACATCATCGTAATTCATGTCTGCTTCCATTCATTCTGTCTTGTACAACAACCTCTGTAGTGGTCTCTCAATAAGCTCGTCTTTTGGTAAACCTGTCTGAGTTATACTTCTACCTGAGATCATTTATAACGGTTAAGGTGTTATCAACAACCTTATTAGTATTTAACAGCCATTCACAAGTTATAATACATATATATTAGTAGCCTTCATTTAATGGGCAATCATATGATATTATCTAATAATATTTATGGGATGTCTTACTAACTAACTTAATTATTAGATGTGTGATATTAGTAGCCTTCATTTAACAGACAATCATATAATATCATCTAATAATACGAGGAGATAGTGACTAATTAACTAATTTAATTGTCAGATGTGTGATACACCTGCCAGTACCATTGTCTTACAGTGGACAATAAACCTCATTTCTCTTTTTGGATCTGGTAATAAAGTACACTCTGCTTTTAAACAATTTAAAATTAAACCATGTGTTAGTCCCAAAATGACCTAGTTTGTGTTTAGTGGTGGATAAACCCTATTTCTCTCTGTCTCTCTCTTTAAACACGGTGGCTAAGTGGGTAAGACGCTGGCTCGCTAACCTGGAGGTCGAGTGTTCGATCTCTGCATTGGCCGAGAAAGTTCATCCTTATTTTCCGACGTGGTTTCCCCTTGTCAGTGGTGCAGAACGGAGGGTCTGACAAGGACAGCTGTCGGATGATACGAAAAACCGAGGTCCCGTGTATACATTAGAATGCACGTAAAAGATCCCTTGGCAGTTGGAATTCGATATAAGAGTAGGCCGTAGCGCCGCAGCCCGAGCAAAATTTCCCTCATAGCACACTGTATGGCGTATGCCCGTCTTCATTAGCCCAGTTCGGAGCAGAACAGTAGGATGTTAAACTCCATTTCATTATTTAAACACTTTTATTTTTAATCTCATAGAGTAAACTACACTGGATTTATTACCTGGATTTAAACCCATTCAATGATATTGTTTAATCAATAATCAATATTAATCGGATCAATACAGGTATTAACACACCTGGTTATTTAATTAACACCACAGGTAATTGGATTATATATAGGTCAAGCATATGACAGGTATAAGTTATCAGGTGAGATAATTACAGTGAAATCTGGGTCCGACTAATCACTGACAAGAATCGACAAGAGTTTTGTTTTGTCAGCAGTATTGCAAAAAGTGACCTGGACACAAACTAGATCATTTCGGGACTAACATATGGTTCAATTTTATTTCAATAATTCGCTTGTGCGTAGGGGTCTTTAGCAGTGGGAGGAAACCGGAGGACCCGGAGAAAACCCACGAGGTTGGACAGGCGTCCCCGCTCCTTGTCACGTACAACCAGGGATTCGAAACCACGCCAGTTGACTCAATGAAAGACCGTCTGATTTAACGTGCACACGCTGACCATTCGGCCACCCACCCCCCAGATATGTTATATGTTTTACAAATGATATGATAAATTTGAATGATTTCATACAAAAAATGGAAACGTTATGAATAATTGACAAAAATGGCTTTTGATTATCCTCGACAAGAGCATCATTTTGTCATATCATCTAAAGTATTACTAAAAGTGGCCAAGAAGGAAAGATATGTAATAGGAACGCATATTCTACACAAATATTTACAGATAAGATAAAGAGATGGCAGTTCTCAATATAATAGTTAAAAACTAGATAATGTAAAGGCAATTTGCTGAAAATTTCATTCAAATTGAACCACTATGAACCGAGAACTAAGCGATTGAAATTTCCGCCTAGCCTCGATCATCATTACTAAAGTCAGTACGATAAACATCATAGTCTTGATTATCCATTTAATCATTAAATTGTGAAGGAAAGTTATGCAGTAAATCGGCTCATAATCCACTAAAGATCTAGGCTAGCGATGCCATCTAGTGTTGATTATGGTCTGGATAGGTTAATTAATGTCTAATTAAAGATACATAAAGAGATAAGATAAAGAGATGGCAGTTCTCTCTATAATAGTTAAAAAACTAGATAGTGTAATGGTAATTTGCTGAAAATTTCAGTCAAATTGATCAACTATGAGCCGAGAAAGAAGCGGGTGAAATTTTTGCATAGTCTCGGTCATCATTACTAAAATCATTTATATAAACAGCATAGTCTCGATTATCCACTTTTTCTGATTTAACGGCCGTTAGCGGCATATAGGAATCTAATCCAGCCAACATCGAAGGCTAGCCTTGACATCAAGAGTTTATTATGGTCTGGATAAGTTAAATAATGTCTAATTGATAATTTAGATAACATTTCAGGCCTAAAGAAAGACCTGTAATAAGCAGATTTTGCTCTTGCATAATGCATGTTTAATAATTTAGATAACATTTCAGGCCTAAAGAAAGACGTGCAATAGGCAGATTTAACTCTTGCATAATGTATGTTTAATTGATTTCTTACACTCTTGCCAGTTTCTGACATTGTTTTTTCCATTTTCTATGTTTGCGTAATATTGTTTGTGGCATAGTTTTTATTTGTTACCGATATAATCATGTGACCAAATTTGATTGTATGTATATAATTTGATTGTATGTGTCAATACGACATGACGAGGTGACCGTAACTATAAATTGACTGTAGTAACTGTGATCATTTCACAATTGTTGATATTTAAAATGTATTAATAAAAGGGTCAAGTTCAACATAGTTGTGTAATGTTGTTCTATTTTGTTTAACAACTACTAGCTATTTGTATAAATCCCACTGGCAAACCAACCACATACATAATTTGTATAACACCCACTAGCAAACCAACAACATACATAATTTGTGTAACACCCACTAGCAAACCAACAACATACATAATTTGTATAACACCCACTAGCAAACCAACAACATACATAATTTGTATAACACCCAGTAGCAGACCAACATCATACATAATTTGTATAACTCCCACTAGCAGACCAACAACATACATAATTTGTATAACTCCCACTAGCAGACCAACAACATACATAATTTGTATAACGGGAGAAAGAGAGAGAAATGGGGTTTAACGTCCACTTGACACAGACTAGGTCATTTCGGAACTAACATATGGTTTAATTTTATTTCAATAATTTGCTGGCGCGTAGGGGTCTTTAGCAGTGGGAGGAAGCCAGAGGACCTGGAGAAAACCGACGAGGTTGGACAGGCGACCCTACTAGTTGTCACGTACAACCGGGGATTCGAAACCACGCTAGTTGACTCAATAACTAGCCTCATGATACAGCGCGCACGTGCTAACCTTTTGGCCATCCAACCCCCCAACCTCTAGCTAGCAAACCAACAACCCCTAGCAAACCAACAGCCCCTAGCAAACCAACAACCCCTAGCAAACCAACAACCCAGTCCTTCATGTTTATAAAAGCCATAAAAAGCTCCTGATACCTTGAATATATGCAGTTTAAAAGTAAACAAAAACTGAAAGTAGTTTATTAATCTCAATATTTAGGAGAGCGATTTATCTAATTTGCAGGAGTCTTTAATGACTCCTTCCAAGGAAAGCCGACATGCGTCGAGAGGAACAGGAGCAAAAGCTCCCCTTAAACGTGAAGGACTGACAACCACTAGCAAACCAACAACTACTAGCAAACCAACAACTACTAGCAAACCAACAGCCACTAGCAAACCAACAACTACTAGCAAACCAACAACCACTAGCAAACCAACAACTACTAGCAAACCAACAACCACTAGCAAACCAACAACTACTAGCAAACCAACAGCCCACTAGCAAACAAACAGCCACTAGCAAACCAACAACTAATAGCAAACCAACAGCCCACTAGCAAACCAACAACTACTAGCAAACCAACAGCCCACTAGCAAACAAACAGCCACTAGCAAACCAACAACCCCTAGCAAACCAACAACCAAATTCATTCAGTTGTTTATTTCTTATAATGTCTGTGTAGTTTGTCCTGTCCAGATGGTTTATCTTGTTGGTTTTTCGTGTAGTGTGAATCTCCTGCTTTTACAGATACATATTTTGGTGTAACATCCATTAAAAAATAATATATATATACAGTAGCAAACTTTTATTATTGACATATGTACATGAAATCGATATGTGAATTAAATATGACAAATATCGAGCAAATGTTCTCTGTGTTTTTTTGGGGTAATCATTAATATTATTCAGAATACGATATGTTACAAGATAATAATTGTTGACAGAGTATTGACATATGTTATTTTTTATTTACCTGAGTTTACCTGAGTGTACCAGGTGTAATTGCGTGTAGAAAGATATGAATAATTCTACTCGTACACCTGAGGGTAATTACCGTACAATCAATAAACCAAGTGTCAATCAAATGTTGAAAACAGATCATGGTTGTTGTTGATGTTGTAGAAGTGAGAATCTTCATGGTTATTGTCTGGTGGGTTGAGTGGCTGAATGGTTTCACGCATCCACTGAAGATCATAAGGTCTGTCATTTAGGCAAGGGATGTGGTTTGATTCCTAGCTTGTACGTTACAAGGAGCAAAGTTGCCCGTCCTGCCTTGTGGGTTTTCTCTGGGACCTACAATTTCCTCCCACTGCTAACAAACCCCAAGACACAGGTAAATTATTGAAATTAATTGAACCATATGTAAGTACCGAAATGACTTAGTTTGTTTGGAGTGCACGTGAAATCATTAGGTCTGTCATTGAGTCAAGTGGCGTGGTTTCGATTCCCAGCTTATAGGGTCGCCTGTCAAACCTCGGGATGGCATGGAGTAGGGTTGCCTCCCACTGATAACACCCCCCCCCCCCCCCCATGCGCAAGTAATTATTGAAGTAAAATTGAAACATATATTAGTCCCGAGATGACCTAGTTTCTGTTTAGCGGACATTAAACCCCATTTCTCTCTCTTCTTTTCTTTTCTTGGAGACATCTTGACAAAACATGCTGGAAACCACAGACTTCTTCAAGATGGAGTCAAACTTGTTTCTATTCCATCCTATATCATCTTCTTTCAACATCTGTTATCCTCTTCCATCATCTTAGTAATCATCATGTTTTGTGATGATGATAAATTTTTTAATAATCCATCTTGTTTTTTATTTCAGAATACAGAATTATCGGTAAAAAAGGGGAAGGCACCTTTTCTGAGGTCTTAAAATGTCAAAACATAAAAGATGGCGGGTATTGGGCCTGCAAGAAGATGAAACAGACTTATGACAGGTAGGTAATGGCTCTTCTCTGTAAAATTATATTATATACAAGTCTTCACCGAATCCTGAAAATATCTCTTCGATAGCTTACTGTCCATACCCTATACCCTTAACCCTTAACCGGTCAACGTCATTTTGACGTCATGACGTCAAGTGGTCAGGCTAAATAAAGGCTGACGTCAAATATTTTGTATGCCTATTTCAATCGACTACTGTCGAATAATTATAAGTGATAGACTCTTGACACCAGTAAAAAGTTGAAGGGGATAAGTTGATCTATTATTTGCAAATCATTCTAAGTCATTTTCATCAAAAATATCGTCTTCAGAATCAGTGTCATCGATATAATCCGAGTTAGAATCATTTATAAGTATTTCAACCACTTCGAGAGTCTTTAACCTTCCCGACATGAAATTATGTTTTTCGTCAAAAAATGTTAAACAAAGACATGTTTTTCTCAATGCCCTTGACAAGACAAGTTCCTGTCTGACACGCATGCGTGGTCATATCAATAAAATACGAAACTAAATACTCAAATGCGGCTTATCAAAAAGGTTCTTGCTGTGGTCGACTTAAGTCGACCGTGACCACTTAGCTGTATAACGTTGTGGTGACTATAGTCGACAATGACCGGTTAAGGGTTAATTAAATGAAATGAAATGGGGTTTAATGCCCGAATGCACCTATAGGCCTAATTTAATGCCATGCAGTGTGCTACGAGGGAAATTGTGCCCAGCCATTGGTCAAGGGTTCTTTTTATGTGCATGCCAAAGTGTATACTGGCTTGTTTTTTTCGTCCCATCCAAATGACAAGACACTGTTTCTTGCCAAGCCCTCCGTCCTGAACCAATGACAAGTGGAGATCATACTGAAAAATCACTGGGACCTCCAGGCAAGTGAACCAGCCCCTACATCGCTGTGACCTCCAGGCTAGTGAACCAGCACCTATATCGCTGTGACCTCTAGGCTAGTGAACCAGCGCCTATATCGCTGGGACCTCCAGGCTAGTGAACCAGCGCCTATATCGTTGGGACCTCCAGGCTAGTGAACCAGCGCCTATATCACTGGGACCTCCAGGCTAGTGAACCAGCACCTATATCACTGAGCCACCACATCTAGTTGATTAACTTCCCACAGTTGTCTACAGATTTTGTTCTTCAAATTTACAAGGATTATTCATTGGATCATCCAAGAACTCGGACCTGTATCACATTCACAATATTTCACAAATCTGAACGTGATATGGGATTGTAAAATTTTGTTAGATGTCTTCCAAAAGACAAAAAAATATATTTGTATCATGCTTCAAGCAAGTTTAATTGTCTTTCATATGCTACCTTTGCCCTTTGCTCTTGTCTGCGATATTACACTCGGTGGAAGGAAGCAGACTTTAAGCTCAACAAACAAACAAATGAAAGTAGCTTTGCTTGACCTGTTAGGCCAAGAAACATGCAATTTTCATATTACACAGTTGGCAGTCTATTATATAAAATGTTATTAAACATTAGAAGGTACAATCAACATATCCTTTATTGTATAAAAACATGTGAAATGAAATGAAATGAAATGAGGTTTAACGTCCTACTGTTCTGCTCCTATATAACATGGGCTAATGAAGATGGTCATATTCCATACAGTGTGCTAAGAGGGAGAAATTTTGCCCGTTCAGCGGCGCTACGGCCTACTCTTATATTGAATTCCAACTGTCAAGGGATCTTGGTTTTTCGTCCCATCTGAACAACTAGACAGCTGTCCTTGTCAGGCCCTCCGTCCTGCATGTATTTATCATCTTGGAAATATTAGGTCTTACCACCCATCGTGGAGAAATCATCCCCATAATATTACATGAACATAGAATGTCACAGACTGTTTACAATGTAACAAATTACACTTTTCAATCTACTGTGCTTTTTGTCTCAGAAAATTCACAAGAAAATGTCCAAAAAACAAGACCCTTGTTTGCACCCCCTTTTTGAAAATCCTGTATCCACCCCTGTGAAAATGTTATGACTGTCATTCTTACAGGGAATGAGGAAGTTTTCAGCTTATTTTCTACAGGTTAATTTTTATGCCATAATTTATTACGTCTGTCTTGTAGGTAGTCAATTACCTACTTGAAATATATAATTTATAGACGTAGTGTTGATCAGATATTGCCTACTGAAAGTTTATGTTGACTTACTTTATATCGTATATTATAGACAGAAAAAAACCTTTTCATGAAATCTATTTGAGAGAGAGGGAGAGAGAGAAATGGGGTTTAAAGTCCACTCGACACAAACTAGGTCATTTCGGGACTAACATATGGTTCAATTTTATTTCAATAATTCGCTTGCGAATAGGGGTCTTTAGCAGTGGGAGGAAACCGGAGGACCCAGAGAAAACCCACAGGTGACCCTACTCCTTGTCACATACAACCGAAATCTATTTGAAAGAGGAGCCATGGTGGTTGAGTGAGTAGAACATTGACTCGCTGACCTGAAGGTTCCAAATTCGATCCCTGTATTGATCACGGTGGCTAGGTGGTTAAGACGCTTGCTCGCTAGCCTGGAGGTCGGATGTTCGATCCCTGCATTGGCCGAGAAAGTTCACCCAGATTTTCCGGCGTGGTTCTCCCTTGTCAGTGATGCAGAACGGAGGGCCTGACAAGGACAGCTGTCTAGTCCTTCGGATGAGATGAAAAACCGTGGTCCTGTGTATACATTGGAATGCACGTAAAAGATCCCTTGGCAGTTGGAATTCGATATAAGAGTAGGCCATAGCGCTGCTGCCCGGGCAAAATTTCCATTATAGCACACTGTATGGCGTATGCCCGTCTTCATTAGCCCAGGTTAGGAGCAGAACAGTAGGACGTTAAACCCCATTTTATTTCATTTCATTTCATTTCATTAAAGGAGGGAGAGATACTGTTCCTTTTTAATTCCCAAGTTGTCATGTCACATATTGTTCACAGTGACAGGAACCTAGGGAAACCAGTTCTTCATCTAATGTGTTTTAGTTTCCAAGTTGTCATGTCACATATTCTTCACAGCGATGGAGAGCTAACGAAACCAGTTCTTCATCTAGTGTGGTTTTGAGTAATTTACAGTAAAATCTACTGACATAATGGAGAATATAAGGTACTTTACCTTGTCTCTGACTGGCAGAAACCTGGTTATAATAAACTAACCCCTTGTTTGATTATACCTAAGCCCACTTAAGGTGATAATTCCTGTGTCTAGTTAACAATCCATAGCGTAACAAATCAATCAGGATTATCCCAAGCTCTAAATGTTAAAATAGTAGAATAATAATCACGGCTACATTACATCAAAATGCTCAAAATTAATTATGAGTGATTAATCAGAGAATAGCAGAATATTGCAGAAAAACTAATTGTGTGATAAACAAGGCTATCTTAAAATGCTGCAAACATAGACACTGTCATATAGAATCTGTTGAACCACACAAAAGACAATCAATATTTTTACAGTCTTTTAATAGATTTAACCAAAGAGACAGAGTGTTGTGTTACATATGTATCAGTTGTTTTAAAAAACTAAATAGAATCCAACCTACAACTTCCTTTAATGGCACTCAGGAGAGATGGGGTTTAACATCCACTTGACATAAACTAGGTCATTTCGGGACTAACATATGGTTCAATTTTATTTCCATAATTCGCTTGTAAGTAGTGGTCTTTAGCAGTGGGAGGAAACCGGAGAACCCGGAGAAAACCCACAAGGTTGGACAGGCAACCCTACTCCTTGTCACGTACAACCGGGGAATCAAAACCTCGCCAGTTTACTCAAACTATAAAAGAAGACACAATCAGTCAAAAAAAACAACTTTTGACTCCAAGTGCAGTAATGACTACAGAAGGATTTCGCAGGCCATTGCTTCAATAATAAGTCGAGTAACTTTTTTGGAAACAAATTGACAATTATATGCACGGGTTCTCAGTTTGTCTTACCATCCGAATGAATAGATGCGACTCTTTGCCCAGTCTGATTAAATTACAGATCCTATTTAATTTAAAGATGGGTTACCGCGTACAAACTGGGTGATTTAATGGTATATATGGACTAAAAACATATTCAAACTAATTAATTTGTCATAACTTTGTAATTGCGAAGGAATGTCCTGCTATAAAAATTTGATCAAACCAGGTCATGTTTACGTCACGTGACTTACCTCTCTTTGAAGTCAGAGGAGAATTCATTGCATACATAAGACGATGTTGTCTTAAATCACTTACTATTTATTACAAATATCGAATCCTAATTAAATTCTCGGATTATCCACTACCCGCGTCTTTTTCCGTCATTTTTATCTCAGAATGTGTTGTACATCTAACTCTTCATAAAGTTTATCAACTTGTACACCAAGCGCTCAATGTTCGCGTGTGACCTTTGACATCACGTGTGCAGAAATTCCTAATCGTCAGGCTGTTGATTAGGGGAACCCTTACATTTTTGTCATGTATATGGTCCATGAGTGTTTTTCTGGGAATCCAGTATTTTTCTAGTAAGATCGGATTATTGGAAATAACCACCCGATAAATACTTTTCTGGGAACCGATCTTTAATCAAAAATATATAAAAACGAACCCATATATAGATCTGTATTTTAATCAGAATGTGCCTTGCCTGATCCTTGGTACGTACGGCACCATTAACAAAGGGACACCAGACGGCAACATCCTGGGGAAACGTTCTCGGCCAACTACAAGATTGAACCCGGGACCTCCTGTTTAGTGAGCCAATGTCTTACTCACTGAGCCACTGTGGCTCTCCCCTAAAACATTCAGTTAACACTATAATGCAAAAGGCACGATTATGCCTTAAACTGAAGAAATGGAAGTGGTAGAATTTGTTAATCTCCAAACTACGCTGAACGATTCTCTCATTAATGACTGTCTCTTCTCGCAGGTTTCGGGGGTTGGGTGGCGGAATGGTTAAAGCAGTGATTCTTAACCAGTGTACTGAGAGATCTTCCTAAGTGTGCCACGGAATTTTGAACAGTACGCTAAGAAAATGCTAAAAACCACATCATCCCAAATGAGTATTCACTGGTGTCTACTGATAAGTTCATAGCTATGTTTTTCTTTATTTAGTTTGAGTCATGCTATATGTCTATAACTAGTCTCTGTCTACGGTTGTATTCCGTCTGACTTAACATGTTTTTATTTTTCATATATATTTAGCCAGGTGTGCCGCTCATTTTTCAAGTGTTCCAAGGTGTGCCGTTGGCAAAAAAAGGTTGAGAACCACTGGGTTAAAGCATGTTCGTTTGATCAGAAGAACTGTCATGGAGTCGAGTGGCATGGTTTCAATTCCCTGCTTGTACGTGACAACAGAAAGGGATGCCTTTCACATCTCAAAGATTTCTCTGTGTTCTACCGCTTGTTCTCACAGGTTCTACGTGCAGGTGAATTATTGAAATAAAATTGAACCGTATGTTAGTCCTGAAATGACCTCTCTCTCTGGTTTCCCAGGAACCACTTGTCTGTGATATCACCTTGGGTGGAAACGAATATTAAGCCAGACATCAAATGACGAGACTCTATTGAAAACCTATATCTAAATAGGAACCACTTGTCTGTGATATCACCTTAGGTGGAAATCAGACATCAAGTCAGTGTAGTAAACTAACAAGACCCTATTGAAAACCTATCTATATAAGAAGATCTCTCTCTCTCTCTCTTTCTCTCTCTCTCTCTCTCTCTCTCTCTTTCTCTCTCTCTCTCTGGTTTCCCATGAACTACTTGTCTTCGATATCATCCTTAGGTGGAAGCCAGACATCAAGTCAGTGTAGTAAAATGACGAGACTCTATTGAAAACCTATCTATATAGGAACCTCTTGTCTTCGATAGTAAAATGACGAGACTCTATTGAAAACCTATCTATATAGGAAGATTTCTATAAGCTTTGGTTAACATTCTTCTTAAATAAAAGAAATAATCCTGATACGATTGTATGACGATTGTATGACGTAAAATGACTATGGATTTTAATATAAAGAATTGTCAATGACATTAGTCGTTGAAAGGTTTAATCGACACGGACAGGGAGTTAACCGGTTAAATTATAGTAATAACTTGTGTACTTGTTATAGTTTAATACAATAGATCCCCTACGTTTATTTAATACTAGGCACGTACTATTCACTCACGAACAATCGTATTATATCAATACAGCAAATAAATATACATATAAATAAAATAGTTATTGATAGAAAGATGGAAGATTTTATAGGGGCCAATATTTACTGGGTCATTTTATGTCTGACCTATTGTGTGTATATTCCTATATATTACAGGGGGGGTGGGGGAGGGGGGTATGTCATTTACAAAGAAATTGGTTTAACTTTAGATTGTTTCAAAATGAAAAGAGAGGATTGTGATTTGAATTCCATGTGTGGGCTCAGAATAGTTTTAAGGATCTTTCAAGTATGTCCTTCTCTTAATTGACAGAGGTTGACCTTTCCTGGATTAGAGAGATAAAAAAATAGGGTTTAACATCCAGTCGACATGAACAAGGTCATTCCGGGACTAACATATGGTTAAATTTTATTTCAATTCATTTGCGCATAGGGGTCTTTAGCAGTGGGAGAAAACCGGAGGACCCAGAGAGAGAAAACCCACAAGGTTGGACAGTCGATCCTACTCCTAGTCACGTACAACTGGGGAATCAAAATCACGCCAGTTGACTCAATGACAGACCTTATGATAAAGCGTGCATGCCCTAACCATTTGGCCATGCCCCACCCACCCCACTCAAAATCAACTGAGAAAACTGTGACAAACGAGTTGTCAGATTTCTGGAATCTTGTCCAGAACAATTTTCCTGTGTTCAAGTCGAGGTGTTGGCCGAGATTTACCTTCAGGATTTGTTAAGCTCGTCCTTCTCTTGTCACCTGCGTGTCTAGTCCTTCGGATGGGATGAATATCCAGGGTTCACTTCAGATAGTAGATAGAAAAATCTATCTAGGCAAAATTATCCTATATTGCAAATAAAACTATAGAATAAAAAACTAACATTGGTTTGTCTCAAAATGACATGAAGTGTTGGTCGTTTGGATGGGATAAAAAAAACTGAGGTCCTGGCTATACATTGCCGTGCACGTAAAAGATCCCTTGGCATGTGGAATTCGATATAAGAGGAGTCCATAGTGCCGCTGCCCAGGCAAAATTTCCCTTGTCGTAGCACACTGTATGATGTATGCCCGTCTGAAGTGATTAGCCCAGTTCAGAGCAGAAAAGTAGGACGTTAAACCCCATTTCATTTTATTTAATTTGTATTGTGTTGATAAGACATTCAAAATAAAAATTAATTAATTTCAAAATACACCAGGTTGAAATTAGAGAAATGTGTTCATAGGTCTAGTTTTATGCGATGTGTAGTTAACATATTAGAGAGAGAGAGAAATGGGGTTTAACGTCCACTCGACACAAACTAGGCCATTTCGGGACTAACATATGGTTCAATTTTATTTACATAATTCGCTTGCGCAAAGTGGTCTTTAGCAGTGGGAGGAAACCGGAGAACCTGAAAAAACCCACGAGGTTGGACAGGCGACCCTACTCCTTGTCACGTACAACCGGGGATTCGAAACCACGCCAGTCGACTAATTGACAGACTTTATGATACAGCGCGCGTACGCTTACCATTCAGCCATCCAACCCCCCGTTAACATATTAAGTACTGTGGTTAGATCACATAGTGGATAATAGGGAAAATTGATCCTGACCAATCAGTAGGTTCTTAACAACATCACATGACAAGAAAATATAAATGACACTTATCATATCTACCTGTATAAATTGTTTGAACTCAACAAAAATATTGAAAAACCATTCACAATTAGCCGGTAGATCGGACATAGGGATGTATTTATCAGTGGGCGATTTTGCATACCTGTCCCATACCCATTACATACCCATCACCCATCTCAATCTTATTCCTGTCTCATACTCATCAAATATACATCCTATATCCATCTCGTACCTGTCTCATCACCTACCCAATTAAATATATTTGATATAAATGAAGACTTGTATTTTCCAGTATGGAGCAGGTGAATAACCTGTATGTTTTGTTCTATTTTTCAGTATGGAGCAGGTGAATAACCTGCGAGAAATACAAGCCATGAGAAAATTAAATCCTCATATCAACGTTCTCGAGTTGGAGGAGGTCATCTTGTAAGTAAAAATAGTCTATTTCCAAATATAAAACATTCTAGATACCCTGGGGGAATGAGATTTATGGAATGTGAGACCAGGTTAATGGAATGTGAGACCAGGTTAATGGAATGGGAGACCAGGTTAATCGAATGGGAGACTAGGTTAATGGAATGGGAGACCAGGTTAATCGAATGGGAGACTAGGTTAATGGAATGGGAGACCAGGTTAATCGAATGGGAGACTAGGTTAATGGAATGGGAGACTAGGTTAATGGAATGTTAGACTAAGTTAATGGAATGTGAGACTAGGTTAATGGAATGGGAGACTAGGTTAATGGAATGTGAGACTAGGTTAATGGAATGGGAGACTAGGTTAATGGAATGTGAGACTTGGTTAATGGAATGTGAGACAAGGTTAATGGAATGGGAGACCAGGTTAATGGAATGGGAGACCAGGTTAATCGAATGGGAGACTAGGTTAATGGAATGGGAGACTAGGTTAATGGAATGGGAGACTAGGTTAATGGAATGGGAGACTAGGTTAATGGAATGGGAGACTAGGTTAATGGAATGTGAGACTAGGTTAATGGAATGGGAGACCAGGTTAATCGAATGGGAGACTAGGTTAATGGAATGGGAGACTAGGTTAATGGAATGGGAGACTAAGTTAATGGAATGTTAGATTAGGTTAATGGAATGTGAGACTTGGTTAATGGAATGTGAGACTAGGTTAATGGAATGGGAGACTAGGTTAATGGAATGTTAGACTAGGTTAATGGAATGTTAGACTAGGTTAATGGAATGTTAGACTAGGTATAGAAGTAAATCCGACCTGGTTAAAAGAATCTGACACTAATGTTCAGTGATGAAACGTATGTTAGATATAACGTATGGTGAGCATGGAACAGGATGAGGTTCGAGGTTAGATATAACGTATGGTGAGCATGGAACAGGATGAGGTTCGAGGTTAGATATAACGTATGGTGAGCGTGGAACAGGATGAGGTTCGAGGTTAGATATAACGTATGGTGAGCGTGGAACAGGATGAGGTTCGAGGTTAGATATAACGTATGGTGAGCGTGGAACAGGATGAGGTTCGAGGGATGTGAAAGACTTGATCCATGTTAACAAATGAAGAGTCCAGGGCAAGAACGATCGAAGTCACATTTTTGTCTTTTCGCATAAATAACAAAACAGACTTTTGAACGAGTGGGTTTAATTACAACTTCAAAATGATGAATCACAATCACCAGTACAACAAATGACTTCCTCTTTTCAGCCAAATTAAGGTCAAATAAATACGATGGACTTGTATTTGTCCGAGAGGCCATTCCAGAAGGGCCTTGGTTCGATGTGACTCCGATCGTTTTTACTTAAAATTGATTGTTCCATAGAAAGCTTATACAAATTGCTTCCAGATGGCGCCATTAACTGGGGTTCGTTGAAAAAGTGACTTAGTTCGTTCTTCCCGGGGCTCTTCAAATGTTTTATTTCTTTTTATTTTATTTTCAGTGATAAAAAGTCTGGTACTCTAGTCCTAGTTTGTGAACTGATGGATATGAATATTTATGAACTTATCCGAGGTAATTAGCATTATGAATATTCATGAAATTAGCATTATGAATATTCATGAAATTTCCTGTTATAGCTATTGTGATCGAGTTTTGCTTGAATATAATCTGCAATGTTCTTTTCTGAGAAATGAGTGGAAAGATAATTCTTTGTTTGAATATTTGGAATTTGTTAACCAAATATTACGGAATTTACGTGGCTGTTGTTGTTTTAGAAATATTTGACAAATATTTTTTTGAGAATCGTCAAAGGTTTCAGAGGTTAAGATGAGCAGTAGATTAAAATTCTGAGAATCCTGCAGATTTTTAGTCCTGTAGAAGAATGGAACTGATTTCTGTGGACTCGGTAATATCATTTGTCAGTCCATTAATTATTATTTTCATTCAAAATATAAAAAAAAACTTCTCTAACCAACTTTTTAGGAAAAAGACATTATTTACAAGAAAAAAAGGTTAAAAATTACATGTACCAGTTATTAAAATCTATAGACCATATGCATCGGTAAGAATTATTGTTTTAGCACAGTAGAATAAAACTACCTGTAGTAGAATAAAATACCTGTGTCTAAAAGGAAATGGTTCACCTGTTTTTAAATTCCAATGAAAAATAGACAATAATGACAGCGATTCAGTTCAACTTTTAGAAACTTCTAACTGCCACCCTTAAATAATAAATGTATCGGTGATGTCATTATTATAACCTGATATGACAATAGTGCGTTTTGTTTGTCGCAATAAACTGTTACTTGTCGATGGTTCTAATGCCTGCACTTTAGATCATAAGGTCTGTCATTGAGTCAAGTGGCGTGGTTTCGAATCCCCGCTTGTATGTGACAAGGAGTAGGGTAGCCTTTCCAACCTCATGGGTTTTCTCCGGGTCCTCCAGTTTCCTCCCATTGCTAAACCTACACGCCATTGAATTATTCAAATTAGTGACATCCCGAAATTGATCTTTGATTTAATGTAGCATTTTAACTGAGACGGTTGTCATTATTTGTCTATTTTTAGAATATAGAAATATTTGGACCATCTACTTTAGCTAGCTATATTTCACTTTACCTTAGCTTCGAGTTAGCTTAAACGTAACTTCGAGTTAGCTCAAACCTAGCTTTAAGTTAGCTTAAACGTAACTTTGAGTTAGCTTAAACCTATTTTTAAGTTAGCTTAAACGTAACTTCAAGTTAGCTTAAATCTAGCTTTAAGTTAGCTTAAACCTAGCTTCAAGTTAGCTTAAACCTAGCTTTAAGTTAGCTTAAACCTAGCTTCAAGTTAGCTTAAACCTAGCTTTTATTGTTGTAGAACTAGCTAGGAATTAAGAACTAGTTGGAGGTTTTTCATAGTGATTGAATCATTTAGATTTTTCTTTTTTATTCTCAAATCCTTTGAAATTCTGATATTTTTCATCTCACTACTTTTTTTCCGCAATAGTTTTCAAGTAATGATTAATTATACAATGCATGTAGTTTAATTATTCCTACTTTAAAAGGGACTATTTCTTCTCTCAAAAATATAATCTACAGATAGAACTATCTGGAATAAAAATTTTGAATTAAAACAAAATGGCCTCTCTTAAAGTCTGATGTCAGTCAAAACTCAACGACTACCAAGAGAGCTAAATTCAAAAAGAACACCTTAATTCCATTTGTCTGCGATATCACCTCGGTGGAAGCGGACGTAAAATACAACTAACTCACACACACTTAATTCCATATCATTATTATAAAATTAGAATTGTAAAGAATTTTACCTTAAGTTATGTTAAGTACTGATGAATTTAATTCAATTCTTTAATTTCTTTAAGTCTACTGACTCATCAGATAACATATATACACAGTTACATACAAACAATATATACATGGACAAACAGACAAAGGTATAGGAGTGGGGTGTAGATAAATTGTGTTAAATTGCTAGCCTAAATAGGATACAGAAATTTAAAAAAGACGAAAAGAATCAGTAAATATTATAAACTTCATAAAATCATCCGCTAATTTATTTAAATACAGATAAATTTATAGATTTCTTGATGCCTACATTGCAGGAAAAACAACATAATTTCATATTATCATCATAAAATTTGAATTTTAAAGACTTGGATACATTATAAGAAAAAAAAATATCATCTCAATCTGAATTAAATAAAATACAGTATTAAAATACATAAAAAGTATTTTGGCTGTCAAAATTTTGAAATAATAGATCACCTGGTCTGAAAACTTCGCACCCCATTTAATTTGAGAAATGAAATGTTTTTGAATATTCTTGATGTTAACAGTACAGATTTAATTTCTATAATTAATAATTATTGTATATTAGAGGCGTGCAGAGAGACGGGGTGACGGCCATGGGCATCTATTTTATTAGGATTACAGGTTGTTTTGTTTTTTCAAATTCATTTCTTTCTACTTCAAATTGAAAACAAAACTAAAACTAGTAGAAAAAGTGACTTAGTTACACATTAAACTGAACGCAAAACTAAAAGTATTAATTTTCTACTTTAAATTGAAACAAAACGAAAATTAGTAAAAAAAAGTGACATATTTCTACTTTAAAATGAAAACAAAACTAAAATTAGTAAAATTTGTGACTTATTTTCTCATCAAACTGAACACAAAACAAAAATTAGTAAATTTTACTAATATCCACTTTAAATCTATTTGTGAAAGTGAAATAGTCTCTTTAATAATCTTTTCTCTCTAGATGTAGTTGTCTTTTTTTCCAGAACAATCTCACGTTTTTCCTGAATCCCTGGTTGCTAATTTTATGCATCAGTTAGTTAAAGCGGTCGATCACATGCATAGGTAAGCAGACGGCGGGTGTGATGGGTGTTGGTGTTGATGTTGACTAATAATAATAACAACTAACAAACTTATCTGGGTGATCTAGGATCTTTGATCGGGGGTGGACTGGGGGTTCGAGGCCCCTGAGGCTGACCCTATGAGAAAATAAGTGTAAATGGTGCTTTCTAGAGTATATCCTGGTGTTTCTAGCTTATGTAGAAATTTAGCATGTGGCAATCTTACAAAGGAGGCCCAACTCCTCTCTCCCTGGGGTCGTAGCTTACTCCACATTCCTCTCTGATTGGGTTGTAACTTCCTAGACACACCTCTCTGCCTGAAGTCGTAGCTTCCTTCACACTCCTCTCTGCCAGGGGCCCTAGCTTCCTTCACACTCCTCTCTGCCGGGGGGGGGGGGGGGCGTAGCTTCCTCCACACTCCTCTCTACCTGGGGTCGTAGTTTCCTATCTACACGTCACTGGTTCTACACAATTTATTGTAAGACATTATAAGAGAGTTTTGTTAAAAGATTTCAATCTAAATTAACTCAAAGGTTGAATAAGATCAATATTTTACTATCAGCAGACATGGCCTATAAATGTAATTGTTACCAAGAAGGACCACTTAAGATATAGCTTTAGGCCATGCCAATTTCACGACTTTTTTACTGAAAAAATAGGAGTGATCGAATAAAAGATTTTTTCGAGAAATAAAATTTTACAATAGCAGCCATGGAAAAAAAGAATTTTTCAAGAAATGAGATTTAAAAAACTTAAAATCTTTACTCTATCTATTATTATTCTTGTAATTGATTTTTCTAAATTTAATAGATAGGAGAGTATGTTTTAGATTGGGTTACTACTCATAATGATTATTTAATATTTAATAGATAGGAGAGTATGTTTTAGTATGGGTTACTACTCATAATGGTTATTTAATATTTAATAGATAGGAGAGTATGTTTTAGTATGGGTTACTACTCATAATGGTTATTTAATATTTAATAGATAGGAGAGTATGTTTTAGTATGGGTTACTACTCATAATGGTTATTTAACATTTAATAGATAGGAGAGTATGTTTTAGTATGGGTTACTACTCATAATGGTTATTTAATATTTAATAGATAGGAGAGTATGTTTTAGTATGGGTTACTACTCATAATGGTTATTTAATATTTAATAGATAGGAGAGTATGTTTTAGTATGGGTTACTACTCATAATGGTTATTTAACATTTAATAGATAGGAGAGTATGTTTTAGTATGGGTTACTACTCATAATGGTTATTTAACATTTAATAGATAGGAGAGTATGTTTTAGTATGGGTTACTACTCATAATGGTTATTTAATATTTAATAGATAGGAGAGTATGTTTTAGTATGGGTTACTACTCATAATGGTTATTTAACATTTAGTTCAAAACCATTCTATATAAAACTTGCAAATTTTTACTGTTAATCCACGCTTAACGGGGGCAGGGGTGGCGGGGTGGATGGCCGGATGGCCGGATGGCCGGATGGTTAGCGTGTGTGTGTTGCATCATAAGGTCTGTCATTGAGTCAACTGGCACGGTTTTGATTCCCTGGTTGTACGTGACAAGGAGTAGGGTCGCCTGTCCAACCTCGTGGGTTTTCTTTAGGTCCTCCGGTTTCCTCCCACTGCTAAAGACCCCTACGCGCAAGCGAATTATTGAAATAAAATTAAACCATGTGTTAGTCTCGAAATGACCTAGTTTGTGTGAGTGGCCGTTAAACCCCGTTTCTCTCTCTCTCTCTCTCTCTCTCTAATATTCTTACAAAATTACGTTTTTTCGTAATATAATAGAATTTTAGTCTCAAATTGAATCCAGTAATATTTCTCCAATGGTTAAACCCCATTGTGAGTTGTCTGGTCTAAATTCTAAAGTTATAAAAAACAGATAGAGAGAAATCGGGGTTAACGTCCACTCGACACAAACTAGGTCATTTCGGGACTAACATATGGTTTTTAATTTTTTTATTTCAATAATTCTCTTGCGCATAGGGGTCTTTAGCAGTGGGAGGAAACCGGAGGACCCGGAGAAAACCCACGAGGATGGACAGACGACCCTACTCCTTGTCACGTACAACCGTGGATTTGAAACCACCCCAGTTGACTCAATGACAGACTTTATGATACAGCGCACACATGCTAACCATTCAGCCATCCAACCCCCCTATAAAAAACAACCTGACGTGACCTAAGTAGTGTGTATTGTAATATGATATCGGGTTGTCAATACCTGTGATTATACCTGTGATTGACAGGTATGATGGGTTACTATTTGATCATAACAACATTTACATTTAAACATATATAAACTACATAGCAGTTTTTATTGATGTTCCTCGGCAATCCACATATCAATAGCTCGACTCTTAATAGAAAAAAGGCTTTGGATTTCTTGAAATTGATTATATCTTCAAATCATTTATGTGGTTACGTATTTATAGCTGGACTGTTATTGGCAAAAAAACTTTGAGTTTCTTGAACTTGATTATATCTTTTAAATCTTATAAGTGGTTACGATTGATTTAAAGTGGATTTTAAGTTGTTTTGAAAATATGAAGCAATAAATGGATTTGAAGTGTTGCGAAAACAATAAAGGGGTGCAGTCACTAATCCAAATCTATCCCACAATGACTAAACATGTCCACAATGACTAGACATGTCCACCATGTCTAAACATTTCCGCAATGACTAGATATTTCCACCATGACTAGACATGTCCACAATGACTAGATATTTCCACCATGACTAGACATGTCCACAATGACTAGATATGCCCACCATGTCTAAACATTTCCGCAATGACTAGATATTTCCACCATGACTTGACATGTCCACAATGACTAGATATGCCCACCATGACTAGACATGTCCACAATGACTAGATATGTCCACCATGACCAGACATGTCCACAATGACTAGACATGTCCACCGTGACCAGACATGTCCACCATGCCTAGACATTTCCACAATGACCAGACATGTCCACAATGACTAGACATGTCCACCATGACCAAACATGTCCACCATGACTAGACATGTCCAAAATGACTAGACATGTCCAAAATGACTGTCCAAAATGACTAGATATGTCAACAATGACTGGACATGTCCACAATGACTAGACATTTCCAAAATCCATGAAATTTTTATATGGCTGTGAGGAATTTTATCTATTTGATCGTCAGCCATGTATCAATTTTTACATTTATCCAAACAGTTTGTCGATAGGACATATATATTTATATATTCAAAATAATTAACAGTAGATGTTTTATCTACAGGCTGGGGTGGAGTGGGGGTGGGTTGGATGGTCGAATGGTTAGCACATGCGCGGTGTATCATAAGGTCTGTCATTGAGTCAACTAGCATGGTTTTGATTCTCCGGTTGTACATGACAAGGAGTAGGGTTGCATTTCCATCTTCGTGGGTTTTCTCCGGGTCCTCCAGTTTCCTCCCACTGCTAAAGACCCATACGCGCAAGCGAATTATTGAAATAAAATTAAACCATATGTTAGTCCCGAAATGACCTAGTTTGTGTTGAGTTGACGTTAAACCCCATTTATCTCTCTCTTATCTGTAGCCATCCTCGTGGGTTTTCTCCGGGTCCTCCGGCTTCCTCCCACTGCTAAAGACCCCTACACACAAGGGAATTATTGAAATAAAATTGAACCATGTGTTAGTCCCGAAATGACCTAGTTTGTGTCGAGTGGACATTAAACCCCCATCTCTCTCTCTCTCTCTCTCTCTCTCTCTCTCTCTCTATCTGTAGAAAAAAAAAATGAAATGAAATGGAGTTTAATGTCCTACTTCTCTGCACTCATCAGGCTAATGGGAATACATCATGTCTAAGTCATGAATATTTAAATTAATTATCATGAGATGAATGGAAGGGAGTTAACTCAGTCAAGTGATAAAGGTGTGTTTTATAACCGATAATAAATCCTTTCATCTTCACAAATAATGTTTGTTGTATTACTCATTTGGTTCAATGAGCATAAGACCAGGGAGTCGGTGATATAAATTAGTAGCCTACTGCTGGTAACACTGATAACAATGAAATAGATAATCTTTGAGAGACATTTAGTGTATACAGGTGACAATTCTATGGAAAACAATTACTGCTTATTACTAAGCGATGTTTCGACTTCGCTTCTCTAGTCATTGTCAAACATCGCTCAGTAATAGAATTCCATAGAATTGTCACCTGTATATTCCAGTTCAATTACTAAATGCCATTGAAACAATTTAATAGACATTTAGTAACTGGATAGAGCAATAAACTGTAACCCATACTTATGGAAAAACAATTACTGATTAATTTGGGCTACTTAATTACTTAACTTAATTTAATGGCTTCACTTAAACTTAATTAATTAGTATTTGTAGAATATCACCTCCTTTTGATCTTGTTGTTGTCCTGTATGGTTTCATGAATTGTTGTTATAGTTTTTCTGTATATATTGACCTCATAATTCTTGTATTACTGCTTTAGATTGATAATGTTGTGCTTAGGGGTCTTTAGCAGTGGGAGGAAACTGGAGGACCCGGAGAAAACCCACGAGGTTTGACAAGCGACCCCACTCCTTGTCACTTACAACCGGGGAATCAAAACCCCGCCAGTTGACTCAATGACAGATCGTATGATACAGCTCCATCTAGCATATAGACCAGTGATATAACTGGTTGTGTGGAAGTAGTCGACAATATTTAAGTAAAAAATAAACAAAAAGTAAATTTGTTTGTAAAAGAATGGGCAATACACAAGAATTACCATTGATTAACGAGAAATATTTACAATAGCTTTCTCTAATCTTTATCACAATTTTATGAAATTTAATTTTGGTTTTGATGTGTTTGAAAATAATATCTAAATATAAAAACAGAAGGGTCACCAAGAAATGTTATACCCTGGTCCCCATCAATGTTCTACCCTGGTCCCCTTCAATGTTCTGCCCTGGTCCCCATCAATGTTCTACCCTCGTCCCCATCAATGTTCTACCCTCGTCCCCATCAATGTTCTGGCCTGGTCCCCATCAATGTTATGCCCTGGTCCCCATCAATGTTATGCCCTGGTCCCCATCAATGTTCTATCCTCTTTCCAATCAATGTTCTACCCTCGTCCCCATCAATGTTCTACCCTCGTCCCCATCAATGTTCTGCCTTCGTCCCCATCAATGTTAAATTTGTGTTTCTAATTTCGTATATTATGGATAATTTTGAGTTAGCGGTTTAGCTCGTTTAAATTTGGTCATCAGATGGAGACAAGTCAATACTTTATTTTAAACAAATTCAAAGAGTTTTCATTCCTTTAATCTTCTGAAATATCATTTCTTTGATGTTGTATCTTACTTCTCTTATTGTAATATATATTACTACTAGTAAGCCTTTCTCTTGTTGTAATATATATTACTACTAGTCAGCCTTTCTCTTATTGTAATAATATATTTACTAGTAGCCAGACATTCTCTTATTGTAATAATATATTTACTAGTGACATTCTCTTATTGTAATATATATTTACTAGTGACATTCTCTTATTGATATATATATTTACTAGTGGCCAGACTTTCTCTTGGTGTAATATATTTATCAGTAGAGGTTTCTCTTCAACTGGTAGTCAAATATGACACCAATATGTTATTGTATTTATATTCTGGTAGTCAAATATGACATCAATATGTTATTGTATTTATATTCTGGTAGTCAAATATGACATCAATATGTTATTGTATTTATATTCTGGTAGTCAAATATGACGTCAATATGTTATTGTATTTATATTCTGGTTGTTTATTCTACTTCCAGAAGACATTTCTTTTTATGGCAGGTTTAGTATTTATAATTAGTGAACATACCAATCAAAATTGTGTCATACAGAAAAATTCTCTAAATCTTTTGAAATTTTGGATCAACAGGACATTTCATTGGATATCTAACCCTAACCCTAACCCTAGGTTTTTCTACTTGCAATTGCTATCTGACCAATGTCCTTTAAACATCGATATTGTGTTAGTAATTATTGCAATCTTCTTTGAGTGGCATTTAGAAACCCTCAGTGAAACATCACTTTAATTAAAATAGTATGTTTCTATGTTAATTATAGTCATATTACTATTTAAACATTGATGTTGTGTTAATTGTTATGTTAATTATAATAATAATAATATTTAAACATTAATATTGTGTTAATTATAGTAATAGTAATATTTAAACATTGATATTGTGTTAATTATTGTATAATTGTTATTTCAATATTTAAAGGAATGGAATATTTCATCGAGATGTTAAACCAGAAAATATTTTAATTAAGGTAAGAAATTTTAGAATTAATTCTATGATACAGGTAACAGATACTCTGTAAACATTCATTTTAAGATTCTGAGGAAAAGAAAAAATAATTTTTAATTTTAAAATGTGACATCTTGGTAAACGTGAATATTGACTACGCCTTGTTTCTTCAATTGTTTTTAGGGGGTTGGATGGTCGAATGGTTAGCATGTGCGTGCTGTATCATAAGGCCTGTCATTGAGTCAACTGACGTGGTTTCCATTCCCCGGTTGCATGTGACTACTAGTAGGGTCGCATGTCCAACCTCGTGGGTTTTCTCTGAGTCCTCCAGTTTCCTCCCACTGCTAAAGACCCCTACGTGTAAGCGAATTGTTCCGAACTGATATCCGAAATTTCTGTTCATTTTAAAATGGTCGCCGAACCAGAATCACATGATTTCATGTCACTCGAAAATACAGAAAAACTGTTAAGTAAGATAAGATTAAGATTTCAGTGTTCCACTCTTCACTATTTGTAACATAATTACTTATGTAATTTTGAATTGAACCTAATTTTACTTGCGCAAAGCCTCGAATAGTGTATCAATTGTAGCCATGAATAGAAATTATCATGGCTACAAATATTGCTGCTAGTGCACTACTTTAGTTACACTTATAGTATTTACAAGCTGTAATTGCTTACAGATAATGTATATACCAGTGATGGGATTTCAAAATTTTTCTTGTCGGACATATTTTCCCAAAAATAAAGGGGCATCCCTGGTATTTACACCCATAGATGATATTATATATTTACAGGATGATTTGCTGAAACTTGCTGATTTTGGTAGTTGTAGAAGTGTTTACTCTAAACAACCATATACAGAATATATATCTACTAGATGGTAAGTAACATCAACACCAGGATCATATATATCTACTAGATGGTAAGTAACATCTATACCAGGATCATATATATTGACTAGATGGTAAGTAACATCTATACCAGGATCATATATATCGACTAGATGGTAACTAACATCAACACCAGGATCATATATATTGACTAGATGGTAAGTAATTTCAACACCAGGATCATATATATCTACTAGATGGTAAGTAACATCAACACCAGGATCATATAGGAGGATGAACTGCCTTGGTCTGTGACAGTCCACGTCACTCTTTTGTTTTAATGTGAACTACAAAGCATTATTGTTGGACACCATTTAGGCACCTGTGATCACGCCTATTAAATTTTTTTGTCTAGTTACACATTTTTATTAAAAGTTTTGAAATTTTAAACAAAAGTGGGTTTTTTTCACAGAACTCAGAGTGACTTTTAATTGATCAGACCTTGAAAAATTACAAATCTGCATCTTTATGGTATAACATTAAAGATACAGTATGGGAGATTAGATAACGAGCTGGCAGTTCTCACTATAATAGTTAAAAACTAGATAATGTAAAGGCAATTTGCTGAAATATTTATTCAAATTGATCCACTATGAACCGAGAACACTATAATGTATTCAAATTGATTATTTAACATATAATTAAAGATACATTATGGGAGATAAGATAAAGTGCTGGCAGTTCTCACTATAATAGTAAAAAAACTAGATAGTGTAAAGACAATTTTGCTGAAATTCTCAGTCAAATTGATCCATCATACCGTAAACCATAATTAAGCGATTAAAATTTCACCCTAGCCTCGATCATCATTACTAAAGTCTGTAAGGTAAAAACATAGTCTCGATCATCCATTTCATGATAAAATTATGAATGGAAATCGAGCAGTAAATGGGATCATAATCCAGTAAATATCGCATCGAGAGTTGATTATGGTCTGGATCAGTTAATTAATGTTTAATTAATAATTTATATAACATTTCAGGCAGATTTACCTCTTATATAATGTATGTTTAATTATATAATTACAGGTACCAGGTATTAATTATATATGATTTACAGGTGTTATATATAATTACAGGTATAGAGCACCAGGTATTAATTATAAATGATTACAGGTGTTATATATAATTACAGGTATAGAGCACCAGGTATTAATTATAAATGATTACAGGTGTAATATATAATTACAGGTATAGAGAACCAGGTATTAATTATAAATGATTACAGGTGTAATATATAATTACAGGTACAGAGCACCAGAATGTTTATTAACAGATGGGTTTTACACCTATAAAATGGACATGTGGAGTGTTGGATGTGTTTTCTTTGAAGTTCTTAGGTAAATTTATTAAAGAATACATGTGTTAGTTATATTGAGTAGCCTACATATTCCTTTTCAGCTGTGTTATTTTGTATTTACACGAAGGCCGGGTTTGTGTCAAGTTATGGAACATTAAAACATCAGAAACAGCTGATCAGTATGAAGTCACATGACGTTCACATGATCAGTTAAAATGGTGACACCCATTGTACTGAATGAATAATGTCTAAAAAGTAGCCACACTAACAGTTGCATGATACTTTATTCAACTGAGGAAAATATTTTCAGAGAGAGAGAGGAGGGAAGAAGAGAGGGGAGGGAGAGAGAGAGAGAGAGAGAGAGAGAGAGAGAGAGAGAGAGAGAGAGAGAGAGAGAGAGAGAGAGAGAGGGAGAGGAGGGAAGAAGAGAGGGGAAGAGAGGGGAGGAGAGGGAAGGGAGAGAGAGAGAGAGAGAGAGGGAGGGAAGAAGAGAGGGGAGGGAGAGAGAGAGAGAGAGAGAGAGAGAGAGAGAGAGAGAGAGAGGGAGAGGAGGGAAGAAGAGAGGGGAAGAGAGGGGAGGAGAGGGAAGGGAGAGAGAGGGAGAGGCGAGGGTGAGAGAGAGAGAGAGAGAGAGAGGGGGGAGAGTGCCAGAGGAGGGAGAGAGAGAGAGAGGGAGAGGAGGGAAGAAGAGAGGGGAGGAGTGAGAATGGATGGAGAGAGAGTGAGAGAGAGGGGGGGGGGAGAGTGCCAGGGGAGGGAGAGAGAGAGAGTGACAGGGGAGAGAGAAAGAGGGGAGGGAGAGAGGTTGAGAGGGGATGGAGAAAGAGGATAAAACCCACAATGATAGACAGAGAGAGTGAGGGGGAGGCAGGCAAGCAAGTGGGTAACACTACCCCTTGTTTATAATTTGATTTGACTTGCTGTTTGATTATTTTCAGTTTACATCCGTTATTTCCCGGTTCTAATGAAGTGGATCAGATAGCAAAAATACATGACATCATGGGAACACCAGATCCTTCTGTTCTTAAAAAATTACGGAGGTACGAAGTTTATATTTTGGGTTTAGATTTAACTCAATCATTGGGTAAGACTGCAACCGCCCCGGATAGCTTCAATTTCTTCTCTTCAGAAATTTTTTTAAAACAATAAATAATAAAACACCAAAGTCCTGTGTATAACACTAGCAGCACGTTAAAGATCCACTCCTAACATGTTAAAGATCCACTCTTGACATGTTAAAGATCCACAAACACGTGGAAATTGGAATAAGAGTAGTCTACACTGGAAGACAAAATTGGGGTTTAACGTCCACTCGACACAAACTAGATCATTTCGGGACTAACATATGGTTCAATTTTATTTGAATAATTTCGCATAGGGGTCTTTAGCATTGGGAGGAAATCAGAGGACCCAGAGAGAGAAAACCCACAAGGTTGGACATGTGACCTTACTCCTTGTAACATACAACCAGGGAATCGAAACCAAGCCAGTTTACTCAATGACAGACCTTACAATGCACACCCACTAACCATTCGGCCATCCAACCCCCACCCACATACTTAAGAGACTGCATATGAGCTTTGCCCATTTTCATTAGCCTAGTTGGTGCAAAAAATGTACGGGGTTGGTTGGCCGAATGGTTAGCACGTGTGCACTGTATCATACGGTCTGTCATTGAGTCAGCTGGTGGAGTTTCAATTCCCAGCTTGTACGTGACAAGGAGTAGGGTCGCCTGTTCAACCTCGTGGGTTTTCTCCGGATGCTCCGGTTTCCTCTCACTGCTAAAGACCCCTACGCACATGCGTAAACCATATGTTAGTCCCGAAATGACCTAGTTTGTGTCGAGTGGATGTTTAACCCCATTTCTCTCTCTTGCAAAAAATGTAGGACTTTAAACGTTATTTCTTTTCGTAAAAAATAAAACTGAAAAATATTTTTCTATAAATTACAATGTTTATAAAATATTACAATAATTATCAACCAATATTTATTTTAGATCTGGGGGTAGGATGGCAGAATGGTTAGTACGTGCGCGTTGTATCATAAGGCCTGTCATTGAGTCAACTGGCGTGGTTTTGAATCCCCGTTTGTACGTGTCCGACCTCGTCAGTTTTCTCCGGGTCCTCTGGTTATCATCTAACTGCTAATGTCCCCTATGCGCAAGCGAATTATTGAAATAAAATTAAACCATATGTTAGTCCCGAAATTACCTAGTTTGTGTCGAGTGGACGTTAAACCCCATTTCACTCTCTTTTTTATTTTAGATCTCGAGGTATGAATTTTAATTTTCCTCCGAAGAAAGGTAGTGGTATAGAAAGATTATTACCGCATGCTACGGAGGATTCTATAGCGTTAATATATTTAATGTGTACGTATGATCCGGATGATAGATTAACGGCCAGGCAAGCTCTTAAACACCCATATTTTAAAGAATTAAGGTAAGATTTTTATTAGATGTCTGATCAGATATTTTTAAATGTGTATTAGTTACAGCATACAAATTATTTTTGGACAATCAAAATTCTCCAGTTCCCCTGGGATATCTAAATTACAGCTGTATAATTCTCCAGTTCCCCTGTGACCTCTGACTTACAGCCGTATAATTCTCCAGTTCCCCTGTGATCTCTGACTTACAGTCCTATAATTCTCCAGTTCCCCTGTGATCTCTGACTTACAGCCCTATAATTCTCTGGTTCCCCTGTGATCTCTGACTTACAGTCCTATAATTCTCCAGTTCGCCTGGAATATCTGACTTACAGCCGTAAAATTCTCCAGTTCCCCTGTTGTGATCTCTGACTTACAGTCCTATAATTCTCCAGTTTCGCCTGGGATATCTGACTTACAGCCATAAAATTCTCCAGTTCCCCTGTGATCTCTGACTTACAGCTGTATAATTCTCCAGTTCCCCTGTGATTTCTAACTTACAACAGTATAACTCTCCTGTTCCCCTGTGATATCTGACTTACAGCCGTATAATTGAAACCCAACACGATCATGTACCACTTAAAATTTATATGTTCTGAAAACAAAACATATAGCTTTTAGTGTAGCCAGCCCAAAACTCTGGAACAAATTACTGTGAAATCTGAACGTCTCTCCTTCAATAGAACTTGTCTGTTTCAAAAAATATTCTGTAAATTTTTATTATGTTATCATTCATGTAAATTGGCTGACAAGTAAGTTCTCCAGTCGGTCAAGACTGGTCAGGATGAATGAAATGAGAACCCTGGACATTTCAACAGAATTATTTTATTTTGACAAGAAGACGAAAGATATATCAACATATAAGATGTACTCATATTCGAAAATTTGTTAAAAGATCAATCGGATTAAAATGCAGATCCTATTTCGTTTCTTTTTTTATAGTTCAAAATTTCGTTTTACTTGACTTTACTATACTAGGACCTAGAAGAGTTGCCGTTATATTACCGGCATTTTGGTTGAAGTGAAGGATTAGCCAATTAGTCTGTTATGGCGACTTCTTAGTCCGCCATGCACGAAACTGTGGGTAAACCACTAGAAACGTCAACGCTGATTGATTAATCAATAGGGTCAAAAGCCGCTCGTACAACCCCTGACATGACCTTCCAGTACAACTTGTCAGATCTTCATGTAGTGTAGGCCATCGAAAGTATAAAAAACGATATGAAATATAGATCTGTATTTTAATCAGATTGTAAAAAGATTCAATCATTTAGATTTTTTTAATGAATTTTTTTATATTTTAGAGATGCCGATAAGCGAGTTCACATGATGAAAGTTCGGCAACAGGAACAGGAAGAGAAAAAAAAATCTGAGCATGACAAAAATACAAATCCTGGAAACGAGGAAAGAATTCCTATAAAACAGGAGGAACGTGAGAGGCCCGATCCAGAACCACCGCAAAAAAACAAGATGACAGAAATCACCATGTATCCCAGCATACCCAAACCTCATTCACTTCCTCCACATAATTATATGTACAAAAAAAGGGTACGTAGACGAAAACGAATAGGTCGGACGATGTCTCCGTTAGACGAATCCGACACCCAATCAATCTGCCAATCAGATCGAAGTGTTCCTTATTGTAGTTTGCCAAAGATTAAATTAAAATTTAGCCCGTCTGAAACCGAGAGTACCACCTTAGATGGACTTCCAATTCTCGTTGCTTCTCCTGTATCGACCTCGGACGACGGGAACATTGATAGATATGTATCTAATGATGAAATTATTTTACCTGAGTTAGTGACATGTACTTTATCTGATAGCGAGGCCAAAGAACCGAAGAAAATTATGATAGATTCGTATGCATCTGATAGCGAGGCTACTTGTAAAAGTCGTAAAAAGGTATTATCACTTGTCGTGTGAAATAACGAAGCAACCTGAGTGAAATTATTTTAGCACTGAATTTTAATCCAATCCCAGTGACGTAGGTGACTGTCCAATTCTCATATTGACCCTCGTCTTCCAGTAAGAACAAGGGACTATTAAAATGGACGGGTTCGTCCGTCAGCCTGTCTGTTCAAATTTGGTTTAGATGTTCAAAAGGTGAATGTCTTGACTGAGTTTGATAATGAGCATTTCCTGCTTAGACTAAGCTTAGGTAATCAATTTGATTTGTAAATGATTTTCGGCAACAATAACATTGATTCCAATTGATTGAGATTCATGAAACTTTATGCATAATTTCAAAAGATCAATACATTGACTGAGTGTCATCTATTTTGGGGAGAATTGAGCAGGGATGGGAAGTATGGTAGACTCCAGGGTCCCTAAACAAGTTAATATACTCACGTAGTTTGAGGGCCCATTTTAATTTTGAATTGACATTGTTTATGATGAATTAGTAAGATTACCACACCTAAATTTATATATAAGCTAGACACATCAGGATATACTCTAGAAGGTACCATGACAATCAGTTTCTTTAAAAATATTATCATGGCCAGGGGGAGGAACCCACAGATCAACCCTAGAATGGTAGACCCTCACAGATTTTACATAATATCTAAATCCCTGACACCTCGATTTACGGTGAAATATGTAATTAATTTGAATATGTTTCACTTACCTTTGTTTACACCAATTGTTTGATGATACCTGCACATTTTGTATGATATTATTTCAACCACCTGTTTTATCACAATTATCATTTCTGTTTCTCCGACAATATCAAATTACTCACGGCTTAATTCACGCTAAGATTCTTCTCCAATTGCTTTTTTAATATTTTGCGCACTGTATCATACGATCTGTCATTGAGTCAACTGGCGTGGTTTCGAATCCCCGGTTGTACGTGACAATGAGTAGGGTCACCTGTCCAACCTCGTGGGTTTTCTCCGGGTCCTCCGGTTTCCTCCCACTGCTAAAGACCCCTACGCGCAAGCGAATTATTGAAATAAAATTGAACCATGTGTTAGTCCTGAAATGACCTAGTTTGTGTCGAGTGGACGTTAAACCCCATTTCTCTCTCTCCACACCCGAGTTGTATTTAATCTGATTAAAGATATTCAATTCATGATAACTCTGTAAATACTGAATGGAATATTGAGCCGTATTTGGACTGATCTTAAATTATACTATAGATTCCAGGGATTCAAAATGATGGTCATTGGCCTTTAACTATACAATAAAAATAACGTTTAATTGTTAGAAAGAAATGAATATTGGTACCCTCATACATGTTTTTTTTTACCTTTTTCATCAATTCATTTATTTTAATTTTGATTGTTTATTTTTATAGACGTCTTCTCAAATAGAACTCTGTTAATTTTTAATTAATTTTATGCATTTAATACTTAGCAAGTAATTTTAGAATGGGGAACGGGGGATGATGAATACTCAGGTAGTAATTTTAGAATGGGGACAGGGGGTGAAATGAAATGGGGTTTAACATCCTACTTTTATGTGGCAAGGGAAGGGAATTTGCCTGGACAGGAGCATTTCAACCCACTTTTCCTGAAATTCTGGGAGCCACGGAGATTCTCTGGGTAGGACGTTGGCTCACTAACCTGGAAGTCATGTGTTCGATTCCTGCGTTGGCTGAGAAATTTCATCTGGCGCCACAGTGGCTCAGTGGGTAGGACTTTGTCTCGCTAATCTGGAAGTTGAGTGTTCGAGAAAGATGAGCGGGATTTGCCGGAGTGGTTCCGCCATGTCAGTCATTTCGATGGGACGAAAAACCAAGGTCCGGTGTACACATTGACGTGCATGTACAAGATCCCTTGACAGTTGGAATTCGATATAAGAGCAGGCCGCTGTCTGGCAAAACTTCCTTCATAGCAAACTGTATGGCGTATGCCCTTCTTCATTAGCCCAGTCAGAGCAGTAGGATGTTAAACCCCATTTCATTTAATTTTTATTGTGGATAATTTCTATAATTGTTTTAACTTGTTTTTATTTCAGAGAAAGAATAAACGCTATCAATCAAGTCAACAATATTCAAATCATACAGGGTTATTTCCACGTGTCGAGATTCATCCCACTACATATCATACTGTTTACAACGGTTACCCTGGTAACAAATATAAATATAACGGAAATATAGGATCTACTTTATTACCGTCTGTAAATAACGGATATAAACCTCATAAGGTGGGTTCTAACTCTATTCTTACTGCTGAGTATAAAAACAAGGTGGGTTCGAACTCTATTCTTACTGCTGGGTATAAAAACAAGATGGGTTCTAACTCTATTATTACTGCTGAGTATAAAAACAAGGTGGGTTCGAACTCTATTCTTACTGCTGGGTATAAACACAAGGTGAGTTCGAACTCTATTCTTACTGCTGAGTATAAAAACAAAATGGGTTCTAACTCGGTCCTTACTGCTGAGTATAAAAACAAGTAGGGTTCTAACTCGGTCCTTACTGCTGGGTATAAAAACAAGGTGGGTTCTAACTCTACTCTTACTGCTGGGTATAAAAACTTCACACCAGCAGGACCATATTATCCACTGCTGACTTGGCTGAAGCCTAGGCGTCACACAAGGACTAGCTTGTCAATAAATGTCTCCTTAAAATACTACTCACTGTCATATATTATATTTTATTTATTTTACAGGCAGCTGGTAAACCGAATAAAGCAATGTATGGACAGTATACTTTACCGTCGTTAGATCCACGATTTTGAACACAGTTTTTATTTTATATACCACAGCAACTACACCATATACCTTGTTGACGGAAAACACTTAATCGTGGCAAATTTACAATCAGAGATGTGCATCCCTGCTTCTACACAGCAACTACACCATAATATCTTGTGGTCGGAAACACTAAAATAATCATGATTTTACAATTGGAGATGTGCATCTCTACTTCTACAGTTTGGATTCACCCACACTTTAATTAACATGTGTAAACTGTTAAAATATTAGCCCTGGAATGGCTAAATGAATATATATACAGGAGTTCCAGGTATTCCTGAAGTATCCTGGAACTGTGATATTGCTCAATGGAATATTGGATCTTCATTGTTTTGAATTTTTTAGATATATTTAGACGGTGGCAGCTGTATTTATATAGATCTATTTGTAGATATATTTAGACAGTGGCAGATGTATTTATATAGATTTATTCATACTATCAACAGTTAAATAAAATTGGGTTTAACATCCAGCTTTTCTGCCACGACGGGGCGAATGAATACGGTTTGACAACGTCCTACTTTTCTTCACCGACTGGGCTATTGAAGACTGGCTTACCAGACAATATAATATATAGAATTCTAAGAAGGGCAAGTCATGTTTCGATTGTTTAACTGGAGTAGGGTCGTCTGTCCAAATCCCATGGGTTTTCTCCGGGTCCTCCGGTTTCCTCCCACTGCTAAAGATCCCTACAACAAGCGAATTATTGAAATAAAATCGAACCATATGTTAGTCCTGAAATGACCTAGTTTGTGTCGAGTAGACATTAAACCCCATATTACTGTTTTTGTTAAGAGATTGGGTCTTGTTCATTAATTTCTTGCTAATTAATTTATTTTCGCTTGTTAATTTCTTGCTCTCCTTTGTTTCGTTATGTCCATTGTTGAATCTTTATTTTTCGAAAAGAATCCCATATTCTACAAATATGTGGCTGTTTAGATAAAGATTCAACTTAAATGGTAGCTGGAAATCTTGTCCAGTTCTTGTCTTTCTTTCATTCCTTCAATCGGTTTTAACAGTGTTTTATTTTCTTGAGAGATTTTACTGGAATTAAGCAATATTAGTCCTGTACCTTTCTACGGCTTTGTTCAAATTGATGTTACTAATAACTAATCTGATTAAAACACAGATCCCATTTGGTTTCGTTTTTATAGTTCAAAATTTCGTTTTACTTGTCTTTACTACACTAGGATCTGGAAGAGTTGTTATATTACCAGCGTTTTGGTTGAAATGAGGGATTAGCCAATGAAACGGTCTGTTATGGCGACTTCTTGGCTGGTTAAACCAGTAGAAACGTCAATGCTGATTGATTATTCAATGTATGACATCATAGGGTCAAAAGTGGCTCAAATGACCCCTGACACGACCTTCTAGTACAACTTGTCAGATCTTAATGTAGATGTCTATTTTAATCAGATGGATTTAAAACAATCCAAATACAACTTGATGCATTAATGTAACGTCTATATTCAAAAACATTTAAACTGGTTTCTGATTATAAACTATAGAAAAAGAGTGAATTACCAGACCCCATAGTATATTTTTTTTTTGGGGGGGGGGGACAATGGCTAAAATATATGACTTCAATGGTTGGTACACACCATAATATTAATTTGAAGAAAAAAGTGATTAAAAATTGACAAAAACAATGAAAGGCCGAATGCTTTGCACATGAGCGCTGTATCATAAGGTCTGTCATTGAGTCAACTGGCATGGTTTCGATTTCCCGGTTGTACATGGCAAGGAGTAGGGTTGCCTGTCCAACCTCGTGAGTTTTTTCCGGGTCTCTGGTTTCCTCTCACTGCTGAAGACCCCTACGCGTAAGCAATTTATTGAAATAAAATTGAACCATATGTTAGTCCCGAAAAGATGGACGTTAAACCCTCCTCTCTCTCTCTCTCTCTCTCTCTCTCTCTCTCTCTCTCAACATGTGGATCAGAGTCTTTAACTCATATCAGCTCTAGTAGTTTTATTGCCTCTTTATTAAGTGCTCAATGTTTATAAATACTATCAAGCTTTTTTCATTATATTGTGGGGTAAATGCAGCTTAAAGGACAAGTGCGTAATATATTGATACTGTGGGTTAAATGCAACTTAAAGGCCAAGAGCGAGATAAGATATTGATAATGTGTGAGGGTTAGCTACGTAGAAATATATAGGACCATCTCTTATCTCGAAACACGGAGGGTTGAGAGATGAGGTTTGTTATCTATACGAGGGTGTAAGCCAGATTGTTGTATGAATATATTACACAGTGTGTCAGTTGAGAACTTTTAAACAATTTAAAATATATAGGCCCTACTATCATGCACATGAATTTCTATGAAATCATCACGTGACTGTAATTCTGTATGAATAACGTGCGAATGACATGTTAACTGTGACATTATTTGAAATAATAGTACACCAACATCATAAGGCCCAATACTAGCATACAGGTGACCGGGTCTGAGACGATTCCTTTAATGCTTATTAGTAACCATTAAAATACTTAGTAACCATTGGTAACCATAGTGAACTGCCATTTTGAGAAATCTGGCTCCAAAAGGCATCAGTTAGATACCAATTGTTTATCATGTTACAATGTGTTATATATGTTATAATATTATAATCTATTTTCTCAATTTGTAAATAAATATAAATATTTTTATATTTATCAGAAGTTACATGAACATTGTGTACATATTGTATTATAACAAATGTAATTAGCAGATTTTATAATCAAGCTTCAGTAGACACACAACTCACAAGAAGTTTTGTGTTTTATGCGTATCGAGGCTTCTCACAGTTTGGCGCTAACTAGTGCTAATGGGAACAAACGTTGAAACCATGGGTTCCACATCGGCCGTATATGCCGGTCAGGACCTAGAGCTATGGAAAATGACCGTAACTAGAGCTGACTTGAAACCATGGTGATACCTTGAGCCTGACGATTATCAGAAAAGATCCAAACACTAAAGATTCTTTATTATATCTTCTGCTTGAAAACTCAATTGGTAAAATAAGTTTCAATGTCACTAAAAGATTTTTTTTTTTTTCTCTTTTTAATTCATGAAACTTTTCTATGATTTTGTAAATAAATCAGCCTTGTTTTTGATTATTTAAATGTTAATGTTATCATCAGCATTCCCGCTTCACTGTGATATGACCGAAAAATATATATTGTTATGTTTGGTTACTCAATCGGACCTATTTTATGGAGTCCGGTAATTTAGGTGTTTTTGGTCTAGATTAAAATTTGATCTGATTAAAACACAGATCCTATCTTAATTGTTTTGTTTTATATATTTGAAAATTTGGGGGGATTTTCCCTCCCTAGCTTTTAAAAAAACTGTGTTTTGTTTGATATGGGAGATTTAGCCAATGAAATGGTCTGTTTAGTTAAGCTTTACGTAAGAAGTGCTCGGAATTCTGGGAGACACCTAAATATTTTCCGGTTTAAATATTCCACTAAATTTAATATTTAAAGTTGACCTTAAAACTCACTGTCACAAACAGGGGGCTTATTCAAAGAAAACCTAAATTTTACGAAGGAAGCCTTTTCATTAGTGCTATCCAATGAACAATGAATAGGGTCCAAGATCTTTATCGAGTTAAGGCCACCATAAATGAATGAAATAAAATTTAAATCTGTATTTTAATCAGAATGAATTATGTGAAAGTGTCTCTTCTAGTTATTTTTAATAATTTGTTTTAAAATTGTAATTTTTTTGTTAGATGTATTATTTATAACCACCTTATAGATTTATTTATAAATTTCACGGAAGAAATATCATATAATATGTACATGTATGTATTATAAAATAATTCCTTAACTCAATTTTAAAATATTGTAGATATTGATGTTAAGAAAATAAAAAACAAGAAACAAAAGTTACAGGCTGTTTATTTTAGATCCAGGATTTTATCTTTGTGAGCATCAAGTGTGGCCGGAATCTCAGACTTCCTAAATATACAGAAGAATTAGTTACATAAGGGAACATTTACTTTTCAGACTGCCCCTAATACCATCTTCAAGAGAAAATGGAATGAAATAAAATGGGGTTTAACGTCCTATTGTTCTGCTCCGAACTGGGCTAATGAAGATGGGCATACGCCATGCGGGAAATTTTGCCCGGACAGCGGCACTACCGCCTACTCTTATATTGAATTCCAACTGTTAAGGAATCTTTTACGTACACAGTACACACCAATGTGTACACGGGACCTCGGTTTTCCGTCCCATCCGAATGACTAGACAGCTGTCCTTGTCAGGCCCTCCGCCTTGCATCACTACAAGGGAGACCCACGCCGGAAAATCTGGATAAACTTTCTCGAACAATGCAGGGATCGAACACCCGACCGCCAGGCCATCATCTTACCCACTTAGCCACCGTGACCCCCATCTCAAAGGGGGGTTAAGGTCCACTTGACACAAACTAGGTCATTTGCCAATAGGGGTTGTTAGCTGTGGGAGGAAACCGGAGGACCCAGAGAAAACCAACAAAGTTGGACAGGTGGTTCCATGACATGGCCACTTGACTCACAGATCAGCCAATCAGTCGCCCAACCTCACAATATCATCTCAAACTCTTGCCCTTCTCATTTTATAATTGGCCGAATGGTATAAATCATGCACTTTAGATCATAAGGTCTGTCATTGAGTCAAGTGTTGTGGTTTTGATTCCCTGCTTGTATGTGACAAGGAGTAGTGTCTTCTCTCCAACCTGGTGGCTTTTCTCTGGTTTCCTCCCACTGTTAAAGACCCCTATGCGCAAGTGAATTGTTAAAATAAATTAAATCATGTTAGTCCCGAAATGACCTAGTTTGTGTCAAGTGGACTTAAAATCCATTTCTTTCTCTCACGCTGTTTCCTTTTTAGGGTATCATACTATAATCCTCAATAGGCTGTATGGGCTGTTGATCTAACTTTGTAGGGTATCTAGTTTAGAACAGTACTAAACAGTAATTGTGACCATAATTACAACGTGTTACAACCATAGTTACAGTGGGTTATAACCATAGTTACAGTGTGTTATATTAGACCACAGAGCTTGAACATCATAACTATACTGGGAACCATGTTGGCCCCCATCTTCAATAGAAGGCCCACTCTCACTTTAACTCTAGGTACAAGGTCCCCTTATCAGTTGATTGTTCTACTGAATAAGTCAAAAATTCCTCAATTTCATTTTCAAATTGCGCTGGTCAGTTAACCGTTGCGTTAATTTCTAGGTTAAATTCCTTGAAATTCTAATTTAATGGTTTGAAAGTTGACTAACAGGTAAATTCTATAGCTTGTCAAATTGACTGACAGGTGTAAGTTGTCCAGCTGGTCAAATTGACTGACAGGTAAGTCCTTCAGCCGATGGCACTTACTGTCAGTTAGTTCAGACTGTCGAATATGACACAAACTAGGGAATTTTGGGACTAACATATGGTTCAATTTTATTTCAATAATTCAGCTGTAGGCGGAAACCAGAGGACAGAGAGAAACCCACGAGGTTGGACATACAACCCAACTCCTTGTCACGTACAAGTGTGGATTCAAAACCATGCCACTTGACTCAATGCCAGATAGAGAGAGAGAGAAATGGGGTTTAACGTCCACTCGACACAAACTAGGTCATTTCGGGACTAACATATGGTTTAATTTTATTTCAATAATTTGCTTGCGCGTAGGGGTCTTTAGCAGTGGGAGGAAACCGGAGGACCCGGAGAAAACCCACGAGGTTGGACAGGCAACCCTACTCCTTGTCACGTACAACCAGGGATTCAAAACCACGCCAGTCAACTCAATGACAGACTTTATGATACAGCGCACGCACGCTAACCATTCGGCCATCCAACCCCCCGTGAGAAAGAGAAATGAGGTCATTTTGGGACTAACATATGGTTCAATTCTATTTCAATAATTCGCTTGCGCGTAGGGATCTTTAGCAGTGGGAGGAAACCGGAACACGGGGAAAACCCACGAGGTTGGACAGGCAACCCTACTCCTTGCCACATACAACCAGCGAATCAAAACCACAACAGTTGACTCAATGGCAGATTTTATGATACAGCATGCACGTGCTAACCCTTCAGCCATCCAACCCCGAACTCAATGACAGACCTTGTGATCTAAAGTGTACACCTGTCAAATATGATAGATCCTTGGTTCTCACCATAATTCATCACCTGATGGCCACACAATTAATACAGACAGAAATGAAATGGGGTTTAATGTCCTACCGTTCTGTTCTGTTCCGACTGGGCTAAGACGGGCATACGCCCTGCAGTATGCTATGAGCGACATTTTGGCCAGACATCGGCGCTACGACCTACTCGTATATATTGAATTCCAACTGCCAAGGGATCTTTTATGTGCATGCCTATGTATACACAGGACCTAGGTTTTCGTCCCAGGAAACCACTTGGAAACTCACGATGAACTTTCTCGGGCCAATACAGGGATCGAACACGCGACCTCCAGGCTAGCCAGCCAGCGTTTTACCCAATTAGTCACCGTGGCTCCCCAATAAAGACAGAAACGAAACGAAATTAAGACATAATTTTAATTAGACCATTAGAAAAAGAAGACGTAGATTTAAATACAAGAATCACAAGTTTATATGAATTAAAACGATAAATGATGAATGTTATTGCTTGAGACATTTCATATTTAAAGGTCTCAATGAAATATTTATAAAAAAAAGGCCCCTATATTTTATTTTTGGATGCACTAAAAATTTTATTAAATAAAAATAAAAGAATTTTATACACAATTTCTATTAACACAAAATATTAAAATTATGTTAGCTGTATCTCATCACGACGGTTCACAATATTATTCTTAAATATAACGAAACTTCGAAACAGCTAAATATTGTGGATATCGTGATTTTTTGTTTTACTTTAAAAAAATTTTCTCATAGCCGATGATCATCATTTCAGGGATTTTGAATTTGGCATCCTCTGCAGACGTTATAAACATGTTAGCGCCACCTATAAATAGTGAGTAATGTCTTTTAGTGGACCTCGTTTAAATCTGATTGAATCCGTGACTGGATATTGTTATCTACAGCTGGTTTTGTTTCCTTAAAGACACATTATGTACAAGCCAAGTCTGACTGTTACAGATCCTAATTTTGGCTTCAGATTTTATATAAACTATTAATTAAACAATTATTCATATGACAAGCCTATAATCAACTCTATAGTTCATCGTATGGTGGAGATTTAAACAGATTAAAACACGACCACCATTTAATGATTTAATTTACAAATGGAGAAACGTGACTGAGTCTCAATTAACAAGTACCGTTGTTATGATAATAAACAAGGTTTAGTCTAGAATAACAAGTACTGTTGTTACCATAATAAACAAGGTTGAGTCTAGAATAACAAGTACTGTTGTTAAGATAATAAACAAGGTTAAGTCTAGAACAACAAGTACTGTTGTTACGATAATGAACAAGGTTGAGTCTAGAACAACAAGTACCCTTGTTACAATACTAAATAAGGTTAAGTCTAGACCAACAAGTACTGTTGTTCTGATAATCAACAATCTATGCCATATCTTGTCAAAACTTCAAACAGTGATTACTTCGCTCAGGATAATAATAATAGTGTATATTTATAATGCACAAATTTCCATACACGTATGCATGTTCAAAGTAAATTAATTTGAATGAAATTTTCAATACGGTATATTCATTAATTGCATGATCTAATTTTAAACTATGATAGCAAGAACGACCAGCTTTTTATCTAAATTTTACATAATGTATCTTTATAGGGGCATTATGGGAGATTAGATAAAGCGCTGATAAAGCACTATAATAGTTAAAAACTAGATAATGTAAAGGCTGAAAATTTCAGTCTAATTGCTCTACTTTGAACCGGGATATTAGCGTTTGAATTTTAGACCTAGCCATGATCATTATTACTAAAGTCAGTACGGTAAAAAACAGTCTCGATTATCCATTATTGGATTAAATCATCAATGACAATTGAGCAGCAGATCGGATTCAAATCAAGTAAAAATCTGACACACAAGATAGCATCGAGAGTTGATTATGATCTGGATAAGTTAATAAATGTGTAATTAATAGTTTATAGAACATATCAGGCCTAAAGAAAGACCTGCAATAGACAGATTTAGCTCTTGCATAATGTATGTTTAACTATAATATAATACAGATTCAACTGTGAAAAATTTAGATATTGTGTAAAAAATAAAAACGACCATCAACGGCTTTAAGAATGCCAATTTGGCGAAGGAGCATTATTATATAAAATTGGACCGTTTGACACAAGGCAGTTTTTGATTATACCATATTTTATATATAAATCTATCTACAAGAGATTATTTATGGACATATTAAGATATTAAAATATACAACGATAGGAGATAAAAACACTTGTATTTCCTACTCAACAATATTCTTCTCTTAAAATAGATTTTAAATTATAATGATGATTTCAAGAATGGCAGAGACTTTCCAGTTTTAGCTACATGTAGTACAAATAATAGTGTATGCTTTCTCTTCTAGACCATCTGATACCATTTCTCATTTCAGAAATTAAAAATACATTTTTTTGTTTATTGGATCCTAAGAGATGTTTCGTTTTTTTTCACAAATAAGATTCTTGATTCCTTGGAGACTATGTAAGTTTTAGCTACAAATAGTGCATGAGGTTGTGTATGCTTTTTCTTTCTAAAACACCTGATAACATTGTTCAGGATATCACACCCAGCTAACAAACTTTTATTTTATTTAAAAAGTGCTTTGATCTTGAGTTCCTTACGTATAATTATAAAAGTTAAATAATATGAAATATAAAAGTTTATATTACAAGATAAGTTACAAGGAGATTAATTGAAACATTGTCATGTATCATTATATATATTTATATAGACAGATATCATATACATCATTGTCGTGCAGTGGCGTGAAGAGGTCTGTTGATTCCTGGGGGCCAACTTGGTGATTGTATGTCTCCAAGACTCAAGCAAGACATTTTAAATTTGTAAAAATAAATTAAAATAAACCTTTTATTCAAATGAACGTCGTCCTCCCCTCCTCGGCACAGTGTCATGCCCTGATTGTCACCATGTCCTCCTCGGCACGGTGTTGTCATAGATAATTAAATAAATAGTTAGGATGAGAGTATGATAGAATAAAACATTTAAATAATTATAACCTGCCGTATTTATTTTCTCATTAAGATAAAATAACAATAAAGATCTATAAAATTACAGGAATGCCACAAGGTTATACTCCTACTCAAATCAGACTATTTCACGGTGAAAATTATAGCTTTTTTCTAAGGAATGACAATTTTAGCGTCATCCCAATTTGGTAAATATATTTTTAAGTAATTTTAGACATAAAAACTATCAATTTAACTGTCATTGTTGTGTTTAAATTTCAGTCAAATTTGATTACCAGCCAGTCAGTCAAATTTGACTACCAGCCAGTCAGTTATTCAAATTTGACTACCAGTCAGCCAGTCAGTCAAATTGACTACCAGTGCGTCAGTCATTCAAATTTGACTACCAGTCAGTCAAGACCAGTAACTATAACTGAGACTATAACCCTGTAAAATATCACCAGGTTTTTTTTTTATTTTTCTTCTCTATATTTTTCTATAACATAAATATAATACAATTATATCACAGATCACAGATACATATTAGATAACATAAACTATAACATTTATTAATAACGACGGGGGTCACGTCTCTGAGGTGATAATGATCGAGCTCTGGCACGAGCTTTGGCTGCCTTTCTTCGTGATCGGTCTCTGGAACGTTGTACTGCTGGATCGCGAACTATTCTCGTTGAATCTTCATAGCCACTCAAGAATCCATCTTCCACATCGGCCAGAGCTTCGTCCAGATTCATGTTAACATAAGCGTGTGTATTGTGTGACTTGACAAAATTCTCTAAACGGGAAATAATTTCGTAGTCTGGAACGGCCAGTGTGTTTATATCCAGTCCCAACATTCTGGCAACTACGTTACGGAAATCTAGCAACTGTAAAGAAAGATATCAATATATTACATAGAGCCCATTGTTATACCTTTGACAGAGGAGTTAGTGGAAATGAACGGAATCACTGGGCCGGGTACCAAGGATAAATATTATAATACCACTGGGCCGGGTACACAAGATTATTACAATACCACCATGGGCCAGGTACCAAGGATGAATATTATAGTACAAGTATCACTGTGCTATAGACCAGGAACTGGGTATGACATCATCCCATGACATCTTGTAATTGTGACGTCATGTCAAAATCAAATTCTGTCAGTCGATGCCCTACTGTCAAAGAAACAAGCATGCAGTTTTATGACTAAAGGATTTAAACATTTTCTGGTCTGATAGAGACTATAGCGAACAAACCTTTTAAAGGCTTTTCTGAGATTGGAATTTACAAGCCCTGTTCTCACTTGTTTGGGGTAGTGGTAATGGGTCTGACACCATACAGTGTGCTATGACTAGGAGCGACATTTGGCCTTGACAGTGGTGCCACCATGATAACTCACCAAACCACCATGATAACTCAACAAGCCACCATGATAAATCAACAAGATACCATGATAACTCACCAAGCCACCCTGATAACTCACCAAGCCACCAGGATAACTCACTAAGCCACTCAGATAATTCACCAAGATACCCTGTTAACTCAACAAGCCACCCTGATAACTCAACAAGCCACCATGATAACTAAGCATGACATCTCTGACAATATCATGAAAGATTGTTTTAAACACAGTTATCTCCCTTTACCTGTTTTTCTCTATTTTGAATGGCTGTCAGTGCTGTTTTAGTAGTCCTCAGTTCCCCGGATAGGGCATGAACAGCGTTCTCCGATACAACTCGTTTCTCTTGGAAATCTGAGCCATGATGATGAAGTTCTTCTTTAAGTTTGGATATTTTGTGTGACTGATGTTTGCGAAGATTTTCCAGTTCTTCAACTTGTTTCACTAATTCTTGAACATCTCTTTGTTGGTCTAAAGTTCTAGCCTAAAAAATAGTTTCATAAAAAGTTTTAAAAATCTTAATGCTAAATAATCAGCTTATGAAATATTCTTATCTTCTATTTCAACTCATCGTAACTAGCGGACTTCATGGATCCAGTCAGGGGTGGGATTGGTTGGAAGAATGGTTTTTACCGCATGCGCGTTGGATCATAAAGAGTGGGTTTGCCTATCAAACCTTGTGGGTTTTATTTGAGTTCTCTGGTTTCCTGCCACTGCTAAAGATCCTTGTGCGCAAGCGAATTATTGTAATAAAATTGAACCATATTGGTCCCAAAATGACCTAGTTTGTGTTGAGTGGATGTTAAACCCCTTCTCTCTCATAGAACCCTATACATTAAAACAATTCAGGCTCTGTATAATATATAGTCCCCCACCTGTCTTCATTAGGCCAGTCAGCGCGGAGAAGTAGGACCTTAAAATCCCTTCTATTTCATTTCGTACATGCTTTTCCCAGATATGCAGTACAATTTTGTAGATCAATGATTGAGCTACACACCTGCTAGAACACACCTGTCAAAAAAACATCCAACACCAGAAGAATCTCGATTTTAAAATGACAACCAACTTACTCTTAAATCTGATGCACCGAGAAGTTGAGCTTTTAAATTGTTGATTTCTTGGCGTGAATCTTGTATTTGTAGTTTATATTTAGAAATGACTTTCTCTAATTTTTTAACGCGGAGTGAATCGGAATCTCGATCTTTCTCCAACTCTGCTCGTCCATGAAGACGTTCTTCTAGATTCGTCACCTTCTTGCGTAGTAGATCAAGGTGGAGGTCTTTACTCTCAAGCTGGTCTCGTAACGTTTTCACCTTGCGTTGAAGATTATACGTTGTGCTGGTTTTATCGGCGAGTTTATGATGTTCCATGTTTACTAGTTGCTGAGCACGGGCCTCTAAGGCCTCGAGTATCATATCAAAACCAAGGTCGGCCGAAATTTTATCCATTCTCATGGCTTCAGCCAATCGCTGTAAACATCTCATATACTGAAACAGTAAAAAAACAAAAACATAAAATAATTTATGACTCGGAAACAGGGCAGTCGCTTCAACATGTAAAAATCTATGTCTCGGAAACGGGGCAGTCGCTTAAACATTTTGCTGACTGGTCAATTTCGCTGTCTTCTTTTTACGTCAATTAAAGGCCGATTTATACTTTGCATACCTTCACGCAGATCAACGTTGCAATCGCATAATCTATCTAAAAACATGGTTGATTTCATTTGAGGAGCCACAGTGGCTAAGTGAGTAAGAAGCTGGCTCGCTAGTCTGGAAGACACAGGTTCGCTCCCGTTATTGGCCGAGAAAGTTCTTCAGGAATTTCCGGCGTGGTTTCCCCTTGTCAGTGGTGAAGGACAGAGGGTCTGACATGGGCAGCTGTCTAGTTGTTTGGATGGGACAAAAAAACGAGGCCCCCTATACACATTAGTGTTCACGTAAAAGATCCCTTGGCAGTTGGAATTCGATATAAGAGTAGGCCGTAGTGCCGCTGTCCGGACAAAATTTCCCTCATAGCACACTGTATGGTGTATGCCCGTCTTCATTAGCCCAGTCCGGAGCAAAACAGTAGGACGTTAAACCTCATTTCATTTCATTTGAATAAATAAAATATGAAGAACACCATGTTCACCAATTGACATTTGCACCATGACCATAAACTGAATGGGAGAGAGAGAGAGAAATGGGATTTAACATCCACTTGACACAAACTAGGTCATTTCGGGACTAACATATGGTTTAATTTTATTACAATAATTCTCTTGCGCGTAGGGGTCTTTAGCAGTGGGAGGAAACCGGAGGACCCGTCAAAAACCCACGAGGTTGGACAGGCGACACTACTCTTTGTCACGTACAAAGAGGGAGAGAAATGGGATTTAACATCCACTTGACACAAACTAGGTCATTTCGGGACTAACATATGGTTTAATTTTATTTCAATAATTGGCTTGCGCGTAGGGGTCTTTAGCAGTGGGAGGAAACCGGAGGACCCGTCAAAAACCCACAAGGTTGGACAGGCGACCCTACTCCTTGTCAGGTACAACCGATAAACTGAATGGGAGGTGAGATTATTATTATTATTATTATTATTATTTACCCTTTCTTTATCTGATTTAAAACCATCTCTCAACACGTCCGTTGCTGCTAAATCTCCTTCAGCCATTCGTAACTTTTCTTCTAAATCTCCCGCGTCAGTTTCCGCACGTTTAGCTCGCTGTGCCAGACTTCTCTGCATATCAATCTGATTATCCAGTTGTTCCGTTAAACTTTTGACTCTGTTGTCCAGAGTTTCTACTTGCTGAAAACAAAGAAGGAATAATTATAGGAAAATATTTCGCAAAAAAATATTCAACTGTTACAAGTTCCCTAAAAGTGATTCATGAAAGTGGGGTTATGTTTTTGGGCTTGGAAATATGAACCTGAACATGAATTAAGTGTACATTTTGAAATAATTTAATCCAGTCTGCACCTGGTAAATTATTATAAATACAGACTACCAATCTTCCCTAAAAAAAAACCTACAGATAGGCCATCAATTTTACACTGAGTTTCATGGTTTATTTTTGAAACCCCAAATTACTGCTCCCTGGACCAACTCATGTCACAGAACTAGTATACAGTCCTTAAATAGTTCACAACGGTTCACGTGATTCGGATGTTTTTTTGAGAGCAGAGAGAGAGACAGCAGCAGTTGTGATCAGTTTCTAGCTCACCAGACACTAATGTCTAAAGCAATCAATTTGAAGAGTATTTCATATTTAAAACAATATTTTATATTAAAACAGTATTTTATATTTAAAACAGTATTTTATATTTAAAACAGTATTTTATATTTAAAACAGTATTTTATATTTAAAACAGTATTTCATATTTAAAACAGTATTTTATATTTAAAACAGTATTTTATATTTAAAAGATATATTTACCAGTACAAGTTCCTTGTTATTTTGACTTAAGGCCAATACGGCTTCTTTGATCATTTCTTCACTGGGCGAGACGCTGGTGTAACTGTTACTCAACATACCCGCAAGTTGTTCTTTAAACAGATTAAACTGACTGGAAGTACTACGAGTATTGTTCGCTGTCTCTCGGTATTCACGATCCAGGTGATTCAATCGTCCTTCACGGAGTTCTAACTCATTACGTGTGGCATCAAGAGCTCTCTGATTGGCTTCAAGTCTTTCTTTAACAATATCAACTTCTCGTTCCATATCTCTTTTAGCCGCTAGAGCATTGTCTCTCTCCTAATATTAGAAAACAGAATAATGAAAGTTTTCAAACATTGTATTTGAGAAATACGGAGGATTGTAATAAAGATTCTGTAAGTCTGTAAATAGTTATGCAAAAAATAATGGACAAGATTTGTTTTTAATCTTTTGGACACCGACTCCCTGAACGACATTAGGCCTATATATTAGCCTCCCAGGGTAAAAATGGACCGAAAAACCGGCCAATGGTACCGGTTCGTTACTGATTGGCCGAACACGTACGAACAGTTATCCATGGCGATCGGTACTCCACCCAAGGGTCCTAAGGGTTAACTTTTATTTCAATGCTTCTCTTTTTTTTTGATAATTGCATCCAGGGAGACAACTTATTCATATCTAAGAATGTCATTGCCTTCCCAAATCTCCAATTTTAAATCTGCTTGGACAGTTAAATTCAATTTTTGTAGTCAAATAACTACAAGGCCATCTTTAAAAACAAAATCTGGAGACATCATTTAGTAAATCTTATTACCTTCAAAAGAAAATTTGTGTTGGTTTTATATTAGCAGACTGGTTGGCCTAAATCAACAATTGAGAATGGGGTTAGAGTTATCTAACAAACCCTTTTTTTCCCTAACAGATGTAACATCTAATTTGATGTGTAGGAAATTCCAATCTATTCCAACCAATCTGGTAAAGAGACTCTACCAAACATCCCTGTGCATCAAGGGGGGACAACTCCCATCACACAGAGAGAAAAGACTGTAACACTTACCATTCTCAAATTTTCAATATCTGAACTGTATCGTGTGGCAACCTTCTGTTCTCTTCCTACTTCACTGACCAGTCTCATAATAGTTTCCCGACTAGCTTTTGTTTCTGTTTCTGTATTATTCAGAAGTTCATTCAAAGATAAAATTTTACCCTTCAACATGGCATTTTCCTGCATTAAATCTGTTAGCTGTAAAAAAACCATAGTTTATGAATGAGGTTGGATGGGATCAAACATATGATTGAACTTTAGCTGTGGAAAGATTTAGAACACCAATACGGCTCTACATCTACACAAACTAGGTCATTTCGAGACTAACACATGGTTGAAACTGGAGGACTGTTGAAAACTCATACGGAGGAACAGGCGAGTCTTGAGTCAACAAGTGGTGAATCAAAATCATTCAGCTACACAATCACCCGTAATATCTAGAGCTTGCACAAATATTCAAATTGTTATTCGCTGTCAAATTAAAATCAAGTTGGAATTTGGTCTGCTATTTGTCCTCTATGAAATATCTACCATCTGGGTAATATTAATCCAACGAAATCGATCGTATATTAATTTAAAAGATTTGGAGTTTTTAAAAATCTGATGACCAAAAAATTAATCATTCGTACCTTTCTAACAACTGTTTCCACGGAGGCCTGGGAAGAATCCAAATCATCAGTACGTAATAAACCACTGATATGAGACAATAAATCACGTAATTTTTTATCGGCACCCATCGATGAAGCTTCAGCAAGTTCTCTTTCATCCAGTTGTTTCCTACACAAAAAATAAATTATAAAAGAGAGTTTTATTTCCACTCAACACAAACTAGGTCATTTTGCAACTAACACATGGTTCAATATATTTTCAATTATTTGCTTGTGTATAGTAGTCTTTTGCAGTGGGAAGAAACCTGAGGACTCAGTGGAAAACCCACGAGGTTGGACAGGCTGCTTGTCATGCAAAAGCCTTAAGATCTAACGTGCACGCGCTAAAAAAAAGAGAGAAATGGGGTTTAACGTCCACTCGACACGAACTAGGTCATTTCGGGACTAACATATGGTTTAATTTTATTTCAATAATTCGCTTGCACATAGGGGTCTTTAGCAGTGGGAGGAAACCGGAGGACACGGAGGAAACCCACGAGGTTGGACAGGCGACCCTACTCCTTGTCACGTACAACCAGGGATTCGAAACCATGCCAGTCGACTCAATGACAGACTTTATGATACAGCGCGTGCACGCTAACCATTCAGCCATCCAACCCCCCTCATGCGCTAAACCATTTGACCACCCACTACCCCGACATACCTGAGTCTAGCTTCCAGTTGAACAATTCTATCATTTTTCTCACGATTTTCTTCTTGTAACGCTGCAACGGTATATTCACTTCTGCCAGCGACAGATTCTATCGACCCCGTTTTATTTTGTAGATCGTGGAGTTGTTCACGAAGATCATTGACTATCTCCGTCAATCTTAGTTCGTTCTCACGGTTCGTCTCCAACAGCGACTGGAGTTCACGGATTTTAATATCTTTAGCTTCTAAAATATGTTCAGTGTCTCGTAGCTGAAATATCACAATAAAAAATGAACAATTATTTTTCAACGTTACTATATTTGTTACAATTAGACAATTAGATTATTATCATTAACATTTACAAAGATTTGATGAATTCAAAATTTTGTATGGGACAAGGAGTAGGGCCGCCTGTCCAACCTCGTGGGTTTTCTCTGGGTCATCCGTTTCCTCCCACTGCTCAAGACCCCTACGCACCAGCGAATTATTGAAATAAAATTGAACCATATGTTAGTCCCGAAATGACCTAGTTTGTGTCGAGTGGACATTAAAGATACATTATGGGAGATAAGATAAAGAGATGGCAGTTCTCGCTATAATAGATAGTGTAAAGGTAATTTGCTGAAAATTTCAGTCAAATTGATCCACTATGAGCCGAGAAAGAAGCGGGTGAAATTTTTGCATAGTCTCGGTCATCATTACTAAAATCATTATTATAAACAGCATAGTCTCGATTATCCACTTTTATTGATTTAATTATTAATAGCCGTTAGCGGCATATAGGAATCTAAGGCTAGCCTTGACATCGAGAGTTTATTATGGTCTGGATAAGTTAATTAATGTCTAATTGATAATTTAGATAACATTTCAGGTCTAAAGAAAGACTTGTAATAAGCAGATTTTGCTCTTGCATAATGCATGTTTAAAATCCTATTTCTCTCTCCATGTATACAGATAAATTGCTGAAAAGCTCGGGGAATCCCATGCTTGGGAAATCCCATGTACGTGACATTATAACTGAGAATTTCTCTTTACGTTCAGTCGCCGCCTTTTTATAATAACACAATACCCATAAAATCTGCCATTTACAAGCTGAACTTGCAGAAACAAGAAAGTCGCGGAAACGCTTACATGGAAACGGTCAAATTACATTTGCATTATACCAACTTTTTCAGCGGCAGAAACTTGCACATGGAAAGCAGGCCAAGTGTTTAAAATCAGAAAAATAAATATTGAAATCCAAAAAAATAGGAGCATTAAGCAGATTAAAAATAAAATTTAGAACAGAAAGTCTAATCTTAACAGCATATAATAACAGTTGAAAGTTAAAATACAACAAAATAGAAAGTCTAATCTTAACAAGAAAAACTACCATTTATTACATACATTATAATAATTAAAGTTAAAATACAGTAAAAGAATGTAATTCTTGTATCTACTTGATTTTGTGAGTGAAACAGTCCCCCTACCTCCTCCCCCGTACTAACTACCATAGTGTAATCTTGTAAGTTTACAGATCAGCATGCGAAATACAGGTTTTCCAATCTAGAATATTTCTCTTATCAAGGGCAGTTGGAACTTTTTCCTTAGACATCGTTTTAATATCATAACTCACCTGTGATTGCAAATTCTCATTTTTCACCTTTAAAGTGGAAAGTTCAGAGTTCAGGTTGTTAATGTGAGATCTATCACCTAAATAATACTGATCTAACTGTAAATCAAAGCACTTTAAACCATTAGTTGTTGTCAATTAAGACTTGGCTATTATTAAGATTTAAAAATATTAATTAAAATTTAACACCGTCTTTCGATAAGTCGGCAGCAAAAACAACGACTTTAGATGTTTGACGTCTTGTCGTTTAGATTTAGTCCATTTATCTAGAGAAGCAAACTAATGGAGGAGTGATAAAAAAAAATTAACCAAGAAAAGCTAAACAACGAGAAAAAGAACTATCAAATTAATAAACAAAATTAAAATAAATTAGGACTACATAAAAATGCAAAACTATTTGTGAGATTTTATACTAATATTTGTAACTTACCCGAATTGGATCAATTCTGCTTTGGGATTTTGGTGATGAATCAAGACTATAAATAAAAATAAGGAATTGTCTGTCAAATATCATGATAATATACATGTATGGAGAGAGAGAGAGAGAGAGAGAGAGAGAGAAAGATGGGGTTTAACATCCACTCCACACAAACTAGGATCTTACTAGGTCATTTCGGGACTAACATATGGTTCAATTTTATTTCCATAATATGGGTCTTTATAATCATAGGCGTACGGGGAAATTTTTGACTGGGGGGGGCGGTGGTGGTTGGTGCCCCAAAAATGTAGTTAGGTTCTTAGTATGTTACATAATAATAATAAATTCACTGTTAAATTGGACACAGCATTTGGTGCCCAAAATGGGGGGGTGGCCGCCCCCCCCAGCCCCCCCCCCCCAGCTCGTACGCCTATGTTTATAATTAGCAGTGGGAGGAAACTGGAGGAACCGGAAAACCCTCAAGTTTGGACAAACGACCCTACTCCTTGTCCCGTACAACCGGGGAATAATACATGTATATGTAGAAGTTACAGGTGTCTGACAATAACATCTGGTATCACTTCTACTTAAATATACAGCTGTAAAGATGCATTATACAACAGCATTAACAAGTTCATTTATTTTTTCTGTATTCATTAACGATGCATTATGTAAGCTTTAGATAAAGAGCTGTCAGATTACATATAATAGTTCATAAATAGATAATGAAAAAGGAAATTACTTCATTCTGAGCGACATTGTGAATGTTTGAAGAATAGCATAGTCTAGATTCTAATTGCTACCCCTGCACCTAGTATGTCTTTAAAAACAAAAAAAAATAATACTGATAGAGTGTACAATTTATAAACTTATAAATATACAACAAAATTATGTATTTACATATAGTAGGCCTACATAAAAACCAAGGCCTATTTACATATATCAGTAGGCCTACATAAAAACCAAGGCCTAGTTACATATATCAATAGGCCTACATAAAAACCAAGGCCTATTTATTTACCTGATTAAATTCTGAATCATGGCATCCTTCTTTCTTAATTCATCTCTAAACACTTTAACCTGATCTTGAAGCTATTAAATACAGTAAAATTAATATTTTATTATTTTAATATTTCTCAAATTGTGATTTTAAAAGTCCATTATCCAAACACGTACCCTTCTTTAAATTCAAACGATAAATGAAATGAAATGGGGTTTAATGTCATACTTTTCTGCTTCTGCACCTACTGGGTTATGTCAAATTTCATGTGCATGTCAATGTGTACGGAACCTCACATTTTTTGTCCCATCCGAACAACGACTAGACGCTGTTCATTGGTAGGCCTTCAGTCCTGCATCTGCATTAGTGACAAGGAAAAACCACGCCACAGATATAATAATTGATTTTTTTCGTTGTAAAACAAGTATAAATATTACACATCTATTTAAAATAGGTTTTTAAAAAATATAATATTTTATCATTCACTTTTGTTTTTCAAATTATAATTTTAAAATTCTATTAGCTAAAAAAAAATGTATTCATTCTAAGACGTTAATTTGATATAATTGATTTTTTTTTCGAAATTGTGTTATTGATTTTTTTTTTTTTCCCCTGTTCTGCTAATTTTTATGTTGTTAAAATAAAATATAATTGTTGGATTATAGCTCTATGGCATAGTTTTTAATCTTCTTAATTTCATATCTTTTATCAATTCAATATAATTTTCTAATTTCTTTTTTTTTTCCACTAGTAGCCTAGTGATAATCAAGTGACAAGTTTACCTATACTGGTAAACATAACATGTTCCAGCAAGTTAATAGTAGTACAGGTTTCTATAGCTTTCAACATCATAAATATAAACAATATAACATAATGACAATAAAAATTGAATATTCGCGACATTTAATAATAAATCTTAAAAAAAAACTTATTTGTATTCTAACTATGAATTTACAAAACTAAAAGAATATGTGAATATGATAAAATTTTGTAAAAAAACAAGAGTTTTATCACAGAATCCTAGAATAAATTAACCTAAATTTACAAATATTCCATGTGTGATTTAAATGATATTACCCACCTCTGAAACTGCTCGTCTGTTGGGTTGGGATTCAAATCTAACTCCCTGTCCGAAAGTTGGAGATGTGGATCTGTAGCCGAGAAGATCATCTTGATCTAAAGCCCGGTATTTTCGGGCACTTGTTGAATCAAGAATACCCGTAGTTGATGGACGAATGGCCGGCAATCCGTCCCTGTCATATTCTCTAAGATTTGTATAATAATTCGCCATTGATGCTTGCCCCTTCACCCGTCCGCTATCTTCTGTTTTTCACGGTTCCTGATGCAGTTTCTGTTGACTATAGTTTATCTTTGTTTTTTCTTGATGTCAACGTGAAATTCGGCTATTCTTCACCTGCTTAGCAACAATCACAACAATTATTTACAACATTTAGATCTTGTTGTCAAGACCTCTACCGTGTTCTTATAACGCATGATGATTGGCCGTCTTGATAAGCGAGCTTTCTATTATTACCCAATCACGGTCGATAAAAATATAACGGATACGACAGACTGGATAATCACGACTTCGAGCACCTGCTGCACGAGTTTCTCGGGGGATAACGGATTCAACGAGACGTAACGGGTCGGGGGTCAGACAAGGTCACAAGTTGTGGGAAAGTAAAGTATTTTGAAAAATGTTGCCAAGATATTTCAGCGGTTTTAGCCGGATTAAAGCAATCACAAAAGCTACGATTGCCAGCCAACAGGTATTATATGAAAGAAGTCCCAGGCTGAAACAAAAAAAAAAAAAATTTTAACTCAATAAACTCCTAGCTGCGTTAATAAAAAAAACCCCACTCTTATTAAAATTTAAAAACGACGTGATTGGTGAACGTGTTATCTATCACAGGATTGTGGGAAGGTCAATTTTGATCTGTTTTAAATTCCACGAGCCACGTCGTAAAATTTTTTCAATTCAATCATAAATCTACTAATAGTAATTGCCTAATTGTCAATTGTATATTATTTAATTTCGATCGCCGGTTTTTGTTGCTATGTTTTCTTTTATTTTGTGATTAATGTGAACTAGGCTAGCAAGGCCTTGACGAAAAACGTGGCCTGTTCACTTGGGCTAATCTAGGGCATAGATCTACAGGGCCCCCGAAGAATAGAATTTAGAAATAAAGGGGAAGAGGGCAAGTTAACAAGGTCAAGAAAGGGTGGATCCCCAACCGTAATAACGAGGCGCGGCTTGACCCCCAAAAAGGTTCGGATATATAGGTTAAAGCTGCAATTTCATATTTTTAAGTTATATTTTTAAAATTTATTAAAATAAAGCCTTAAAATAGATGGTGTCTATAAACAGTCCTACCTTGTTAAAGAATAATCCCATTAATCCTATAATTCACTATTGCCAGTTGAGAAATTGGCAAAAATATCATTTTCAACTTTAAATTCAAACGTTTGAAGATAGCTAAATTGGGGGGGGGGGTGTAGAAAAACAAGGGAGGAAATTGTGTTATTATTTCCGGGGTGAATGATTTTTAAGAGGGAGAATAAATAATACCAATAATCGTATAATAGTGAGTTGGCAACCTTTTGAGCAAAAGACATAGAACTAATTATGTTTTGACTTTCTTAGAAAATATGAAATTATCGCTTTAAGTGGCAGCGGTTCCTAACCTTTATTCGGGTCATCTCAACACTGTATTTTTATTATTTTCAGGCAATATCTCCATTTATTTCCAAGATACCGTCTCGTACTATTACTTCAAGTGGTACTAAAGTAGCTCAGATAAGCAGATCTGGTAAATCTAAAGCTCTTGGTACAATACCCACTGCTCCAGGATATAAAGAAATACAGAAATTACAGGCTTTATTTCTTGTAGGTTAATGTCTATTTTTAGAAAATCAGAACGGAGAAACAAATTTATCAATGGATAATAATAATTATTTTTAAATTAATGTGTTTTTCAACACGTTCCATCTACCTTTCCATGTTCAAGATTTCTTGGGAGATCCGTTACCATAATTTTTATCCAATTTGATAAAACTTAAAAATCTATGTTGATATGCCAAGATCTCGGATGGCTTTGATTTTGGCACATATAGGACCGTGAAAACTTAAATCATTGACCATGATTGTATGAAAATCATGCAGAAATGAAATGAAACGAGGTTTAACGTCCTACTGTTCTGCTCCTATACTAGGCTAATGAAGATCGGAATCCATACAGCGTGCAATGTGGGAAATTTTGCCCGGGCAGCGGCACTATGACCTACTCTTATATCGAATTCCAACCGCCAAGGGACCTTTTACGTGCACGCCAATGTATACACGGGTCCTCGGTTTTTCGTCCCATCCAAACGACTAGACAGCTGTCCTTCTCAGGTCCTCCGTCATGCATCACTGACAAGGGGAACCTACCATGTAAGAAAATCCTGATGAACTTCTCGGCCAATGCCGGGATCGAACACGCGACCTCCAGTCTAGCGACCAAGCCCGCGTCTTCTTATTTAGCTACCGTCGTGGCCCCCTGTATACCCTCTAGATAAAGGTCACAACTTTGATTCGATTTTGGTTTATTTTAATAAAATAAATGTTTATTAGACAAAAATCGCGGACCTTCCTCTTTTACACAAATATTAATCTAGAATTTGTAGTACAAGGCTTGTCGACCCACTAGAGTTCACAAATTTTGTCGGATTTAGATGCGATGGAAAATGTATGTTAAGGGTCAAACGATTTTGATTCGGCTCGTAACTTCCTGAGTGTTAGACATCGGTCCCTGCCTTTTACACAGAACGCTGTTGATAATCCTCATACCGCGACTTGCTGTTCCTGAGTTTACCCCCACGCTCTTCGCCGAAAACCTTATAAATGCAACAGAGGCTCCAGTTTTCAAAATCATGGGGTTAGATGGCCGGATATATCATGACGTCTGTCATTGAATCAACTGGCGTGGTTTCGATTCCCGGGTTGTACGTGACAAGGAGTATGGTCGCCTGTCCAACTTCGTGCGATTTCTCCGGGTCCTCCGCATTCCTCCCACTGCTAAAGACCTCTACGCGCAAGTGAATGAAACCAAATCTTCCCCCCCCCCCCCATTCTATCTCTCTCTGTATTTTATAAACAATTGGCGGCCTAAAGGGCGAGGCATGACTGTGGCCACCACCGGAATCGCCCCCATAGATACGCTACTTTCTAACGACGCCACTACAAAAAATATTATGAAAACCAGTATTGATGTTTATATGAGAATAATTTATAACTTGGTTATTTATTTTTATAGAAAGATGACGGTTTATTGGTGTGGCAGAAGAGAGGTTTGATGGACAATATTCTATATTCTACCACCATGATTACCATCGTCTTCGGTATATTCTTTTCTCTCCAAACTATCTACGTCATGGGTAACAAGAAAAAGAAGTAAAATGTTTAATAATTAAATGTAAGTTAATTTACACAGAATCAGATTCAAATTACATGTCGTTTTAATTTGTTACAGTACAGTTTGTTTTTTTCATTTTGATTGAAGCCATCATAACTACAGGTCTGAGACTATATAGATAACAAATCTTATCTCTCAACCCTCCGTGTTTCTAGATAAGAGTTGATGCTATTAACTTCAATGTAGCACATGCGGGAGCGATTCTCAACTTTTTTAGCTACGTTCTCGTAGCTAGAGACTATACAGCTCAGTGGAGGCTTACGGCAATCCCACGGATCCATTCAGTTCATCAGATATGTGCGTTTTGTTAGACCATGTGGTTTTATGGACCAATCAAATTGTCGATATTGGTGTACTGGGCTTCATTTTGGTGTGAGGGAGCTGCGCTGGCTCCTCGTGAAAGGCGCATGCTTGCTAACCTGGAGAGCCCGATACGTTCCGCGGGATTTTCCAGCGTGTCTTTCCCTTGACAGTGATCAGTGATGCAGAACCTAGTTGTTCGGATGAGAAAACCCACGAGGTTGGTCGGGCGACTCTACTCACGTACAACTAGGGAATGGAAATGGACTCATTGACAGACCTTACGATACAGCGCGCACGCGCTAACCATTCCCCCCCCCCCGAAAAGTAGGACGATAAAGACTGGTATTTGAGGTTGAAATCTGACTAGTAAATATTATTAATATACATAGAACCGTTTTCCATGTACGCGTTTCCGCGTGCGTTTATTCGTCGTTACATGCAAACGGCCCCGTTATATTTGCATCAGACCAACGCGAGCATGGAAAACGGGCTTAATTAAACATAAATAAACATTCTTTACAGAAAGATGGGTCCCAACGTGGCCATAAAACGGAACTGGTGGTCTGCAGACTAGTGGAGTGTTGTTTTATTGCTAACCATTGTGTATCATGGCCTGGCAAACTATTCTCTTATTTTTCCCTTTTTTTTAAAATTGATAATTTTTTATGTTTTCAGTTGTGGTATGAATTTTGAACACCGGTAAAATCAAAAACTCACCAAATGGAATCTCAGGTTTTTATTTACCTAGTGAAAGACTGGTTTTATATTTTGTTAACAAATTAAAAACTTGTATTATGTTTTTGTTTAATTAAAAATTTGTTTTCTTATTCTTGTTTTTGTTCATCGGATCATAACATGTCAATTTTGGTTTGTGCGACTTTTCAAATTGTTTATAGAAAATCTTTGGAAACCCAAGGAATAATACCAGGGTCGGATTTTAAAGCCCCAGCAGCACCGAACAGATTACGGTGCTTCTGTTTCAAGTTTGATAGCTGTCTGTTTTATTTGAAACAAGAAATTAGAAAATAGAAATTATTAATCTGTATAAAATATGATAATCTATGTAAAGGAATTCCCTTTCTGGGGTAATTGTGTGGGGATAGAATACAAATCCGAAAGAATATCTTCATCTGAAGCCAGTCCAAGGGAGATAAATCCATTTATTTTGACGTCACTCAGCAAACACGCAAGATTAGAAGTACAATATCAACTTCCGTCTACCAGTTTTCGAGGAGGTTGAAGAAAGAAATAGCTGTCACCATGCGAGGTTTAGCGGTAATATTGATGTTCTTTTCATGAACTTTTAATAAATTTAATCATTGGTAGGGAGGAAGAATGTTTCTCTGTGATTATGTTTATTCAATGCGAAGTCTTTGCAAAGTAACCGGGGAATTTTATTGAATGGAAAAGCCGAAGCGTTGACCTTGGCTGAGTGAAAGACATTGATAGAAGTAAATACATGTAGATCAGCATGTACGATCCTCTATGTACATACAGCCCATGATTAAAATAATATTTACTTCTATATACGTGTGTTGGTTTCAAATGTACGGAACACTACTTGGGATCTAGAAATTTACACAAATGGGTCTCAAGCCCCAAGGCATATAATAATGTATGAATATTTACATTCACTCAGTCATAATTTCTGTTTTTACTGGTAATCTCAAATCAGTTATGTTCGGGAAATTGGCCAGAAGTCTCAATCGAATGGCAATCTCTAGCATCTGGTTATTCCAGTCTACAACAATAGTATTTATTGCGATCATGCTCTCCAGATAAGAATATGACGTCACCATATGACTTGTGGAATATGTCTAGCCTCGTTCTTCGAGTGCCTTGTTACATTTTATTCTTTATTATAGCAATTACAGTTAATAGCACGCAGAGGGTTGGCAACAAAAGCAGCAAAAGCGAAGCCAGCTGGAACATACCCTGCAGCTGAAGGTTACAAACACATACAGCAACTTCAGAATGTATTTCTTGTAAGTTTCACCACATTATTATTTTTATACGCCCACATAGAAACAAGGTCATATATTGCCGTCGCCTCTGTCCGTCTGTCCACAATTTCTTGTGAACAGACTACATTTATTTATCATCTGATTGTTTTGAAATTGACATTATGTTGTTACTTTAGTGAGATGAAAAGCCTTTTTAATTTCAATAATTTCCGTTAATTTCTTCTTGAGTCTTGGCCTTGTTTCACTTTGTTGAATGTTGTGAACGCTCTAACGACAAAAGTTATCATCCTATCTTTCTGAAATTTATATGCATCATTTAAATTAGTGAAACGAAGAAACCGATTGAATTTCAGCTATTTCTGTTTATTACTTCTAGAGTTATGGCCCTTGTTTCACTTCGTTGGACCTTGTGAATGCTCAAATGACATAAGAAATCATCCAGTCTGTATGAAATTTATCTATGCATTATTTAAATTAGTGAATAAAAAAAAATTTATCGAATTTCAATAATTTCTGTAAATTACTTCAAGAGTTAAGGCCCTTGTTTCAATATTTACAACCTTTTGACCCTCAAACAATGAAAATTATAATCTGATCTGTATGAAATTGTCTTGTAAATGCCGCCCATTACCAACAAAAGAATAAATATTCGACCACTCGGACAATTTAGCTACTGTCTGTGGGCGTAGAATTTGTTGCCTGGCAACCTATCTTTCTTTAAACCAGTAGAAGGGAGCCGCTTTGACTCAATGACACTTTGCCTCGCTAATCTCAAGTTCTCCTGTTCGATCCCAGTGTTTATCGGGATTTTCGAGAACGTGTAGTTCTTCGGTTGGGACCAAAAACAAGGTCCTGTGTACACTTTGGCGTGCACGTAAAAGAAATCTTGATAGTCAGAATTCGAAATAAGAGTATAGCGCATGCCCATCTTCATTATCCCATTTCATTTCATATACTATACAATGAAACCAGGTGGTGCTACAGCCCAGTCTTTCCTGCCATTGGTCGACAAACTTACAATCTGATTAAAATACAGATCGATATTTCATTACGTTTCTTTATACTTTCGATAGCCTACACTACATGAAGATCTGACCAGTTGTACTGGGAGGTTGTATCAGGGGTCATACGACCTATGACGTCAGACATTGATTAATCAATCAGTGTTGACATTTCTAGGGGTTTACCCACACACCAAAAGCTCGCTGTAACAGCCTGTTTTATTGGCTAATTCCTCACATTAACAAGAACGTCTGTTACAATGTATATAACAACTTTTCCAGATCCTAGTGTAGAAAAGACGAGTAAAACGAAATTTTGAACTGTAGAAAACAAAACGAAATAGGATCTGTGTATTAATCAGATTAACAAAGTTCCTTATGTTGTAAGATGGAGAGCGTGGCAAGGAACAGTTGAGATCCTGGGTACATGTTGGTGTGTGTGCGTGCGTAAAATAAACCATGACTGATATTCCTTCTAGAAATTCAACTTTAACAATATTGTAGGGATCACAAACCACTCAAATGACATACAGGAACTTTATTTAATTATTCAAGAGCTAAATCTGTCTATTGCAGGTCTTTCTTTAGGCCTGAAATGTTATATAACCTATTCAACATACATTATGCAAGAGCTAAATCTGCTTATTGCAGATCTTTCTTTAGGTCTGAAATGTTATATAAATCATTAATTAGACATTAATTAAGTTATCCAAACTCTTTATGCCGTGGATAATCTAGATTTTCAATTGATTTGAATACATTTTTCGGTTGATGAAATAATAATAAAAATGGATAATCAAGAATTTGTTTATTATCGTAACGCTGGTTGCAATTACAACCAAGACTACAGTGTTATTGTATCGTCAATAGCTGGACTCAGAGTGATGTAATTTGACTAAAATTTTCAACATATTCTTGTTAGCTCTTCATCTAATTTTACTTAATGTCGCTTTAAGGGGGGTTGGATGGCCGAATGGTTAAAGCGTGTGCGTTGTATCATAAGGTCTGTCATTGAGTCAACTGGCGTGATTTCGATTCCCCGTTTGTACGTGACAAGGAGTAGGGTTGCCTGTCCAACCTCATGGGTTTTCTCTGGGTCCTCCGACTGCTAAAGACCCCTACGCGCAAGTGAATTATTGAAATAAAATTGAACCATGTGTTTGTCCCGAAATGACCTGTTTTGTGTCGAGTGGATGTTAAACCCCATTTCTCTCTCTCTCTCGCTCAATTCCCTGGTTGTACGTGACAAGGAGTAGGGGTCGCTTGTCCAACCTCGTGGGTTTTCTCCTACTACTAAAGACCCCTACGCCATGGATGTCATTAGATGCTGGCAACCGGCAAATTTCACCGTTTACATGAGGCCGATTTCCGGCTACTTTTCATCTAAAAATGATCAGCAACTTCATTTTTATACGTCCACATTCATAATGTGAACGTATTATGCCGTCGCCCCTGTCTGTGTGTGTGTGTGTGTGTATGTATGTATGTGTGTGTGTGTGTGTGTGTGTGTGTCTGTGGTTCGCCTACAGGGCGCAATTCTTCATGGATTTTCTTCAAACTTGGTATACTTATTCCTTATACCCCAAGGAAGATCCCTATTGTTTTTGGTGCATGCCCGACCCCCCGGGGCAGAGCCACGCCCATTTCTAGTATTTGTTTGTTTGTCGTCTACAGGCCACATTTCTTAACTAATAATCTTGAAACTTTGCATACACATTCTTTGTACCCTAAGGAACATCCCTATCGTTTGGGGTGCATGCCCAACCCCCAGGGGCAGAGCCACGCCCATTTTCTTTTTGTGTGTCTTTGTGTCGCCTACAGGGCGCAATTCTTACTGGATTTTCTTCAAACTTGGTATACTTATTCCTTATACCCCAAGGAAGATCCCTATTGTTTTTGGTGCATGCCCGACCCCCAGGGGCAGAGCCACGCCCATTTCTAGTTATAATGTGGACGTACATTGCCGTCGCCCCTGTGTGTGTGTGTCTGTATGTCGCCTACAGGCCACAATTCTTAAGTGATCATCTTGAAACTTTACATACTTATTCCTTATACCCTAAGGATGATCCCTATTGTTTTTGGTGCATCCCCGACCCCCAGGGGCAGAGCCACGCCCATTTTTTGTATTTCTTTGTTTGTCATCTTCAGGCTGCATTTCCTAACGTATCATAATGAAACTTTGCATACTTATTCTTTGTACCCTAAGGAACATCCCTATCGTTTGGGGTGCATGCCCAACCCTCAAGGGCAGAGCCACGCCCATTCTCTTTTTGTGTGTCGCCTACAGGCCACAATTCTTAAGTGATCATTTTGAAACTTTAACACTTATTCCTTATACCCTATGGCGGCTATGGCGTGCACGTAAAAGATCCCTTGACAGTTGGAATTCGATATAAGAGTAGGCCGTAGTGCCGCTGTCCGGGCAAAATTACCCTCATAGCACACTGTATGGCGTATGCCCGTCTTCATTAGCCCAGTTCGGAGCAAAACAGTAGGACGTTAAACCCCATTTCATTTCATTTCATTTTTTGGTGCATGCCCGACCCCCTGGGACAGAGCCACGCTCATTTCTTGTATTTATTTGTTTGTCATCTACAGACTGCAATTCTTAACAGATCATTTTGAAACTTTGCATACCTATTCCTTATACCCCTATTGTTTTTTGGTGATTGCCCAACCCCCAGGGGCAGAGCCACACCATTTTGTTCTTTGTGTCTCTGTGGGTTGCCTAAAGGCCACGATTCCTAATGGATTGTCTTTGGACTTGGGATATGTATCCCGCCCCCCCAGGGCAGAGCGACGCCCAATTTTTGTGTTTATCGTTTACAGGCCGGAGTTCTGAATGGACCAACTTTGTACTTGGCATATGTATTCCTTATAGCATAAGGGCATCAACTATTGATTTTGGTGAATGCCCCCACCCCCAGGGCAGAGCCACGCCCAATTTTTGCCTTTAACGCCCTAAGGCCACAATTCTGAATGGATTATCTTGGAACTTGGAATACTTATTCCTTATACCCTAAGGATGGCAACTATTGATGTTGTCATTTCAATAACAGGGTGGTACCTATTTATATTGTTCCATATCCAACCCACAGGGGCAGAACCACACCCATTTTTTGTATTTATCGTCTACAGGCTGCAATTCTGAATGGATCATCATGGAACTTTGCATATTTATTCCGTATACCGTAAAGACAGCAACCACACCCATTTTTTGTATTTATCGTCTACGGGCTGCAATTCTGAATGGATCATCTTGGAACTTTGCATATTTATTCCGTATACCGTAAAGACAGCAACTATTTATTTTGGTGCTTGCCCCGACCTCCTGAGGCAGTGTCACGCCCACTTTTTTGTTAGTATTTTGCCTCTTATCATATTACAGCCATTTCATATTTCATTCTCTTCATTTTAAAAAGTACCATATCAATCAATGCTGGAATGTGGACGTATATTGCAGCCTTAGCGATGCTCTCGTTATAAAATAATTTTGAGTTATATTAATTGAAACTAATTGAATTCCTAAATGCCAAGCACATAGACATATCAACTAACCAGTTTTTTTCCGTGAGACTCACAGATTCACCTTTCTCCTGCAAGGAAGGATATTTCTCACGGTAAAGGTTCATAATTATGCCAATCGTCGGTGGGGAGTCAAAAGGTCGTATCTGGATTTTGCGAAATTGTCCAGGTAGAAATAAAGAGTGAAAGCTAGTTATTTGCAATTTTATACAGCAAAGACGTATATCTCAGGAAAATATTCAGCTTTACCTGCTTCAATTTCATAGATTTCACACAGTAGAGGCTCAACAATAATTATAAAAATACGCATTTAACTATAAAATAATACTGGCTATATTTCGTTTGACTGTAATGCTTTGGTTAGACACAAAGTTGATTTTTTCAAGAAAATACGTTTTCACTCTTACCCGGTAATAATTTTTTTTTTTTTTTTTTTTTGGAACACCCCATATACGACATTTTGAAACAAAGTCTATAAAATCTCTTTTTATTGGCTTAGAAATACGACTACCAGATGAAAAGATGTGCACGAAAATTCTCATTCTGAAGAATCAGAAAAGTAAATTTCGCAAAATATGCCAGATACGAACTTTTGACTCCCCACCGACGCAATGCTAGTTTTACTTTCAAAAAGGGAGGTAACCTCCTTACTTCCCCTTGTATTAATCGATTTAATGATTGGCTAAATTTGACCGTAGAAGTCTTACTCTGGTAGTATGCTTGTACTATGATTATTAGTGGGATAAATAAAGTAGAGTACATGAGTGTACCTAATAAAATAGAGACCTGTACTGACTGTACAAGGTCTGTTCGATTACTGTCATTTTTCCTCATGGCTAGTAGTAAACGGTCTATGCGATTTTGACAGTTCTGCCGCGAAGAGAAAACGTTTCACACCATGTGTCTTTAGCGTGAAATCGGAAGCCATTGGCATTAAGTGGTTGACGGAAATTTAGCTAACTTTCAATCTGCAATTTTAGATTACTTTTTCGTTTAAATATATTACTAGCGGTTGTATTATAATGCTTTGATATCGATCTCAATATATGAAAATAATCGGACTCAAAAGTTATAGAAATATAAGTGCTATTACTGTTTATGTGGGAGGCACTTGTGGGGAAAATAAAACTCTGACATCATGTTTCCGGGGGATTTGCATTCACGCGATTACATATTTAGAAAACGGGATTTATCTGTTTTGCAGAGAGAAATGTTTTAATTCCGAATAAATGCAGCCTAGCTGCCCTTTATCTGATATCATGAAGATTAAAAATATTTTATATACAGTATTATTCAAATTGTTACGATTTTATAAGTTTTACCTAAACTAATATTCGCGGATTTCAGTTTTAAAATTGGTAGACGAGCAATTCTATAAGGCTTATCTTGTGACATCACTCAGATATGACTGAAAAGCACTTATTTGGATTATTAAAGTTTTTTGGATAGACTTTTTATGTACATTTTCACAAAATATTTAAAAAAAACTTTCTGTCCTTTAAAATATTGCCCCGAACCGCCATAACACACTCCCCACCCTTCGGTTTGCCCGCAGATTCGGGTCTGCGGCCCTAAACATTTGCTGCCCCCTACTTTAGCAAAATTTCCTGTTACTTGAAAAATTAGTGACATCCCTGCCTACGCGCAAGCGAGTTATTGAAATAAAATGGAACCATATGTTAGTCCCAAGTGGATGTTAAACCTGTTTTCTGTGTTTAATGGATGTGTTTGTTATTTGCAGAAGGAGGATGGTTTATTAGTATGGCAGAAGCGTGGACCAACAGATACAGTGATGTACCATATATCGATGGGGATTATGTTACTCGGTTGTATTCCAGCTGCTCTAGTAATCTATAAATTGTCTTTTCCTCAAAAGAAATAACTGGATGTGTACGGGGTGAAATGGAAGACTTTAATTTTGATTTGTGTAAACTAGAAGAAAACAAAAACACTGTGAAACTTGTTGAATTAAACATGATAGTAACAAGAGAAAACATACTTTAACATTTTATATTTTGTTTTATCTTGATTTATTTCTACCCCACGGCCTCACGAAATCAGACATGTAACACCATTTTGCACACACTATCTACTCGAATTCGAGAGTGGGGGTGGGGTGGATGGACAAATGGTTAGCATGTGACAAGGAGTAGGGTCGCCTGTCCAACCTCGTGGGTTTTCTCCGGGTCCTCTGGTTTCCTCCCAGTGCTAAAGACCCCTTCGCGCAAGCGAATTATTGAAATAAAATTGAACCATGTTAGTCCCGAAATGCCCTAGTTTGTGTCAAGTGGACCTTAATCCCCATCTCTCTCTCTATCTGTGTCTCTCTCTCTCTATCTGTCTCTCTCTCTCTATCTGTCTCTCTATCTGTCTCTCTCTCTATCTGTCTCTCTCTCTCCATCTCTCTCTCTATCTGTCTCTCTCTGTCTCTCTCTCTCTCTCTCTCTCTCAAATTTGAGAATAGATTTCTGTCCTAATGGGTTGCAATATCCAACAATTAGTATATTATTTTGTAATATAGTCCAACTCCGGTTCTCATCTGTTATACACAAAAAGACTAATTAATTATTAAACCTTTTCTATTTTATTAAACGAAAGCAAACTATATACTTCTCAAAATTCTTGAAATATACTCAGTGTTTATGACTAAAATAGTCTGTGTAGGACCTAAGTTAGTCGACTGAGGACCTAATATCATGGTGACACATTAACCCGGATGTCCTGTGTAGGACCTAAGATAGTCGACTGAGGACCTAATATCATGGTGACACATTAACCCGGATGTCCTGTGTAGGACCTAAGATAGTCGACTGAGGACCTAATATGGTGACACATTAACCCGGATGTCCTGTGTAGGACCTAAGATAGTCGACTGAGGACCTAAAATCATGGTGACATACTAACCCGGATGTCCTGTGTTTGATGAAGGAGTTGGCCGAGAAAGTTTCTTAGGATTTATAAGCCTGGGGGTCGTGGGTTCGCTCCCGGTGTTGGCTGGGGGTCGTGGGTTCGCTCCCGGTGTTGGCTGGGGGTCGTGGGTTCGCTCCCGGTGTTGGCAGAGAAAGTTAATCAGGATTTTCCGGCATGGTTTGGTTCCCCTTTTCAGTGGTGCAGGATGGAGGATCTGACAAGGGCAATGTCTAGTCATTTGGATGGGGCAAAAAAAAACGAGTCAGCCATCTTAATTAGACCACTTTGAAGTTGCTTTGTTCACGGGCTGAAATAGCAGGAAATTATGTTTGCAGCCATCAAATATTCAAAAATTTTCTTGGGGTGGGGGGGGCGGTGGGTACAATACAAGGGGAGCTCTGCTTCTTCGCCTCTCGAGGAAGATCGGCGCTGTTGTTTGTACACCCAAATTTTGGGGGGGCATTTCGGGTTCTGCCCCCTAAGTGTCATCGAGCCCGTACGCCTATGGGTGTTTGATCCCTGCATTGGCCGAGAAAGTTTATCCAGATTTTCCGGTGTGGCTCCGCCTTGTCAGTGATTCAGGTACGAGGGCCTGACAAGGATAGCTGTCTAGTCATTTGGATGGGACGAAAAACCGAGGTCCTGTGTACACATTGGCGTGCAGGTAAAAAATCTCTTGACAGTTGGAATTCGATATTTTAAAAAGTAGTGCCGCTGTCCGGGCAAAATTCCCCTCATAGCACACTGTATGGCATATGCCCGTCTTCATTACCCCAGTTCAGAGTAGGACATTAAAACCAATTTCATTTCATTTCGATTCTGGGGCTGACCATGTCAGAGGTGCAGGGCAGAGGGCCTAACAGTAACAAGGAAAAGTGTATAATTGTTTGAAAGGGACAATAAGGGTACTGCCTCACCAGGGGGTTCGGAGTTAGATTCCGATGTTGACTTAAAAAGTTGCTCATGGATACCCAATGTCAGTGGTGCAGGACATGGGGGTGGGGGGCAGGAAGCGTCTAGTCGTTTGGATGGGACAAAAAAATGATGTCCTATGTGCACCTTGATGTGCCCATAAAAGAACCCTTGACAATTTGATTTAATTGCCTAGCAGGAAAAATTTCTCTCATAGCACACCAAATGGCGGATGCATGTCTTTATTATCTGGATTTTAAATCCTATTTCATTTATTCATTTTCGCTCAATTAATGAAAGTTATCGGTTCAATATCATCATCCTATTAATTATTATTATTATTATTGTTCGATTTATAATAGCGCTTCATTACACGTGAAGTGTTTCTAAGCGCATATCACAAACATATACTTCAAACACACAGAAACAATCAAAATCTGGAGAACATAATTAAACACAGCTGCCTGTTAGGCGCTATTATTCAAAGGTTTATATCCAACAAATCAACCGGCTAATCTCTATATTGAACTCAGTCGAGGTATTACCTGATGAACACCTACACCAAGTAGAGTTCAAAAATAAAAAACGAAGTTTAAAAGAATCAGCTTCATTAACAAAAATTAAACAATCAAAAACTAAACAGATAAATCAAATTCAAACGAAACAAATAAAACAAAGAAAATGAAAAGAGCAGTTCATTACCATTCTACATTAACAAAATAAAGGAAAACAACTTGTGAAATTTTTTTCAAAAAATAAGAGCAACGTAACACTAATGTTAATACTTTTTTAACGAACATATCATAAATATAATTAATTTTACCTATAATATCTATTTCAGAAATCAGACTTTATTTTGCAAAAAAAAATTAATCCAAAGAGTTGTGTACGACCATTATCAATCACTTCATCAAAAAAATGGCAAATACCTTAGAAGAAGCACCCCAAAGACATGGTCAATCCTACCACCATTCTTATCCAAATTTTTGATTTGCGGAAGGTGGGTATAACCAGTGCCATACAAAAGACCCTATTTCAAATTCCCGCGCTTTCAGATTCTTATCATATCCTTCTTTTTGACGTGAATGATATATACTTTAACTTTAATTTTCAACAATGAAACAAATATGTTTACACTTTGACTTCCATGAAGTTTAAACCAATGGGCTAAAGCAGTCAAGATATGAGAGGTACGTGTGGATATAATAAAAGTATTCTGTAATAATTTTTTTCTACGACAATGTTTGAAATTTGAAGGGACCTAATAAGGGTTCCAAGTATTTGTTCTGGGACCTGGTTTTTTTTTGGTTTTTTTTTTATCCCAAAAGTTTTGATTCAATTTAGTTTTCCAAAGTCTAGAATTATTAGCCGTAAGTTTTGTGTTATTGTCTGTTTGAAAGCGTACCGTATCCAAGATGGCGGCGACACGCTTGATCTCAGCTCGAGTATCCGTATTCTTCACATCATAATGTCAAAAAAAATAACAAATAGTTGATTTCTTCGACATTATCTTCGATACACCTGGCAGTAAATCATAAAAAATCTGATTCCATTTCACTCTTCATATCATAAAATTATTCCTATAATTCACTATTGCCAGCTGAGAAATTGGCAAAAATATCATTTTCAACTTCAAATTCCAACATTGAGGAAATGGAGGTGATTGTGTTGTTATTTCCTGTGTAAATGAGTTTTAAGTGTGAGAATGACACCTATGATCGTATAATAGTAAGTTGATAACCTATTGAGCAAAAGACATAAAAATAATTATGTTTTGACTTTCTTAGAAAATATGAAATTCTCGCTTTAAGGATAACCCCTGAAAACGAGTAAAAATTAACCATGAAAATAAATATGGTAAATTATTATAAAGAAAGACATTGTGTAGCCTGGATAGCTTCTACAGTATTATCGTTTTACAAATAAAAGCCAACAATTTATTTCTGATAGTAACTGGAATGGGGGTGGATCTGAAAACTGAAATTAAATAACCCTTCTCCGCTGGGAAGTTAGGGTATAGCCTAGATTAGTAACTTCAAACTTGATTGTAGGGCCTATAGTTTACACCTTGACAAGTAAGTAGTGCTAAGGACTATAAACAACAGGAACAACACAGTCTGATAGAAAAATATTTATTATTTAACATTACAAAACACACTGGCTAATTTTCTCGGGCAAATTATATAATTAACTGCATGTGTTAATGACCCTAAATACCTATTGATTCGTTGTACAATAAAGTGAAGCTCATGGCCATAAACCGCTTAACGGTACATTTAGAAAGAGTTATCTTTCATTTTGGTGACAACCGTAAAGTTGACAGGCGTCCGTTAGTTGCTAAGTGACGGTAAACAAGATGGCCGTGACGAGAGTCGAGAAATGACTTTTATTTACTGACTTATAAGGTTCGTGAGGCATAGGATAAATATTTAATGTGATTCTGCAGAAAATTAGATATATTTTTTGTAATTGTTAGCAAGTTTTTCTGCTCAAGTCCCACGCAATGGTCGTGTAATTGACTTGAAGTAGATTAGCGGAATAGGATGTACCGTTGTGGGGCTCACAGCACCGTTTAATATGTTGAAAGACACCCAATATAAAGTTCATACAAAATAGTGGAAGTGTACGGTTATTTTCAGTAAAGTTGCCAAAATGCCGGTCGCGGAGAGCAGGTTGGAGATTTTACAAGTTTGTAAATTGTTACAATGTGTACGAGAAAAAGACAAAACTCAAATAGAAAAGATGACAGCCAGTGGTCTACCTCATTTAATTAATTATAATGATGCCACAGAAGGGATGACGGCTCTTATTGTAGCGGCAATAGCTAACGACGATGACATGTTACAGTTTTTGTTGGACCTAGGGGCCCACCCCGATGTGGTTGATTTAAAGGGAAGGACCGCTGCCATGAGAGCAGCCGAATATGGTCATGTACAATGTTTAGAAAAATTAGCAAAAGCTGGTGCCAATATGAGAATAGTGGATTTAGAAGGGAAAGGTAGGCTTATTATGTTTATTTTTTTTTTTTTTAATTTCCATTTTGATAATATTTTATATGTCAAAATACAACTCATCTCGATTTATTTCTAATACTAGATATTACCAGGTATGGGAGATTAGATAAAGAGTTGACTGTTTTGCTAGGGCCTAGAATATTTAAAAAATAGATAGGCTAAAACGTAAATAGAAGATGTTGAAAATTTCAGTCAAATTGCTCTACAATGAACCTATAGAATCTTCTTTGAGCGACATTTAGCAATTGACATACGTACCAGTAATAAACACAACCATATAATTATGGAACAATTACTATTTTAATTGTAGATCTATAAGCTTATGAGATAACTTTTATGCACATCAAAGAAAAAACTCCCGCCAGTTGTATATAGGATAGTTAAGGCCCGAAATTGGTGCCCCTTAGAAATTAAACAATAAAAACGATTTTTTTAAATATATTTGTTTCGTGAATGAAAAATTACGTATCATAATTCATATCTTTATAACAGATTTTTTGTAATTAAGAGAATATTTAATGAGATGATTTTTGTATAGATAACAGATAATTACTATCATTGCGTGATTTATATGACGGAATCACTTTGTTCTTCATCAGCCAATCAGATGAATATTTTATTAGATACTAAGGTGTGTACGTACAACACGATAATTATAAAGGAAATGAATTCAACAACGGGAGAGATTTATCAGCAGACAAAAATCAGATATCTTAATTATTTCATTACCTGGGGCACGGTGAGCGAGTTCCAATGATAATTTATGTTTTGTGTGATTAACAGAATAGAATTAGAGCCGGATTAAAAAAATATAGGATAAGTGCCAGATTAAAAAATAGGATTAGTGCCGGATTCAAAAATAGGTTATGTTTATAACTGAAATTGAATAAAATAAAAAAATGGTTATTGATTTGACGGAGGGTTGTATGGCCGAATGGTTAGCACGTGCGCATTGCATCATTTTTCGATTGTTTGGTTGTTTGTGACAAGGAGTAGGGTGGCCTGTGCAACCTTGTGGGTTTACTCCGGGTCCTCCCACTGCTAAAGACCCCAACATGCAAGCGAATTATTGATTGAAATATAATTAAACCATATGTTAGTCCTGAAATGACCTAGTTTGTATCGAGTTGACGTTAAACCCTATTTCTCTCTCTCTCTCTTTTATTGATTTGAATAAACAATATTGATTAGATAGATCACTGAAAGCTACCTGGTTGGCAATGGATATCAAATATCAAATTGTTGTTCAGTAAACAGATCAATCAAATTACAGGTAATTGTCTTTTTACCTTTCCTGAATTAAAAGATTTATTGACTTCCGAAAAGTCACCTTCAATGTTCAACAATGCCAAATTGCTTAGTCATTTGTGTGTTGTAGTGGAATGCAGGGTTGATTCAGTTTGAAATATCTGAAAGAGAGTCCATCACCCTTGCATTTTAGAGGCTTGGATGATTAAAGTCAGCCACAGAATATTAAACACATGTTGGGTTGAAGTATGATGTCGTTACAGAAGTTTTCTAAGCAGCCCCTGAAACTTGGTGTGAGTGGGGAGGGGGTTGGGGGAATTGGAGCAGGTGTGACAGGTGCACCATGGAATAATCCCCCACTGAACATGATAGCCCAGAATAGTTACATGTTGAAACAGGTGACTATTGTCATTACGTGAGACATGGTCTCGGCGTTTATCAAGCACAACCGTATATTTAAACTTTCTGAGGATCCCACTTACGAGGCCCATTTCAATGTATCTACCGGTATGCAAAATTGTTGAAGACTTTAAAAACCACGCTAAAATACACTCAAACTGATTATTTAATATTTTAAAATTAAGACAACTAATCCAAAATATCAATAGCAGTCGTTGTTGTTTGTATTTTAGAGGAGAGCCGAAAAAAGCTGCCCTTAATCAACAAATTGAAAAAATCGCTGCCCTAAAAAAGCTCTCCCAGTTTCGCTAAGAGGGATTTAGAAATTAAGGAGAGTGATCTGATATTAATGGATTCATAAATGATAATAAACCCCCATGACTTTGTAAAGGAGGGCGATTTTCAATTTTAAGAAGAGGGGAAAAAAAACTCCACTCGGTCAACATTCAGGTGAGCAGCAGATGCTCGAGAACGATCGCTCGCTTTAAAAAACAATAACTGTCCCGGCATGTCTTCCATCCAAATAACAAGAGGCCCATGAATAGATGGTAGCGATGATTGTTGTTGTTAGTTAGTTGTATTTTACATCTGCTTCCATCGAGGTGATATTGCAGACAAGGTAGCGATGATCGGAACAAATCCCATTTATATCGTCAGAATTGTCTACAGCTATGCCCAGAGGGTTGGGAATTCCCAATGATCCTAGCTTTGTTTATACAGAACGGAATTGAACCATTTTAGGACTCATACCAAGTAGGTTTTTTTTTTTTTTAGGAAAAAGCAAACATGTTTAAGGAACACTGTGTTCCTTTGAAAAACAAAAATTGAAATTTGTCTGGCGTAAATGAAGTTACCTGTAATCTTTCTACCTGTATGTATTATTTCAGGTATAATATTTTACTGTATATCACCGACACAGCGACACGCCAAATGTTTAGAATTAGTTGTATTAAACGGAGGTGAGGTAAACAACGTGTCTAAAGATGGCGTACCTGTATTTGTTCTCTCCTGTGAAGCGGCTGTTGAAAATGAAGACATGTGTGAAGTATTGTTACAGAAGGGAGCTGATCCAAATAAAGCCTCTGAGGTAAGCTGTTTTAGTGTTAGTCAATCTGAGTCAACTGCTGTGGTTTCGATGCCCCACTTGTACGTGACAAGGAGTAGGGTCGCCTGTCCAACCTTATGGGTTTTCTCTCAGTCCTCCTGTTTCCTCCCACTGTATAAGGCCTTTACACATAAGCGAATTGTTGAAATAAAGTTGAACCGTGTCTTAGTCCCAAAATGACCTAGTTTGTGTCGAGTGGATGTTAAATCTCATTTCTCTCTCTCTCTCTCTCTGTTAGTCAATCAAGCGTACATGACAGCATCATATTTAGGCCTATCGGCTAGAAATAGGCCTGTTTACATTGGGCCGAATGAAGATATACAAAAATATCAAGATAAAGAAAATTTAATTGATTTATTTGACTAAAATCGTTACATTTTATAATGAAATACAATACTTTGAAAAGGATCAAATTAGACAACTTAGATATCTATGACATACAATACAGAAGTCAGAGTTTTACTGAAACCGGGAAATAATAATAAATGATTTCCACCGCTAGTTTCTAAGAATTATTGACACATCAGTTTGTTGAAATTTCTTCCACAGGCCACATTTAAATCCTTGGCTAATAAAAGAAGGGCAAAGTCTGTTTAATTTTAAAAACACAATTTAGAAAAACTGAGGAAGATGATGGATGTTTACAATATCAAAAATATTATACACCTTAGTCTAAGGCCTCCTAGAACTTAAGGCCCTAGGCAGTCGTTGTTGTTTGTATTTTAGAGGAGAGCCGAAAAAGGCTCCCCTTAATCAACAAATTGAAAAAATCGCTGCCCTAAAAAAGCTCTTCCAGTTTCGATAAGAAGGGTGGTTTAGAAATTAAAGAGAATGATCTGATATTAAGGAGAGTGATTAGTTGTGTGTATGGGAAATGGTTCTGAAGATCAATAACTGCATGTAATGCGGTCATTCCTGGATTCATAAATGATAATAAACCCCCCAAGACTTTGTAAAGGAGAGCGATTTTCGATTTTAAGGAGAGGGGAAAAAACCTTTCCTCGGTCAACATTCAGGTGAGTGGCAGGCGCTCGAGAGGGATCGCCCGCCTTAAAAAACAATGACTGCCTAGGCCGTCAGCCTACATAGGTCCAACACAGCATGGTAGTATCATTTTTGATACATGATTATTTTGTATTTTTACAGAAAAATGGGCGAACAGCTTTAATGGCAGCTGCCTCAAGTGGAGGAACGAAAATTGCCAGATTAATTTTAGAAGGGGGAGCCAGTGTCAATGCTATTGATGTCCGAAAAAATCACGCAGCTCATTTTGCGGCTAAAGGAGGTCACCTGGAAGTACTGGCATTAATGGCTGGTTACGGAGCTGAATTTAATCAAAATGATTCCCAAAATAACACACCGATACATATCGCGGCTATAAATGGTCATGGTGGCTGCTGTAAATTCTTGTCACAAAGAGGTAAAAAAAAAATATAACGAAGTATAACCTTGATGTGACGTCATCCTTTCATTTCGTGTACTATTATTCAAATAATATACAGGCAAATTTATAAGAAATGGCTGTTACATGATGTTTTCATAAAAATTAATGGTTGGTAGTGAAGTAAACGACTAATTTGGTATGAGGTATCCTAGTATAAACCAGGCGTCAATGGTTCCAAATAGTATTTATAGACGATGCCAGGATTTTCTAAAATATGTGATTATAAATATGTCCTTGATAATACATGAAATGAAATGAAATGGGGTTTAACGTCCTACTGTACTGCCCTGACTGGGCTAATGAAGACGGGCATACACCATACAGTGTGCTATGAGGGAAATTTTGCCTGGACAACAGCACTAAAACCTAATCTTATATCCAATTTCAACTGCCAAGGAATCTTTTATGTGCACGCCAATGTATACACAGGATTTCATTTTATCATCCCATTCGAATGACTACGTTGTCCCTTGCCAGGCCATTGATATAGTACACGCAGAGCCCTAAACAGAAATGGAAAAATTTGCTCATAAATACGACTGCAAAGTCAATATTTTAAGTCTGTCAAATGGGAGGGATTTCAAATTCCTTGAAAATCTTCAAATGAAAAGTACATTAATTTTTTGGTTTGGATACACCCTTCAAGTCTCACCCCTAACACCCCTCTTCCCCTCCTTGGGCAACACCTAAAATGATATTTTACCGGATGTATTTCTATTTTCCAGGATGCAATCCCAAACCCAAGAACACGGATGGCCAAACTCCCAAAACTCTAGCCAAAGACAATGGTCACAAGGACGCACTTAAGGAATGTCGCAAAGCCGAAAAATCTTTTGGAAAAGTGTCGAAAAACAACGAACCCTGGGCAATTCATTTATACGACTGGGTTCAATCACGACAGCTTAAATTAGAAAATATATTTAAAAAGTACGATTCAGACGTCACAGGTTACATCAACAAGGATGATTTCTTGGATGGATTAACAGATCTGAATGTTCCACTAGAGGAGGAGGAATTAACGAAAATCGCAACATTGCACGATAAAAGTAAAGATGGAAAAATTGATTATAATGACTTTATCGCGGGTAAAAAATATCTCAATAAGAACTTTTTAATGAGTGCATTTGAAGGAAAAAAGAAAAAAAAGAAAAAGGGAGGTAAAAAGGGTAAAAAAAAGGGCAAGTTTAAGTTAATAATGCCGATATGTACGCAAGAAGATGGACCCAGAACGTATGGTGGTAATCCCCCGGAGCTATTTATAGAACGTCACATACATTTTACAGATACTGTACGATTTGGTCGAGATAGACCGCCAACGCATCCCCTGCAGGACGATTCGGCCTGGTATCTACAGCATCCCGATAGAACTTTTATCAATATCAATGAAGCTGCCAAAATGGGTGATTACGATTCGTTGAAGAATGCGTTTTCCCGAGGTTTACCAGCAGACACAAGAGACAAATATTATAAAACACCTTTAATGGTGGCTTGCGCTGACGGAAAAATAGAGATGGTGAAATTCCTTTTATTGAGTGGGTAAGTTGTTATTTCGGGACTAACATAGGGTTTAATTCAATAATTCTCTTTCTCGTAGGGGTCTTTAGCAGTGGGAGGGAACTGAAGGATTGGAGATAACCCACGACGTTGGACAGACGACCCTACTCCTTGTCACATACATGCTGGAGATCGACTTGACTCAATGACAGACTTTATGATCTAAAGCGCATGCCTCAGCCCATTCGGCTTCTTTCAGGATTTTTCCAGTTAAATTAGAATTATACCAAAATTTTATTTAATTTTATTTTGGTTGTTTACTACATTTTATCTTGATCGAAGTTAAATTCAGTAACACATGTTGTGATTGGTTGATTCTTCATATTCAAATTGTCAGGAGACAAAAGGGTTCCACATACTGCTACTGAGGGGGGTTGGGATGGCCTAGTGGTCTAGAGTGCCGCGCTTCGACCTCTAGTTGGTCGGTCACCTCTGGCTTACGGTTGTGGTTTCGGTCCCCAGTGTGATCGTATGTGGCTTGGAGATAGGAGCGCCTTCTAAACCTATTGGGTTTACTCCGGGTACTCCGGTTTCCTCCTACAGGAAAGACCCCTGCGCGTTCGCTAAGATAATAAAAATAAAAAAATAAGACAACTTATCTGCGATATCAAACACGCTACGGAAGAGATCCAAAGGGAATTCCCCAAGAGAAGGAAGCATAATATTTCAAAATAATTCTAGGCATCCCTAGATTTTTAAAAACAATCACACACCAGTATTTTATTTTAAATGATAGTTTTGCTAAGAATTATTTTTGTTGATGTCTGGTTATATTAAAGAGAATGGAAGCCTATAATTACCCTATTTCACCATCTCGATCCCAGAGACGATTCGAATCTTCGTTTATCTCAGGTAAAACTCGCCGGCCATTAATCAGCGTGAAAGTGGTTCCTAAGATCCGCCCCCAGTGGCTACTGATTGGCAGGATTTGTTAGAATGAAATACTGCTGATTTCTCGACAATTTGGCATCAGTTCGTTTCATGATTTACATATTAATGATCCTTGGAACATTTTCCACATCTTGACATCAAAAGTTCATTCGAACACAGCTGATTTGATGATTTACCGGGAACTATTTTTAGTGCACAATGTGAGTGATTCGGCTAACTATGTGAACTTTCTAAAGAAATGTGAGTTTGAGCTGCCATCTTGGATCTTTGTGATCGACGAAAGGATACACACGTAACATTCAAAATGGCCGGCTAGTTTTACCAGAGATTAACGAAGGGTAAGCTTATCTCTGGGATGGAGATTGCCTATTTCGTACTGGGACCTCTTTTGACCCAATTCTGGCCGCCAGATCCCTGTAGTATACGTTATTTAATTTTTTACAGGGCTCAGATCAATGCTAGAGATAATTTTAAATGGACACCATTACATCATGCCTGTCACTCGGGACAACTTGATGTTATACAGTTGTTGATGGATAATGGAGCAGAGATAGATGCAACAACAATGAATGGAGGAACTCCGCTAACACGAGCTATTGAGAGTTCTAAAGAAGAGGTCGTCCAGTTCATGATTAATAATGGTGCTAAAATGCAAACAGAAAATAAAAAAGGTAAATAAAATTGGTAAATTCTCCTGTAAAGAAATTTGATTCCCCTTGTCCATGATGTAGGATCGACTATCTAGTCATTCGGATGGTATGAAAAGGCAAGTTTCACACATCCTTGTACTAATTGGTGTCCACAGAAAAGATTCCTTGACAGTTGGAGGTCGCCTGTCTAACCTCCTGGGTTTTCTTCAGGTAATCCTGTTTCCTCCACTTCTAAACACCCCAAATGTTAGTCTCTGATCTCTCTCTCTTTCTCTCTCTCACTCATCAATGAGAAGTGAAATAAGATGTTCTACCAGTAAATATCTGTGTTATTTATTTTGTTTTAGGCCAGAATCCCAATGATTTGGCTCAAGTATGGGCTGATCCACGGGTGTTAGATATCGTGTCGAAGAAATGGGACAGTCTTCCTCAATCTAAAGATAAAGGAAAGGGAAAGAAAGGATCCACTGCTAGGGCTAAAAGTGGTCGACCTAAATCAGCAGGTGGTGAAGGTAAAGATGGCGCAGTAACACAGGTAATTTATCTTTATTATTATCTATTCCTAATCTGTCCTGGGAGGCTCCAAGCGTACAAATAATACACCTGTCACTGTTAATGTCCAGCACTCAGGTGAGGGTTTGATGGCCGAATGGTTAGCATGTGCGCATTGTATCATAAGGTTTGTCATTGAGTCTAGATATGCGCCACAAGTTACCAATGACACCCATGACTTTTCAAAATTTCCTTTAAGGAGGTCCCCTGGGCCCTTTAACCAAATGTCCTGCATCCACCTCTGCCTGTTTTCATACAAGAAAAGTTGAACATTAAAACCCGCTTTATTTTCCAATCATTTTGTTTTTTATAGTTCAAAATTTCATTTTATTTGTCTTCACAACACTAGGATCTGGAAGAGTTGTTATATAACCTGCATTCTGGTTGATGTGTGGGATTAGCCAATGAAATGGTCTGTGGGTAACCCACTAGAAACATCAACACTGATTGATTAATCAATGTCTGACGTCATAGAGTCAAAAACCGCTCGTATGACCACTGACGTGACCTCTCACTACAACTGGTCAGCTCTTCGTGCAGTGGAGGCCATCGAAAGTATAAAAAATGAAACAAAATAATGATCTGCATTTTAAATATTTTCTCGTCTTTCGGTAGTTATAAACATTGTTGATATATTTCAGTCGTTAACGTTAAACCGAGTTGGAGCAGAAGATTTTCATCAACAACGTAAAGGATCTATCTTACGAGCAGCTTCAGCCCTGGCTGGAGGACTGGAAGAAAAAGAAGATATCACATACACTCCTTTGAAGGCCTGGACGAAACAGCCAACCACAGGGGAGTTGATAAAAGAACGGGAAGTTAATCGAGAGAGATTTGGATGGGAAGTTGATTTTGATGATTTTGAGATGCCCTTTAAAAGTAATATCAGTAAAAAGATCGAATTGTTTGGTGGACTTGAAGAGGAATAGAAAAAGAAGAAAAAATCTCGCCGAAAAAAGGAATAAATTCTGAGAGAGATGTTTTACTTCTGACTCCATTATCTTCTTTTACTCTGAACAGCTTTAGAAAACAGCTTGATGTATAAACTTTTACTCTGAACAGCTTTAGAAAACAGCTTGATGTATAAACTTTTACTTTAAACAGCTTTACAAAACAGCTTGATCTATAAACTTTTACTTTAAACAGCTTTACAAAACAGCTTGATCTATAAAATTTTACTGTGAACAGCTTTACAAAACAGCTTGATCTATAAACTTTTACTCTGAACAGCTTTAGAACAGCATGATCTATAAACTTGGAACAGCTTTAGAAAACAGCCCGATCTATAAACTTTTACTCTGAACAGCTTTACAAAATATTTTTCCCTCTAAATATTTAATCTGAACAGCTTTCGAATACACAGTATAAAGTTTTAACAGCTACAATAGAAACTGTTACTCAGAATACCTTTAGAACACATCATTCTGTTTTCTCTGAACAGCTTTTAAATACACCATGTTGTTTAAAACTTTACACTAACCAGTTATAGAAAACAGCATTTATTAGCCCTCGTACTCTGTTGGGTATACCCTCATTGTTTACCATTTTAAAATATTTCATCAATTCCTACAAAATCCAAAATATAATCTTTTTATTACAAATAGGAATCTAAAATCAAAGATGCATGTATGTGTGTATGCCCATATATGGTTTCATATTAACCAATATGACCCTGTGAAGGTTTTGGACCATCGAATTTTGGTCCCCTGGCCAATTAGTGCCCCAGGACTAATATGTGCCCGGTCGAATGGAGCCCCAGGTGGATTTGGGCCCCGGACACAGCCAGATATCCTGCTAAGTAACAATAAGGCACCAGGTATTTCTTCTTCTGAAATTCTATTTTTATCTGTGATCATTTAAGTAATGTGATAAAATATTTTCAAGATAGCTTTTAAACATTTCTGCTTTTTAAATAATTGATAAGTTTTGTATATTCTAAATAGACTTTTTAAAATCAGGCAAAAATATATATTGAGAGGTATGCATTTGAATTTTTAGAGATTTTTCGTTTTCAACTGCCTCACCTTTATATAAGATCTGAGTGTATGTACTATGTAATAAGATGACTGGCAAAATGATTGTTTACGGTCCACTTAAGGAATGTTTGTCGCTGATTCTCCATCGCTGTAGTTGGGCACCAAATATATACTGCTCAACAGACTATCCGAACCATTGTTGTCTACAAGACAAGCATACAGTGTCTTTAGAAATAGGTGAAACCAGCAAGGCCAGATGAAGTTGGGGGGGGGGGGGGCTTGTAGCAATTGTTATTAAATGTTATTAAGGGCCCTAAATTTAAACAAAAAAAAATACACTTAAATATTACAGCACCTGTAACTTACTTTCATAGTAAAATATATTTGATCTTATACTCAAATTAAATGATGAGGGGAGGGGGGGGGGGTCATCATATGTGTCTCACTCCCCCCCCCCTCCCATTTGGCAACTGGTGAATTATTGAATCAGAATAAATAGCTTACAAGCATATATCCCAGGGCCTTTGCAAATGGGAGCCCCACAATGTAATGCTACTTTACTCCATTAGGTTTATCGGTCACTGGGCAAGAAGAAATACCTGTGGGGTGGGAGAGAACCCGGAAGTGGGTTGGGGTGGGAGTGACCCTACCTACAGGGTTAAATATTATAATTATTGATGATTTATTTGTATAATATATATATTGTTGAAGAAATATAATCAATTGTGGTTTTATATTGTATATAATATTAGTTATCATGTGATATTGTTAATAAATTATATTGTTTATCATAAACTTGTGTTTATCACCTTACTTTCGACCAAAAAACGAGTATGACATAATCGCAGCCATCTTCAAATTGTGATGTCATCAGACCCGTAGCTAGCGAGTTTGGGGGAGGGGGCACCTGAATCGCACCCTTTGCATTGGACGCAATACAAAGCCAACGACCATCATGGCAATATCAGTATGGGCGCCACGAAAAGACAAGTGACATTGGTTGGGCTACGGGCCTGTTCATATCTTAAAACGGAAGACCATCAATGGAGTAGCAATGGTCTAAGGAACAGGCATGGCAAGTTTCATGTTGATCGTACTTGAATTGAGGACGCTTAGGCTCTCTTTGAAGAGTATCGCCTCAGAACAAGAGGGAGTGAGGGTAATGTTGTCAATTAGGGACTAACATGTGGTTCAATTTGATTTCAATAATTCAGTTGGGCCATATCCACAAATTAGAATACTGTTTTGTAATCAATTCCATTAAATGGAAGCAGAATAAATACCACTCTGTACGCGATTTTCACAGGAAATTCAAAGCAGGCAAGCAAATGGAAAAACAAAAACCGTGACCATCAGACGCCAAAATATCAAAACGGAAATATTTTCATCACATAAACTATTTATTGAACTGGTTTTAAATGGAACTGACGGCCACTGTGTAAATCACGGATCACGTTCACGGAACCAATCAACATCAATAATAATTATGAGAACGTGACTAAATCAGTTTATTTAATTGTGACCCAAAGGAAATTGACTGAATTATTCAAAGCAGATCTGTAATCGGACCCCCCCCCCCCCCCATCTCATGGTGTCCTATAAAAAGATGTCTGTCCTTGAAAAATGTGTGTCACTAAAAAACATCACCCTGTATCTCAAGGTTTTCTCTCCGTCCGAGCCCCTTGCAGGTGACCTCGCAGACCTAGGCGCCGCCTAAAATAATCCGAACAATGAACAATAATACCAGTATTGAGTACACCTGGTTTGGCGAGGATATTTTTTCGGAAATGACAACTTCATATTATGCTAACCGCCATTAGCATAAACATTTCAAATTGAAATCGCGACCCGGGAACATGGTCCCGATTCCTTGGGGGGGGGGGGGCATTTTCCGTGTTTAGTCTACCATGTTGACGTAGGAACCGAACTCAAGAGAAGATAACTAACAAAAAAAAATAAAATTAAATGAAATGGGGTTTAACGTCCTACTGTTCTGCTCCGAACTGGGCTAACGAAGACGGGCATACGCCATACAGTGTGCTATGAGGGAAATTTTGCCCGGGCAGCGGCACTACGGCCTACTCTTATATATCGAATTCCAACTGTCAAGGGATCTTTTACGTGCACGGAAATGTGTACACGGGACCTCGGTCTTTCGTCCCATCCGAACGACTAGACAGCTGTCCTTGACAGGCCCTCCGTCCTGCATCACTGACAAGGGAGAACCACGCCGGAATATCTGGAGAACTTTCTCGGCCAATGCAGGGATCGAACACCCGAGCCAGCTTCTTACCCACTTAGCCACCGTGATCCCCAACTAACAAGGAACACCACTCTATCATCGTATAGCAATGGTTAATAGGCTGGTAATGCTCATAACCATTGCTTTATATAACTTGACCGCTATTAGCCTACAGGGAAACAGAATTGAAATCTCGAGTGGAACGAGGGAAGTTAAAACTCAACAGTCTAACGTCGTATAGCAATGGTTAATAGGCTGATAGTGCTCGTAACCATTGCTTTAGAGATATGATCATTTAAGGGCTTATGTAACTTGTAAAACGTATAATATCACATGCAAGACTCGAATACTCAGCCCCTATAATAAAATAAAATATAATTAAATTAATATTAATCTATGACACAATTATCAGTTTATTGATCTAAAATTGTTTTACTTTAATTTTGAAATATTTAAACATTTTAGTTTTTATGATAGCCACGGGCACAGACATGAAGTTTATCATGACGAATCGAGTTTGTCGACAGTTTTAGGTTTTAATAGAAAGTTGTTTAACATGTCGGACAGGATTAATATATTGTAATATATGACGAATATGTCTGTAGTTATCTCCGGTACAGGAAGGAAAATCTGAAGGAGTGCACCATCGTCACATCAAGCAATAGGATTTGAAATATAATTGAATACAGTCTAATAGCTCAAATATTGATACACAAATTGTGAACTATTTATTTCTGAATAGGATCTCTTGATTTGTTTTTAAAGACACGATGAGTTGATGAAATTAATTATATAACTGTGCATTGTGTGTAGGCCTATATTGTGTGTAGGCCAATATTTAAATAGTTTTTAATCAATAGTGGGCTGTACATAACTTGTGAAAGATACGACTAAGTGAATGTTAAGGAAGGGAGATGACGATTTAAAGACAGTAATATTGTTTTTGGTAAGTGATTAATAATTAATAAACTGTTTATTACAGACCAGCATTTTAGTTACATTTAAAGTCTTCATTGTCACTTCCCCGGTTGTACTTGACAAGGAGTAGGGTCGCCTGTCCAACTTCGTGGGTTTTCTCCGGGTCCTCCGGTTTCCTCCCACTGCTAAAGACCCCTACGCGCAAGCGAATTATTGAAATAAAATTGAATTATATGTTAGTCCCGAAATGACCTAGTTTGTGTCCAGTGGACGTTAAACCACATTTCTCTCTCTCTCTCTTTCTCCGGGTCCTCCGGTTTCCCCCCACTGCTAAAGACCCCTACGCGGAAGCGAATTATTGAAATAAAATTAAACCATATGTTAGTCCCGAAATGACCTAGTTTGTGTCGAGTGGACGTTAAACCACATCTCTCTCTCTCTCTCTCTCTCTCTCTCTCTCTCTCTCTCACTCTCTCTCTCTCTCGCTCTCTCATTGTCACTATTTTCCCACGTGTTTCGACCGATATTGTCGAAAGATTAATTGCCAGGGCAAATGTCACAGCCGTGTTTTTGACTTCAACAGGCGTTACCATAACCTGTCCATACTGATCACCCTGTGTCCGTATTATATATGCAACGTAGGGGGTTGGGGTTGGGGTGGGGTTGGGTATATTGATTTCGTGTTCTGTTTATTTAAATTCCGGGTTCAATCTTCTGCCTGAAATTGTTCAAGTTAAGTGTGGGAAATAATGCCTATGATCGTATATATAGTGAGTTATGTTTTGACTTTCTTAGAAAATATAAAATTCTCGCTTTCACCATAAAAATGTCTTAGTGTGAATATAGGAACCATAATACCAAGACATTACCACCCCCTCCCCATGCCCCCACCCTACCCCCCATGCCCTCCACCCTACCCGACCCCCCGCACCCATCCAGCAACTTGTGTAAATTTCAGCTCATATGATATAATATAAAGTCAAAGATTGAGTTAATTTTGTAATACTCACATTACACGCTTGATTGATGTCGTAAAATAGTATAAAATCATTGAAGCATGAGTGTAATTATTGAAGTTTTTATTAAATTGAAAGATAGTAAATATTGTTTATTGTTTAGTTTTATTTATCAACAAAGTTATCTGTGGGAACTTCTCAAATTAAATGGCGTTTAACGCCCAACGGGCATTCGGCAAACCTCGACAGATTCTACGCATCTAATGTCGGCTGTTTGACCATTTCCGCCATATTTGAACTATTTTAAAGGTTCCGAATGAAAAATGGCTGCCCCCATGGAGATTTCTGTGGAGAGTGTATTATATCAACAAACGTCACGTTTGGCATTGGGTTTGGGGAATTACCAGGGAATTTTATCAAACCAGCAGCCTTGAGGCAATATCTCTGCTCATTTAGTTTATACACTCTACAAAAGACGCAATTTGGGACTTTTTTGTAAAAGCGACACGTTTTCCTGTTTAAAGTAAACCGACAGCCGCATCGCAAATGTATGGGCGTAGGTACATATCACTTACTGTCATACAGCCGAGATTAGATGTAGGGTAACGGAATCTGTCGAGATTTGCCGAGTGGCCCAACGGGTTAACGCGAAAGAACATACGTCATACAGTGTACTATATGAGGGACATACGTCATACAGTGTACTATATGAGGGACATACGTCATACAGTGTACTATATGAGGGACATTTTGTCCTGTTCTTAATTGAATCAGTAGACGGTTAAACCCCATTTCATTTTATTTCTTTTACGTGAACGCAAACGTGTAAGCTACAACAAGGAAACTCAATTTTTGTCCAACCCGAACGACTAGACACTGTTCCATGCGAGGCCACCCAGCCAGCATCATATTTGGTAAACCAAGGAACTGTCTTGGCCAGTATACCGCGATTGAACACCTGACCTCTAGGTTAGTGAGCAAGCACCCAATCCGCTGAGCCACACATCGCATCCTCAGCTCATTGGACACGTTCTGGCTTCAATCAATTTTCCTCAACAGATTCTTAGTGAAATTGTGAGACGGCAAGGGGGTTGGATGGCCGAAGGGTTAGCACGTGAATCATAAGGTCCGTCATTGAGTAAACTGGTTTGGTTTCGATTTCCCGGTTGTGCGTGACAAGGCGTAGGGTCGCCTGTCTCCAACCTCGTGGGTTTTCTCCGGCTCCTCCGGTTTCCTCCTACGCGCAAGAGAAGTATTGAAATAATAATTGAACAATATGTTAGTCCCGAAATGACCTAGTTTGTCTTGATTGGACATTAAACCCCATTTCTCTCTCTCTCTCTCTCCTCTCTCTCTCTCTCTCTCTCTCTCGTTCTCTCTCTCATGAAGCGGCGCCTTTAACGTAGATGTAGATAAACACAGTAAACATAGCCAAGAAAACAAACAATGAACGTGCATTTATAGACTGGTAACCCACATATAAAGGTTAAAAGTTGGTTACTACGTGATCACTGATAGCTAGGCATCACAGACCATTACAGCGGCAGTTGGTGATTAAATCTTTTTCATAAGGTCACCTGCAGATATCTATAGGCATCACAGACCATTACAGTGGTAGTTGGTGGATAAATCTATTTCATAAGGTCACCTGCAGAAAGCTAGGCATCACAGACCATTACATTGGTAGTTGGTGGTTAAATCTATTTCATAAGGTCACCTGCAGATTCCTCAAGGTCATCTGATGTAAACAGGACTAGCGCTAAACTACAAACCTTGGCAACAATAATGTGCCCTAGGCCCCTAACTAGGGTTTAAATTAATCGGGGTTTTCCCACGTGGTTCGCCCTTGTCAGTGGTGTTGGACGGGGTGCCTGGCAAGGGACAGTGTATAGTCGTTTGTCTGGGACGTAAAACAGAGTTCCCCTGTACACATTGGCGTGCACGTAAAAGAACTATTGGAAATTGGAATCCGATATAAGAGTAGACCATAGCGCCGCTACCGAGCAAAATACCATACTGTAAGGCTTATGCCCGTCTTCATTGCCCCAGTCGGAGCAGGGCAGTAGGACGTTAAACCCCATTTCATTTCCATCGCGAGTCATATCTAGATGATTCACTAGCAGATTGTGATAAAGTGAAAACTTTTGTACATACTTATATAAGCTTCAAAGGAACAATAAAAATGCATGCATAATTTCAATTTTGAACTTTGATATTCATGGGCCCCATGGACTCTTATGGGCGCCCCCCCCCCCCCAGCTGCACCCCACTCTCATGAGGCCTACTCAAAAAGACGGACGTATAATATTGTGTCGTCGACCAGACTTTAAAACCCCTTCCATTCTATTCCAGAATTATGGCACCAAGTTCACAAAGAATTTACTCAACTTTCATTCACTGTTTATAAGAAATATCTTTGATCCAGAAACACAAAAATTTGCACACAGTTTCTTATTGATGTATTTGATACATTAAAACAATAAACGTTTTATAAAGGGCTATATTTTAATTAAAATAAGGCGAACAATTATGAGCAAATTTTAACTTAAATCTGAGAATGCTTTGTGAACTTGGGGCCAGGTTTGTTACATATTCATATACCATAGTAGACAGGGGTTAGGGTTAGGATTAGGATGTACTAAGAATATCTCCTACATCTGTTTGTGAAAGTTATCTATTTGTATCGTACGTTTTGTAATCAGATAGTTTTATCAATGGGCTGATTGTTACAAACTTTATCGAGAAACCATAAGTTGACCTCTGTATAAAGTTCAAGGTCATGCAGGTAGTGTTTGGATATTAAGACAGGTGCGAGAATGGTATGTATTGTTGTTTATTGTTGGTAGGATTCCGTTTCAATAATATATATTTGATATATGTCAATTGCATCTATTTACCGTGTTCTCTATATAACCCTGCTTTGTTCCCCACCCCATCCTCCTCCCACCCACCCCCAACCTTTGTTCGTTCAAGTTGGGGAATATTTGCAATATTTCTTCCCGACTTGCAAGCCTTATCATACGGCTGTTCGGTGTATTTCTAATGGAACCAAATTTCGTACTCTATGTATTTCGTGATCACTAATGATTTTTGTCAATTTGTCAAAAGGTTTTTTTTATTTGAAGATATTCGTATCCTATATAAATACGACACGCGGAAATATTTACTAGTCCCCATATAAATATAATATTCGGACGATGATATAATAAATTCTTTGTAATTGTACCTATACTCACGTGATCAGATTATATGTCAAGTTTTAGATATTTTAATATGATGAAAGGGGTCGTATTGAAAACCATCGACGTGTGAATTGTGCATGTTATATTGTATATTGTTCATTTCCACACTGATCAGCAGTGAATATTCGCTAGGCCGCTACAATGAATGATATGGATGATACTTAAAGTCCCAAATATTAACTTTTTTCCTCCGACAAATTCAATTCTAAAACATTTAGAAAAATAAATAAAGACGTGTGAAGTATTTGTAGGTAAAAAATATTTCCTATTTAGTGTAAATGGGTATTAATATGAGTAAAAGGCTCCATTCTGCCCGAACCAGTTACGTCTTTTGTAAACAATGCACGTTCCATTGTTGAAGACAGTCATCTTTGACAGAGATATTAGAATACTTTCGTAATCCTCTGTGAAACAGATTGGTTCATTCTCTCGTGTAAGTCAATCTAATAATATACAGATTACCTGGTTATTACAAACCACTCAGGTACACACGACAATATAAAACAGGTAAGATGAACCAGGCACCGAGGAGCAAAATTCGAAGCCCGTCAATCGATGCGCATTTGTCCAAGAAAAATATCGATGTTTTGAATCGGCAGAGCCATAGGTGTTTTTGGAAGACCACCCCAACTCCCACCCCCCGCCAAGAAGAACAACACGCTGAGTAGCGCCTGACAGCCAGCTCCATCTTAGTATAAAGACCGCTACACTATCAGGACCAATCAGTTTTTAATGGCGGGATGTAACTGTACAGGCGAAAACAATACATACTAATTAATCCAGTCTGTTTTACAGAGGTAATGCGAAAGCCTTCTATATCCACTGCTGAT